GCGGCTGGTAGGACGTGCTGCGTTCGGTCGGTCGCCAACAACGTGGATTCGAAGCTAAGGAGCCCGGAAATTTCGGAGATCCGGCCGGATGGTCGCAGACCGGCCTCGGAGCAGGCGCTGCAGAAGTGATTCTCTGCACCGTCTGCCGTCGCCACGACTTTGCCTCTGCCAAGAGGCTCCTACAGCAAGACCATGCGAGAGCGAGAGTTGAACAACGGCCGATTTGCCATGACACTTGGCCAGACGAGATGCCCCGATAGGCGAAAGGGGAATCGTGGCGAGACAGAGTCAGCGTGCGTGTTGCGTTCTTGAGCTGATCTTGAGGTTTGCCATCGTGGGCATCATTGCCGGAGAGGTGGTTTCTGGAAAGGACTGGCTCGTTACGAATGTGGTAGCCTTCGATGGCATTGCCGATCCCATGGTGGCATCAAGCTGTGTTGTTGTTGGCCGCTCTGCTTGCAGGATGCCATCGAGCAGCTGACGCTGAAGACGCCTCAGCCCCCGGTGCTTGCGGAGGTGGCAGCGCAGACCCCGGTGCTTGCGGAGGTGGCAGCACAGACCCAGGCCCGCTGTGGTGTGAGGCTGTTTCCTTGATCTTCGTGATGTCCAGGGCATGGGACGAACGAAGGAGATTTTGCGTCAAGAGCATTTTGGGTTGGCAGTGCAAGCAGGGGCAGATGCTGGGGTTCGCGGCTCGGATGTGCTCGGCTCACCTTAATTTTCTGGCCTCACGACTTTTTTTATTTTCAGCTCGGTCGTCCGTCATCCTACGCCGGTGGGAGGAATGGTCCATGCGAACCTGCCAACAAGGTGTTCGTGTCCCTTTAGGGGTTGTGTTCGCTAGACGCTAGGCTACACCATTCTTTCGTGGGTGGTGCTGTTATTTTAGTAGTTTCTATCGGTGCAGTCTTCTGTTTTTATCCGTTTCTGGGTTTCCAAGCAAGGAAGACAGCAAGCAAGCGGGCAAGCGAGCAAGCCAGCAAGCCAGCACGCGAGCAAGCACGCAAGCACGCAAGCCAGCAAGCGAGCAAGCGAGCAAGCAATAAAGCAAGCGCAAGCAAGCCAAGCAAGCCAAGCAAGCCAAGCAAGCCAAGCAAGCCAAGCAAGCCAAGCAAGCCAAGCGAGCCAAGCGAGCCAAGCAAGCCAAGCAAGCCAAGCGAGCCAAGCGAGCCAAGCAAGCCAAGCATGCAAGCACGCAGCCACCAGCGAGCGAGCAAGCAAGCCAGGCAGGAAGCCATCCAGCCAGCCATCAACCCAGCAAGCAAGCAAGCAGGCACGCAGGCAGGAGTGAAACCATCAGTCATTCATATTTTGCGCGAGTCATCGTGAAGTAAACTCCCAAATGAGATTGTTTTTTGAAAGCCTTTTCTCCCAGTCACGGGGCAGGTCGCAGACAGCAGGGCAACCGATAAGAACACCAAGCCGCACCGATGAATAAACAAGCGAAACTAATCTCGCGACCCATGCCGGGGCAGCACGGTCTGAGCAGGAACGTTAGCCTAGCGCTCTGTTTGAAATGAGTCATGGAGCCTTTCCTTCTTAGGGGAGGGGCAAGGGCGGCTCACTGAGGGGTCACTGGCGTTTTGTGGCTGTGAAAATTAGAAGTCCGCCATCAACTAGGTTTTTCTGTCTGGGGTCTGAAGAGATTCGTAAGACCTCGTGCACAGGATGCTGTCCAGCAGCTCCAATAACTGGAGTGAGGCCGCCGTGGGCTTCGAAATGTGGCAGACTGCAGAGCTTTGCAGTGCCGGGCGAAGCTGGCATGTACATACTGACAGTGATTGACCTCCACGAAAGCCGTAGCAGCTTCGGCGATTTGCTGCAAGGAGACAAGATGCAAACTTCTTGCGACTTGTAGGTTCGGCTGATGTAGGTTTCGAGCCACCGGCCGTTAGTTTTGAGTTTTGACTGACTTGTACTTTAAGGCCCGAGAGCCGGAACGCTCCCACAGCTCGGCTTCTCAGGCATTTTTTCCAGACAAGTGGTCATGTCGACCACTACACGGTGTCACGGGTCCCCAAAGACGAAGATGTAGACCCGAATCCATGGACCACCTGCTGAGATATGTCTGCCGGGACCCATGCAATGACTGCGCACTTTATCAGCCACGAGTCGCTCTACCCGACTCTACCCGCAATTTGTGCAGGTCTGAGTAATCGAAGTTCGTGTCGAACAGGGCAGATGCGCCAGCAGTGTGCGGAGCTTGAAGAGCTCTGTCGCAATCATTCGCAATCGTCTTGACCTCGGCGTTGCAATGCGTTGCAGAAATTCTGCGCAGTGTCGGCTTCTGATACTGTGTCCAGCAGAGAATGTGTCGCCGCCATGATCTGCTGCGTTGGCAGCAAGCCAGGGTGCACAGCAGTCAAAACTGTCTGAAGGTGCGGTTTGCACTCGAAACTCTGCAAGAAGGCCAGGGTCCAACAGAGCCGTTAGCCTTGTGGCCAAGCGGAGCTAGATCACACATGATCACGTGCAGGAGGGTGCTTCATTTGCAAGTTTTTCGACACCTTTACACATGTGTTGACCCTAGCAATCGAAGGCAATCTGGGCGGGGGTTGCTCCGCCACAAGAAGCACTGTGCCGCTGTCTTAGATGCTCAGGTCAGCTGCAGCCTGCTCTATGTGGCTCTAGCCCCAGCAAAACCACACAGGACAGGACCAACATAGTGTTTCTTTCTCTCGGTCTCTCTTTGTGACGTGTCCTTTGTCGTGCATCACTTGTGTTTAATCGTGCATGAGTCAGCCATTCTCCCTTTCTCCAAAGGCTGCGGCGCTTTTCCAGCAAGTGGATATTGTCAAGCCACGCCACAGCAGGGTCGTGAACTCTGAGCGGCAGCCTCGTTCGTCTGCAGATCCTACTCTTATCACAGGTGGACACACGTGGCTGCTTGGCTTTACCACAGGCTGTCGCAGCCGGTGCTCAATGGATCGAACGACACAAGTTAGATACATTCCACGTTCATGATTCAACATGCACCTGTCGTGGGTACCCAGACATGTACGTCGCACGCAGTCCGGCACGAATTTCAGACTTGAGCTAATCCTGATGCAGTAGAGTTGCCGCCATGCTGCGGCTGCTCTGCACTGCACGATGCCGGGCGAGGTGGCAGAAGGCTGGAACGCCTGATAGCACTAAACTCGTACAGGTCAGGCCGTGTAATCGGTGAAGCTTTCCGTCGTGTCAGTACTTCTCTGTGCAAGCTGTTCAGAGCGCTGTGCCATGCTTGCTGATTTCATGTGAAACTTTTCGGCTCTACAGCTTTCCGTCAATTTTATTTCTTCTTTGGGCGGCCCATGAAAGTGAGAGCCAGGAATGCCGAACCTCGTCGTACAGACCGTTGATTTGATTATTCAGTTGGGCAGTGCTTTGCTCTTGGGATTCCTGGCATTCCGCTTGGGATGGGTGACTGAAAAGCAAGGCCTTGCCTTTCTAACCGGGCGAATCGGACTCCCACTGCTTGCCTTTAAGGCAGTGGCAACTGCAGACCTAGATGACATGGAGCCGGGAGTTATTGTTAGCTGCACTATCGGGAAGTTGTTTGTGTATGTGCTGGCTTGTGGAGCAAGTTGGATTGGCTGCCGAAAAGAGTCACGAGACAAGGCGCTAATTTCTGCTGCGATTTTCAGTTTTCATGTGACCGCAGCCAATGACTTCGTTTTCGGTTTTCCAATTATCCAGGCCTTCTATCCGGACAAGGGGGTCACAAATTTGGTTGCCAACGTCGTCGTCCAAAATGTGTTTTTCCAAGTATGCAGCTTGTCGATGCTTGGTGTTGGTGCCGCTCAGCAGCGACAGAGCGAGGCCTCGTTCACCGCTCCAGGCCCTGCACATACACACTCCAATCGGAGGCAGTGTGGTCGAATATTGAAGCAATTGGCACAGGACCCACTCTTGTGCGCTATCGCCTTCGCAGTGATCTACAAGGCTGCGGCCAGGTTGATTGCACCACAGGCCGCAGGATCGTCCATCGTCCCAATTCCGCTCAGCGAATTAATAGATTTCTTCACAAAACCGTTTTCTACGACGGCGCTGATGCTGACGGGGGCAAATTTAGCAACTGCCCTTGACAGGACGGAAGGACATAAGCCACAGGGTGGCAGCATGTACCTGCTTGGCGTTCCCATCGCCTTGGTGATAGCCAAAAACATAATCTGCCCGTACTTGACTCTTGCAGCATCCGAACTCATTCTGCCGGGGGGTGAGAACAACAAGTGGCACAATTTTGCCTTCCTGTACGGCTGCATCCCCACTTCATCAGCGCCGATGCTCGTGGCAATGCGAGTTGGTCAACACATCGAAGTAGTGGCAGCAGCTGTGTCAATTGGCATCATGGTTGCAATTCCTATGCTCATAGCCTCCGCTGTGCTTCTTGAAAGTGACACAGTTGAGCAAAAACGAGTGGAGACGGAGCTGAAAAACAGCGAAGTCACAGCACTTGTCGTGTCTCTTGCCACGACAGCCGCATCGCTGCTGCTGTTCCGACTTCATGACAAGACATCCACATGGTGGCATTTTCCACATGTCATCCTGCCGTGCTATGCTATGGCCTGCTTCGTGCATGCGGGAGCCAACCTGATCACTGCACTTGCTTTAGATGTGTGCGACCTAAACTCTGCCCGGATCATGGCCTACTGCGAGATACAAAGCTACATCATAGTGGCATCGATGGCACTTTGCAGCCTTCAGAACTTTCGGTCGATGAGGCTTGCCAAGTACTTGCTGTGGTTTGCCATTTTGGCACCTCTGCCGTGCTGTCTCTGGGTACCCACGCCAGAAGGCAACAAAAGCTGCATTCTTGGAGTGGGCGAGGCCAGTGGCTTTAACTTGACAGTCAGTGCTGTAAACTTCCTTGTGCTTTCAGCATTGCTTAGTGCAGGGGTATTCTTTCGCAGAAGGGATTCTAGTACTTCAGACACTCGGCTAGATACTTTCCAGACTGACGGCGGCCTGGAAGTGCCGTTATCTCCGGAGTCCCCTCCACCAGAGTCGCCAGTGGACGCGAACACCTTGGTTGAATTTGAGCCAGACTCCCCCGTTTGCTACGACCACCGCAGTCCGTCCGCCCGCCGAGCGGACTTCGGGGACAGCACCCTCCAGGATGCGGCGGTGAGTGCGACTGATGTGGCGATGAGACCATTGCCGAGCTCTTTCGTGCCACGGATGTCCAGCTTTCCGAGGCAGAGCACTTTGGAATCTGTGCGAAGCATGCCTGGGAGCTTAGACAATGGCAACCTGAAGTTTGCAGTGCTCGTGATTGCTTCTAAAGCTCTAATGGTGTTGGCCATATCTACAGTTGTGCGATCCGTTCTGCTCATCCAGAGGCACATGCACCAGGACCTGCACCAACCGTGGGAGGGAGAATCCTTGGGTCCAGCATAAAGGGGAGGAAGCCAGTGTTGAAACTGTAAGATACTGTAAGCGCTCTGTGAGGACCTTGAATCCTCGTTAGTGCTCGCGCTGCTCGTGGAGCTGTTGTTCGAACACACCGAGGGGTTCTTCCTGCTTTTGGTGATCCTCTGCTTTTTTGACACATCATGCTCGAAGATGGCGCGGAAATTGCGGCATCGGCGCCAGATCACTTTGGCCCGGCTGCCCATCCGGAGTCGTCAAGTCTCCGAAGTCGTTCCTAGGTGAATGCCGCATCTGCGCGAATTGCTTCATGTGCTTCACTGCAAGAAAAAGAACTGCTGCAGTTTTCGCTTGTCATCGCTCGTCCATGGGTCTGCACGATACGGTGGATGTGAATCGTAAAGAAGATCGAGCCGCGAGCCAAAAGGCCACGAGGCCCGCATGGCTTGATGGGCGCTACCTGTCATTGTAAGCAACGCAGAACGTCATCAGGACGAGGAAACTATCTAGGACAGCAGAACCAGCAGTGCCCCCCCCCCCCCGAAAGGCAATGCATGTAGTCTTGGTCACAAAAAGGAATTGTCCGAGTTGCGAGAATTAAAAGGAGGGCTTAGACATTCCATCTCTCTCCCTCCCTCTCTCTCCTTCCCTGCATTTCGAGATCTGTTCAGTTATCCAGGTTGCGTGGTGTCGCGATCCTCGGAGCTCTCAAAGCTGGAGCCAGAGGGTGGCCCGGAGCGCTTACGCCTCGGTCTCGGAGGTGGACCGAGCGATGCAGCTACTGGCTGAAAGGGGGCTTCAGCCAAATGATTGCAGGCGCCGGCCGAGACTTCAAAACCTTCGGAAGGTTCAGAGGAGGCCATGCGGAGCACGCAGTGTGAAGCTTGCAGCAGATTTGCTGACTTTGTTGGTCTTTGAGACGGTATCGGTGTGCTTTCCCAGCTTGGCATAATCCGACAGGTTGACATCCCCCCAGAAGTGCTGGAGCTTTTCGACACCCTCCGTGGCGAAGCCATACGGCGCTTCTTCACATGCATTCAGAATGCAAGCATCGGCAACCTAGCCTCGGCAAAAAGAAGCACATGCCGAGGCTTGGATGATTTTCAACCTATTCATTTGTTTTCACTCTGTTGGGCCTATTCCACAGCTCCTCGGCCAAGAGCAAAAGCCGACGTCTGTGTCGGAGATCTCTGAGCCATCATCGTAGGTGAATCTGAGGCTCGCCTGCTGGATGACGACATGCGCTGCCAGGTCCTGTCGAAGCCGGAGCTGTCAGAGAGTGCCCTTTTCTTGAAGACTGTTTTTGGCAGGTGACGCGCGCAGCCCTGCGCTTGGGAAGGAGTCGCGATGCGGAGAACAGCCAGGAGGCCACAGAGAAGCTAAATCCCGCCACGGGCAAGCTGGCAGACTTTTCCAGCCAAGGCCAGTGGAGGCCTGGAGGTGGCCGAGCCGAAAACTGGTTTGGAGAGCCCGTGCATCCTGAAGGAAGCGCGCACATTGCTCTCAGGGTGCGAGTGACAGCCTTCCTTCCTGCAGGAAGGTGAGCATTGGATGGCCCTCTTCAAGCCAGCACATTGGCAGGTCTCCGTGGATGCCAAGGAGGCCTAGAGAGAATCCCAGGGCAGAGTGGCGTTCAGGACGAGAGGTGTGCGCACTTCTCATGCCTGCAGGCAACGAAAGCAGCAGCAGCCACACCTTTCGAGGATGACGACGAGGGCGACGAAGAGCCGGCTGAAAGGCCGCGAGTCCAGGCCGACAATATCCGACTGCCGGGGAGCATCTGGGAGCTGTGCGAAAAAGGAAAGAGAAAGTGTCACACAGCTTGACTGCAGGCTTGGATCCAGAAGCACATGTCGCAAAGGTATCCGCTCCTGGAAGCAGCGAGAGTTGCAGAATAACCAGAGTGTTCACGGCAAATCGGAGGGCCGTTCAGTCCCGCTGCAGCTCAGGATTTGCACGGATCCTCAAGAGGCTTATGGCCTCTTGCCTCGTGGTGGCAATGTCAGAGTACTCAGACCCTCCTCGTCTAGGAGTCTAGATGGTCTGGCGTCTTTCATCTGTTTCTCGACTTCGGGAATTTCGCAGGCATCGACTGGATGCACAGACCAGCGGCGTGCTGGTCTGCGCCAAGAGCTATGTTGGCCGCGGTCACAGCATCTCCAAGGCAGTGCAGGTGTAGTAGACTTACTGTAGCAGAGGAAGAGCTTTTAGGGTAAGGCTTCGCTCTCAGGTGCGTATTGGTTGCGACTGCAGTGGTGTCAATACTCCGTGGACAAGGAGCCCAGGACCCAGCCTGTCTTCACTCTCACTCGACAGTCGGTCCACGGTCAGAGGACGTGCCTGTCTATGCCTCGGCATTCGAGGTATGTTTGCATCGTTCATGGATGGGTCGACCATGCACTGCGCGAGATCCACAAGCGTATTCGTCGCTCAGCTTGAGCGGCAAGCTGCCAGTCACACGAGGTCACATGTTTCTGGTTTGTGTGTGCTTGCAGCTTCGGGGCCTTTGGCTTCGGACGCTTCCGGGATTTTGCCGCAGTTTTGGCTCGCGCACCGATGTGCGCTTCGCCTCGTGGTCGCCATGGCCGGCAAGCCACAGGCAGTAGAGAGAGGGGGGAAAGGGGAGAGGAGAGATGATGAGAGAGGGAGGCTTTTGAAGCGAGGTGAGCCTGGCTTTGGTGGGGCCCACGGGATGCGGGAAGACCACGCTGCTCTCGCGGCTCTGCTCCGAGCTCGGTGCCTTTCCCGCGGAGGAGCACCAGCAGTGCCAGGCCGGGCAGGGGTCCACCGCATGTGCCTCGGGGGCCGAACCCGAGAACTGCTAGCCGCTGCTAGCCGCTGTCAGCCACAAGAGCGCAGGGTGTGCTTCAAAGAAAGGGGCCCGCGTCCTTTCGTCGTGGTTTCTTAGCCTGGAATACGGGTATGTCATATGTGCAATGGAGGGGATGGGGATCGCCAAAATGCCCATACGTGCGATTGCTCATCATCCTTTCCGGGCAGGACTTGGCCTGGGAGCTGGGACGCCCATCCCACCGGCATGGTTGGATGCTTGACCGCCTGCCTTGTGAGAGCAGCTCTGCCGCAACTGGCTCCGTCTTCCGTGTTCTGGTTAGCGCAGTCCTGCCTGGGTTTGGGAGGAGAGGAGGGCACGACCGTGATGCCTACCCTCCAGATGTTCAAGTCGCAGTCTTGCGTATACTCCGCCTTCGACACCCCTGGCAGAGAGGACCTGGTCTGCGAGCGTTTCGAGTCTTTCCTTACGCAGATGACAGACCTGCCGCAGGAATTTGTTAGCAATTTTCTCAGCATCACGTCTTTGGCTGATGCCGCGGTGCTGGTGGTGTCAGCCACCTGGCGGCAGACTACTTTGATACAGGATGAGAGCTCCATAAACTGTGCATTTTGCATAGGCCGCAAGCGGCGAGTGGGAGATGGCCGTGGAAAGCGGAAGGGCCAGAGAGCTGGCTCTGGATTGTTTCACAATGGGCATCAAGACGCTTGGCTCAGAGAGTGCCTTCCCTAAGTCGCTCTCGGCCAGAGGCATCAAAGTACTCGTAGCTGAGGCATGTCCTAGTCTGGGTCACAAAGATGGACGATTTTACCGTGCAGTTCGAAGCTGCGAGATTCGAAGAGATCAAAAAGGCAGTGACAGCCTACTTGAAAGATGTGGGGTACAAGCAGAAGGACGGCATTGCCTGAGCTTTGTGCTGTGTTGGCGAAGGCTGTAGCATCGAGAAAATACGACTGCCGCAGGATGTGCCGGTGATCCCGGTCGCAGGCCTCTCAGGTCAGAATTTGCTCAGCAAGTCAGCCGAGATGCCTTGGTACGCCGGTCACACTGCCATCGAGTCGCTTGATGCCCTCGGCAGCATGAACAGGCCTGCCGAGACCCGGCTTAGAATATGTGTGATTATGGCGAAATATGGTACTCTTCTTTATTTTGGCGGAACTGTGCGGACGCAGCTGAGGAGAAGCCATTGAGACTACCTGTGCTGAAAGTCCATGACCAGCCTAAGGCTGGCACCGTGGTTGTAGGACGCATAGAGACGGGCTCAATTCGAATAGGAATCAAGGTGATTTTCTCACCCAGCGGCCTTGTTTCAGAGGTCCGATCGATTTACAAAGCCGGTGAACCGGTGAATGACGCCAGGGAAGGCGATATTGTGAGCGTAGGTCTGGGTTCCGGTGACGAGTCTGAACAGCTGCGGCCCTCGGACATCCGAAGGGGCATGGTTATCTCAGGCAGTACAGATCCAGCTGCTGATGCAGAAACCTTCCTGGCACAGGTGGTTGTTCTCAACCATCCTGGGGTGATTCGCGCAGGATACTGCCCTGCAATTGCCGTGCACACAGCGCAGGTTCCCTGCGAGTTCGAGGAGCTACTGAGCAAAGTGGACAGGAAGACGGGCAAGGATGCTGAAAACAACCCGACCAGTGCCAAGACTGGCGACGTTGTCACAGTGAAGATGCGCCCTCGAGCACTTGTTTGTGTGGAGACATTCAGTGCCTACCCTCCGCTCGGCCGGTTTGCGATCCGCGATCACGGTCGAACAGTTGGAGTGGGAGTTATCAAAGAGGTCAACAAAAGACCTGTGCCAAAACCGAGGAGTCATAATCAGTATTTTGATCCGTCTGACGATACGTGACAGATCCCAGTACCGCGCCAGACGCACAAAAAAGGTCCATGAGAAGTGCGCCCTCTCGGTGCTTGCTATAGGCCAACGAGCTTGGCTGCGTTGTCTTGGCACTCATCTATCCAAGGAGTTGAGAAGCGGAAGGCGCCGAATTCGCGAAGAACCATCTCTACGCACTGCACTGTCGGCAGCAACGGCAAGCCTTCGTTCACGGCAGCTTTGCTTCAAACGGTGTTGTAGTTGGACCCGTCGCTCGTATCCGTGCCTTCGAAACAGTTGTGTGTTTTTGGGTAGCTGTGTAGCGGCGCTGCAGGTTGAAGGCGGATGATTAGCAAGAGTTCTGAAGATCTTTGTAAGGAGCTTCTTACTCTGGCACACCTGGAGCGACCTGGTGCGCCAGAGGACACGTGTGCCGGTTCGGCCTGCGGTGCCAGCATTTTTTCTGTTCTGAGGAGCGCTATAGCCTTGTGGCATTGAAGCTCCACACCGGACGTACTCACCAGATACGCGCCCCAGCTACGAAGCGCCCGGTGTCCAAAGCGGCATGTTCACCTCAGCGTTCTCAGTCCCCAGGTGTGCATATGCAATCTGTCGGCCACCCGTTGATAACTGATACTCGGCATCCCATGTGAAGTGCTGAGACGTGAGACGTGTGGAGAATCGCTGAGACGCCGAGGATGCCAAGTACGCAGAGGACAGGCTGAACGACGACAAGACCTGGTGCCCTCGGAATTTCCTCCACACCTACCGCTTAGCGCTGCCTGGTTCAATGCTAATTTAGCCGAAACCCAGCACCTGCCGCGCTATGCCGCACTCCCGGCCTGGCTTTGCACTTCAGGTTCCGGGACGTGCCCAGCGAGGAAGATCTTGAGTCCTCCGGCTACGGCCCCGTGCAGGACATGATGCTCCCGGCTTTCAATCTCATGGTGGTCTCATCATAGCCAATTATAGCCATGTCAGTTCAAGAAAGTGCACGACACTGAGCAGATCGAAACGGCAGATGGTAGACTGCAGCCGGCAACTAGCAAAAGCAATGACCTAAACGGACCAAGTCTTCCCATGGGATGATGGAGGGTGCAGTTCTTAGCGTACCACTGTCCTGTCGGCGCAACCTCGCACTGGACCTTGTCAGTCACTTTGCATGAGCACATGGCTGATTGCAAAGGGTGGTCCAGTTCATGCTCCCCGTTGCCTATGCACTTTCCCCTTTTTCATCTCGGCAGGAGCTGATTTCCCCGCTCCCGTCAGATTTGAGGGAAGCACTGGCTCTTCTGAAGCCAGTAGATGCGACATCGCAGCCGAATTACGAGGCCAACCCCATGCATTGAGACGATGCTAGACGACTGTCTCATGGCTGCAGTTGTGAACTGTCGGTTGGCACGACCTCCGTAGTGCCAGGACTGGCTCAGCGGAGATGCTGGGCGACTCCGGTCGTTCGAGCGGCTAGAAGCAGCTGTACAATGACATCAGCACCTGCAAAAAATGCATCGCGTTTTGCTGCTTGCAGCATGAAGCATTGCCGAGACTCTCTCACGTTGACCGAGCCAGAGGCGATATCTGGTGGCGCAGGGCTTCAAGGTGTGGCAGCTTCGTGACATCCTCACGCGATATCTTCAATGCCATGTTCCGAACATCTACGGCTTGCATCCGATGGAGCAGGGCCCAGCCACACCATGCTTTGCGACGCTCCGGGCCGCAGTGCAGCGCGCACAAGAACATTGGCCACGGCAACACCCTCGACCTCGTGCAGATCCGCTTTGCTCGCAAGATTGATCTGTTCCTGCAGGCCCGCCGGCACCTGGGAAGGCGAGGCACCTCTCTGGGTGGTGCAGCCGCCAGAATCCCGGCCACGGCAGGGGTCGAGTGGGCGCAAGCCTTGAAGCCATGTCTGGAGGTCTGATTTAGAAGGAGCTCCCGCGTTCCTTTCATCGGTGCGTGGAATGGCAAGGTCGCTGTGCAGGACGGGGCCTAATCCGCAAGGAATGGTTAGTGACGGTTAGTGTTGTTCTTGAGTCCAAGGCGACAGACCGAGGCCCTGCAGGCCGTGATGGACCGAGCCGAGCAGATCGTGAGTCGGGGGCTTCGCTTGCTGTGCTGAAGAAGTCTTTTCTGGCTTGAACAGTTCCGTGTTGTGGATGTCTTTGAGCTTACTTTGTTGGAGGAGAGGGGGGCCTGGAATCCCGGCCCAAGAAGCGGCGCCGGCCCCGCGACCGCCGCGACGAGCGTCCAGGTGGGCGCCCTTTCCTGCACTGACGTGTCTGACATGCCCGCTCTAATGTGCAACGCAGACTTCTCGGCGAGGCTCTGCGGCGGGCGATGCTCACGCAGTGTCCCAGGAAGAAAAGGGTCGCGGCAGTCACCCGCAAACACATGTAAATCACAGCGGCTGTGAAGGGTTTGCATCACAACGATCGCGCGCTGGGTTGCCAAAAACAAGGCTCAAGCTTGTCGAAATTCAAGACCGGAGCATGCAAATCCAAATTGTCTAAGTTCGGCTTTCCCTGTAGCCTCGTCTGCATAGTGTTAGTAGGGCATAAGCCGAGATTCAAAGGCATCAGTAGCACCTCGAGGAAAGCGGAACCGTCGTGACTTCCGAGCTGCCATGGCCGAGGATGCTCGAAGCTTCGAGGCGGTCCGACAGGTCTCGGGGTCCCCGCATCTCTGTGCCCTGCTTGGCCAGATTTTCCTGCGTTCGGAGCTGGATGCTCTACAGACCAGGCATGGAAGGGGCTAACATGTCTCAATCTAGAACTCGGCTGAGGATGAGGGGACTCGGCAGGTTACTGGCAAAGTTCTCTACAACGCAGAGAGCGATTGAAATTGACCCGGCGAAGGCACTGCCAAGTTCCTTTGCGTCCTACGGTCCTACCTACTCGTACGTGTTCCAGAGACATCGGTTTTGATATGCTTTGATCACCTGAGGCCTCTGGCTGGCTGGGTCCATCAGAGGCCCAAACACGCAAAGTCTGCAAAGGTGCCTTTTACTGCCACGTTCCCGCCTTGTTTTTGAGGTCTGCGGTCGCAGTTATGAAGTCGCAGAGCAAAGCGGAGAATCGGTTGAGGAGTTGCAGCCACAGGCCCGGCATGGCACAGGCTGAGCCGGGCTCAGGATTTCATGACACTTTGGCCTTGGCCAGGGGGGAATTCCGCTGCAGCATGAGAGCACACCTCTTGCGGAGGCGATGGGTCAGGCAGGGAGAAGTTTGCAGCTGTAAGCTCCAGCCTGCAAGCACGGCGGAAGACGGCAGCGAGTACCAAGACTCCTGAGGAAGACTGCATGGCTAGGTCATGCCAGATGAGACAGCACTGTTTCGCACTAGTCAGCTCCTCGCAAGCTCCGCGGCATGCAACTTACGATATGGGCAAGGCTAGAGGAAAGCTGGGCTAAGCGCTCGAGGTGTCTTTGCCCCCCCGTAGCTTCGCGCTTGCTCCGTCCCGCTGCCAAGAATCTCAGGTTTAAAAACATATGACTGCCTCAGCCTGAGCTTTCCAGAGATTAGCTCTGGATCAGAAGCATGTTTAAGTGAGCGCCGAGGCCTTGAGGGCGATGGCCACCAGTCTGAATCTGGATCTCTTCTTGTGATCGACATGTTTCCTAATCTGGCCTCTGGAATTCGCGGCAAGCTAAGCTAAGGTGACACGGACTTCTGTAGCTGAGCAGCACGCAGTCCGGACAGTCTGACAACCGGAATGGGGATATCTCAGACGCACGTAAAGTGGTTAAGTTAAGACAACACTGAGGCACGCTCATGGCGCAGGCCGGTGTCGAAAGAGAGTTCTTAGTCTGAGGCAGAGCACTCCCTAAGCAAGTATGCCTCAGGGTATGGTGCAACTGTATTACCGCGTGTGTCGAATGAGTTGTTACTTCGCTTTCAGGAGACGGCAAGCTGCGGTAGCTGCCCAGAAGACGATGCCGTTCAGAATCCCAAAGCTCTGGTCTCGTGGGTCATCCGACAAGCAGGTAGTCCAGCCTTGGGCTTTGTTCCAACCCTTTCCTGACTTCGCGACAGTAAAGAAAGAGGCGAGGTTTGTTTGTCATTGTGCTTAGGAGCATAGCTTTCGGGGGTTGGGTAGCTTCCCCAATCATGTTTCGCAGTGCTGCAGCCCTTGTGCACTCCCGTCATCGGCATTGTTGTCAAATGCTCCACTTTTTTTTCTGGCTTAAATGGGTTAGTTGGGGCTATATCTATGTCGCATCTCTTTGCCTGTAAGACGGGTGAATATGCCTCTCGACATAGCCAGGCCTTTTAATTACGGGCGTGCGACAACAGTCAAGTGTGTGTCAAGCATTGGGTGGAAAGAATGGTAATGAGTTGAGACTTTGGGTTTCGCATGGCACGGTAGATTCCTGAGTTTAGTCGGACCTATCACCTGAACTGGTGCCTGCTTCAGAGTGTGCGAGCCGAATATTGAAGCCTACATGAGCCGGCAACACAGCGGAATAGCCATTCCGATCTGAGGCGATGCTTTTGGACCAAATGGGCATGTACTACGACCTGAACTTTGGGGCCTCGCTGGCCAGCAACAGCATCTTGTATCTGGGCTCCGTTTTTGTCCCACAAAACAGCAGAGGCAGCAGCCAGCACCATAATCACCAGAATGATCATGATGCGGAGAGAGTCCCATGCTGCGTAAGGCAGACGAAGCCCAGGGCGGAGAGCGAATTGGACATGAACATCCGGCCTTTGCCTCAGCAAGTGGTGTTTGGACCTGCGTTTGCTTTTGTTCCAGCGAAAACGAGACGTGCCTGTCGTTGCTTGTCGAATCCAGAGCGGCTCAAGACTCAGCAGAGCGTACGACTAGTACTGGCAGATGAGGCAACTTCTGCATCTCGAAGCTACTGCTACATGCGGCCGAAGCTTTGCACACAGTCCATGTTAACTGCCACAGCCAATCGCTGACAGCGTTGTAGATTTCGGCGAATAGCCTTCTGGTCCAGAGAGGCGGGAAATGGCAACAATGCGTCCAAGCAAAGATCCCGCAATGATGCGCGTGGGAGTGAACCTGGGATCTGCGGAAGAGGAGGAGAAGGCGGCCAAGGTTGCAGTCACCATGCATGAAACGATGGTGCGAAGCTTGAACCTGGTGCGGCTCGCAACTTGGTCTGCAGTGACTTTTCCAGGTAAGTTTTGGGAAGGGCGGTCCATGGCAAGCACAAAAGCCGACAGGCACGTCAGAAAACGAAGCCTTCTGTGAGACAGGTGATCATGGGCTCCCCAGTGGTTGTTCAGAGCTGTTTCATACACTCGGTCGACCTCCCCAGCTGGCTTTTTCGACTTTTCGACCCTTGGCTGGGTCATCATCTTCCGAGAAACCGCGATGTTTTGTCTTGAAATAGTTGATTGGGAAAGCAGCCCAAAGAGTTCCCAATGACAGAGGCGATCTATGCTGTGGTTGGTGTCGTTGGCACCCTAGTGGCTCCCGAAGCTCAGCTGCAAGCCTGGAAGTGGCTGAGAAGTTGGACCAGGATGGTCTTGGAGATGGTTTTGCCCCTTGCATCTCAGGAGCAAGCTTTCTACGCTCTCGGCTTGAAGGAACTCCGATGGGCTTTCCTTCGTCTGCACCTCGATTACAACAACAAAGTGACACGACCTGCTTTTCCCCAGCTGTACGCGATGCTAGGACCGTCAGTGTAGACTTTTTGCCGCATGCAGTGGCAGACAGGCTCTATTTCAGCCAGAGTACCATGCCAATTCTGAAGGTATCCCGAGGCTGCTTCCTGGAACGGGAATCACCTCCCAGACGGCGACTCTTGCTCCAAGTCGCTGCTTGGAGGTCGGGACTTGCAGCATTGGACATTTGTCTCCGCTAGTTCAGCCGCAGGTGATGATGCTCTGGGAGAGCTAGCTGGTACTAGCGTTTTGGTGAAGTGGAGTGGCAGTGAGAAGTTCCTGACGTTGGACTCGCAGGGCTGGGCGATTCCCGGTCCGAAGTCTCTGGCCACTGTTGTTGCCCTGCAGCCCGTTTACATCAAGGGCCAGCAGCTGGCCGACACATATACGCTTCAGCTCCGATCGAAGAGCTCGAAGTGGGATGACCACTGGCTCGCATGCACACCTGTGAATCATCTGCGTGTTGGAGGTTGGCTTCGGGCATTCCGTTCCCAGCAAGAAGCATGCCCCTTCAAGCTTGTGCAAGACAGCTCCTGCCCAATGGGCACATGCAAGGTGCTAAGCACATGGCCGACGCCGCCACAGCAGGAACCTATCTTCACCTTGGCCAAGGATGGGGGCTGCATGCCAGCTGGGTTTTACCTCGTTGATCAACTCCATGGCGGTCGAAGCTACGTCGGCCAAGCTCCGGATGTTGAAGCTTCCCATTTCGAGCTGATCCTGGCCGGTGAGTGAGACGGCGAGCCGGGCCAGCAGGCAACGCTTTCAAGTCCAGCTGGCTCTGAGAGTCGACCCGGGCACCGCAACAGAAAAAACCGGAGAAGAGCTCTCGGGTGCAAGGCAGACAGCACGAGTACTCAGCTTGCCCACGAGGTCGGCCTGGACGACGCCACTGAGCAAGAAGGGGACCATGGCCACTCAGCGGTGCTGGAGACGTCTGTTTTGGCACGAGCAACTTCCGCAAGTTCCTGAGCAAATCTGACTGCTTGATTTTACGAGGTTCTCAAGCAGGTGTCTGCGAAGCACACTCTCTCCGTGTCTTGAAGCAGATGATAGAGAGAGAGAGAGAGAGAGAGCGCGAGCAGAGTCGACCGCGGCAGGGAAGGATTTGCGTGTGCTTGGATTTTTCAGGCGACCCAGGAGGAAGAAGATCAGAATCGGACCGGCATGTCAACCACCAGAGGTAGAGGTCTGGGCCAGTCGATTTCCCTGCAGCCTGATCTCTTTGCCCGAGTGAGTAAGAAACGGCACTGGAAGGCTGTTTGGATCGGCTCGTCTTGCACCCCTACAAAGCCGGACGTGTCTCCTGGGGATTGCTCACGCTCATAGCTGCTGGGATGCGTCTTGAGTTTGAAGTGTCGGGCGGATGGGCCAGGATTGGGCTGTACCGTGACTGCAAAGCTTGCCATGCATGCTGTTATCACTTTGATGAAGAGTGCCTGAGGTTGTAGCATGGGAGGCAGTCGCAATGCCATTATTGCTGTTTGACCTTGGTGACTTGAGCATCGCGTTGAGTAGCGGCCTGCCTGCACCGCACACCAGTGCCATGGCTCTTTGTCTGGAGGTCGCATCACTCATCGTGTGTGCTTCCGAATGATCTGAACCTGAGGTATCACCAGTGCAATGCTGGGCTTCTGGATTGCCCGGTGCCCACTTGTTACTGAAGCTTCCTGAAGTGCCTTCTTTCCGGCCCTGCCAAATTTGGGGAAGCTTCTTCCAGCAGCCAAGGTGGACATCTGCATCAATTGCATCACTGGCGTCGACCGGGGAGGCCCAGTAGCCACAGTAGCTGAGTATAGCCGAGGGTTCAGAGTGCAAGCCGCAGCGATGCAGCTAACAGCGGCTACATAGGAATCCCATGAGATCCCTGAAAGTCCACACTCTGCAGGTGTGATCGACTTGAAGCTCAAAACCGCGTTCCGAGAGTCGTTGGCCTCAGACAGATTCATCATTCGGCATCTGCAGAAGCTGACCAAGCACTGACCAAGGGCATTTTGATAATCTCGTGAAAAGCTCAGGTATGCAACATCCTGGATGATTCCCGACCTACTGCCGCCTTGCAGCAGTTCTCGCTTTAAGCCCTCGTCCTTGGATCGGCAAACCCGCTTGGAAGGGCGACGTGTAGTGAAGATCACAGAGCACTGTGGCATGTTCGGAAATCTTGCTGAGGATCGTCGCTCTCGACGTCGTGGTGCTAGTAGCGGTTTCAGAAGACTCAGGCGCACCTTCATCTGAGTCTGTGAAGAGCAGAATGCGGCGGCTAGTTTCTTCTGCACAACATGCGATGCAGGGGAGACACCCACTTCTGCCGGCAGTCAGGGAATGAGGCACGGCTCGGAGTAGGCTGTGACACGCCTGGGGTACTTCTTGGATGGTCGCTCGGAAATGACGAAGCATAGTCTGCAGAGCATGGGCTGCATGAAGAGGCTTGCACGGGCTTTGCGGCTTCTGCGTCTGATCCGGTTGCTGCGAGCCCCGCAGCTGCACCAGCATGATTTTCAGGATGTCGCAGTATCAGGGCATCACAGCTGACAGAACTGCAAACTCAGATTTACAAAGCATCCTCGGCGGCCAATTTCCTGGTGGACTACATTCGATCCCCCTCCTTGCTGATCGCCACTCGAATCTGTTTAGCAACTTATGATTGGAAGCTGGTTGCCTCCAAATGTATAGGCATCACTCCAACCAAGATCCCTTCGTCATAGCTGGGAACTCCAAATGCTGTATCCATTCGGGAGTGAAAGTTTGAAGCAATTCCGAGGCTTCGAAAATCGCATGGAGCCTTGGCTGTGAGCTCCAACTGCGGGGATTGCAGTTAAGAGGCAAGTGTGACCTACGACTGCAATCATTCTGCGCGAGACAGGACTCTGCTGACAATTTTGTTCATCAACCACTACATTGCCTGTGGCTGGCTGCTCGTCAAACGCCAGCTGATGTTGTAAGTTGTAACTAAGACGACTAAAGCGGAGTGCTGATCAGCATTCACGGGGGAATGTGTGCCGTGATAAGTCGAGCAGTACAGGCAAGTGCTTCCCTGCGGGTCTTGAGTTGAACTGAAGGTGTGCAATTGCCTATTTCAATGTGGATGCTTTGACGCCGTGATCCTGGTTCATCTTAAATGCAGGGATCAGGTCGCCTTTAATTTTAGCTTGGCTTGCTTTGAGTGCTGCAAGGTGGATCTTGGCATCCAACCTGGAGCAAGCAACATTCACAGAATTGCCCCAAAACTGCAAGAGAGGCGCCGCACAAGGGTATCTTGCTTTGCGCCGAGTCAAGGTACTTGTCGTCACTTCATTGGAGCCTGACGCAGTGCCTTGGGCGCACGGATCTGAGCCATGGCAGCTTGGTGCTTTCGCGGTCGATCGATTAGGTTTTCACCGGCTACGAACAACATCGCCCCACAGAACGTCCTTGAGCGGAGTGTGGCAGCTTTCGTGACCTGGCCGCAACTTGAGGTATCCATCACGCACAGGATTCCGTTGCGAGGTCCTGATTCTGCTTCCTAACACTTGCTGAGGTGGTGATCTTTGCACTTTTGGTTTTCTCCTCTTTCGTGAGCAGCTCCTTGGCTTCCAGCTCCATCAGCCTCTAAGTGACCGCGATGGGCCAAGTATGCTGCGATATTGGAACAGGTGATGTTCATGAGACATATGCGTGAAGGGCAGTGAAGTTGCGATAAGTACCCAGAGGCAGGCAGGGGCCATCAGAGCAATCATAGTCATAGTCTCAGTTCGTTAGTCTTAAAGATCGGAGGCCACAGGAATGCAGCCTCTGATGCAGCCTAGCTGGAAAGCGAGGTGGTGAGAACTAGGCCATCTCCCGTCATCAAAGGCATCACGAATCACATGAACCAGCTGCGCATCACCAACGCGCGCATGATCGAGGAGGATATGCAGCTGAGGCCGGAGCACTGTCAGTAGCAACACCCTGCCTTATGTCAGCAGTTCGAGGAACTTTTTCGAAAAGCGAATGATCTCCGTGGACTTGAGTGGCCGAATACAACATTTGTTCAAGAAAGGATGCCTGGCAGATTTGTGAGAACCGGTGAAGATCTGGCTGTGATGAAGGTTCACGCAGATGTGCGTTCATGTCGGTACAGACATGCGTTTCTCAACCCAGCCTGAGTTTAACCCACCTCGCTTGCTCTGAATACTGATCCCCAGCAGGCTGTGTTCACAACATCATGAAGCCCCAAAAGAGATGTTCAACGCTCAGGAAGTGGCCTCCACATGAGACGGCATCTTGATTGAACAACAAGTCCTTTGTTTGGCCGTGAGAGTCTTCCGTGAGCTTCCGCACGACTGCATTGCGTATTTGCTGGATCACTGCTTATACCTCGGCACAGCATTCACAATCTGGGCGCTTGCGGCCTAGCTAGCTGCCGAGCTGCTTCTCCACGGAAATACATGTCGCTTCACATTTATCTAGGAGGGAGATTTCGTATCCGATGTCATGCCGTATTCAATCAAACGCTATCAGCGTTTGGCTTGGATTTGTTAACATGGGGAGGTCTTCGACGTGGAATTGTGGACTTGTGGAATACAGGCTACATATTTAGGCATCAGGAGTTGACAGTCTAGTCTAGTGTGGTGTCCTCATGTTTCGGCCTAGTTGACATGCACCAGCAGCCCCGCCAATGCATTGCTGAAGTGGCCCAACATGTCATGTGCACCCCGCACTGGGTTCTAGATGCGTGGGCAAGAGATTCATCACATTTCCCACTTGCCATCTGCACAAGGCCACACATTGGAGACATTCCGTTTCTCAAGGATGGGACGCGGCATCACACTTGTTTCATGGTGTGAGCATATGATGTACGGCATTCATGCTTCATAGTTTTTGGCCTGCGGTGTCATCAACCACAACGCCTTATGTGGTTGGGAGGAGATGCCAGAGAGTTTGCGCATACATCTTCACAACGAGCACCTTGGTGATCACTTCGTGTTGTTTTCGCGTTGGCAATGATGTCGTTGTGGCTAGGTGCCCTGGGAAGCATTGATAGACACTGCGGCCAATGTGCTTTAGTCTGGGATCGATTGCTGAGGCTGTACATGAAGCATTTTTACGACATGCCAGTGTTTAGCAAGGCAAGGATCGCATTCGTCACATCTGCTCGCATTTCCTGGTTTTGCTCCTGTGGCACCCCTGCCAGATCATACCCTTGGATCGGTCGCTGTTTTCCAAGATCTGCCACCACGCTTTCGAGGTCTAGTGGCTAGAAGTGACATGCGGCTTAGGCCGTTGCGCATGGGCAGAATGAGTCCGCTGCCAGGAGCGATTCTACCCGGCATCGTTCGAAGTCTTTGTCGATGGCAGCAATGCCAAGTTTACGATCATCAACGTGAATGGTGGCATGGCCAATCTACCAGACCGCAGACATTCGATCAGGTCTCCTGCAAGCTTTGACTCACGTCCAGCCTCAGGTGACTTAGACTATTCCTGGATGCAAAGTGCCTGGGATCCTCAGCGGTCGGTCCCGTGGCTAAGAATTGCTTGAATCTGGCTTGGTTTCATGCCGAGCTTCGAAAAGCGAAGGCAAGAGGTGTCTCCCATGCAACGACCCTGGTCAAGGCTGGGCAGCCTCACCCTGTAGTGTTGATTCTGAGCTAGCTAGCCATCGCACTTTCCGTGCGATGCTTCAGATCAAGGTCACTTGCTTACATAGCAGAGGTTGATGCAAGAATGAGTAATGAAAGCATGGGGACTAGATACTTTTGGGACAAAGCAGCCTTCGCCCGGGACAGGTGCCATTAGGTGCCTGGTTGGCCGAGGCAGCACTCTGGAGCATCCCGGCCCAGAGTCAATCCAACCCTCTTGCACCGGAATTATGCCTTTAGGGCCTCCGGAACGAGCAATCGGAGCATTTCAAAGACTCTTTCATCTCTAGGTAGGGTTCCCAAGATTGAGATTGTCTGTTGTGCAGCCTTTCACTTTCCTCTTCCGTAGTGGCTGTTTCATGTTGAAACCCTGAGAATGTTCGAGGTCGTGCGGAGGGGGTTCTGCAATTGTGAGAGTTGATTTCACGAGCTGAGACATGTGATGCATCCACTCCCCTCGCCTAATCTCACAGCCTAAGCGCAGAGTGCAGCAACACCCCAAGTAGAGGGTCCCAAGAGGCAAAGCCAGAGCTGCAGCTTTGTACCGATGCCCTTGTCCAATCGAATGCGTTTCTTGAGGTGACTGGACCCATCGCGGCCTGCTTGAGTCAGTTTCGCCCAGCGAGATTCTTTTGCTGGCAGCTGGGCATCAGATGTTATGAGGCTTTGTTGCTCCATCTTCGTGCCTGCAGATGGGGCTCATGTGGCTCTTGCACCAAGGACGTCAGCAGTTTCACCTACCAGTGCCACAACCACGGCGGACCCGTGTACAACCTCTTAAGGAGGGTGGCTGTGCTTGCGATTGCCCACCGTGTAGCTTTGCAGCACAATAAATGAACCCAGCTTGAGTGCCTTCGTCTCACGTGGCAGAGAAAGACACTTGGTGACTTGCTGCTGAGGAACAGCTGAGCCGGTGTCTTGCTCAGCATCAGAAGATTGCCCGTCCCGCGTTGCAGCCAGTGTCCTCATGCTGCCAAAGTGTCCTGTCACCTCTGTGGTATTTTCTTCCACCTAGCATAGTGCAAGGGCTCTCGCGAATCATTGCCGCTTGTAGAGATCAGGGGTGCCACAGCAGTAACGGACTTGCCCCTGCACGAGTTCGCTTGGAAGAATATCCTCGAGCGAGTGCCGCACTAAGTGGTCAGTGCAACCACAGACAAAGCATGCCTTGTGCCCGCCTGGTGCCCTCCTAACAGACTGTACCGTTCGCAGGCCGCGAAGTTGCAGACGATGAACACGGCTCCTCAGCTGTGGTGTGTAGCAATTTGCCATTTAAGCTGGGCCAATGTGGTTGCAGTCTGCTGGTCAAGGTCATCAATGCCATGACGCGCGCCTCGTTTCTGAAGTGACCTGGCCGAGATAACGAGTGCACTGCACATGTAGTTGCGATGGGCAGCCTAGCCGCAGGGATTCTGTGCCAACGGAATTTTCATATTTCCTTTGCTGTTGTAAACTGACGGCAGATCCTCTTTTAATGGGCTGTTTGTGGAAGCATGCGGAAACTGCAGCCGGGCTGCTGTGTATTTTGGGTCTGGTGCCTGTACAGCAAGAACCAGATTTTCCAACCAATGGCGAACTTGGTACTGGATACGAAGGATCCAGAAGGCGAGCTAGACCGGTAATATTTTAGTATGAATATGTCGATAGCTATATAGTTCTTTGCAGATTACTTATTGAGCATAAATCAAAATATACCTTTCGCTCTCATAGCAGAGAGATAGGCGATAGGTTTGTTGAAAAGATTACCAACAGGTTCATAAGCATGGTGGTGGTATTTATGGGAAAATAACTGGTTTTGATTTGTCCTTTGTTACGATATCATTGGTAGGTTTCTTAAACGAGCATTTGGAAAATCGATCATTACTATGAGAATAGGGGCGTGAGCTAACGTATTTTCGAACTTTAATCAACATCTTACGAAGATATCTCTTCGGAGATTAGTATGATGATTTAAAAGGAATTTGATTTTTATATTGAGGTATTTACTTATTTTAATTATTATGAGATTTCTTCCTTATATTTCAATAATTATATCTACTCTATAAAATATTATGGGTAAATTAGCCCCACACTTCGGAGCGCTCTAGTCTTAAAATTTCGGGAAATTTCTGGACCCTGGCGAATAAGTCGATTGGATTTATCCGGGACCTAAAATTTCTGGAAAATTTAGATGTTCGGGTTAAAAATTTTAAGAGGGCAGGGCTCCTTCGATGGTCTCGGGCTGGGCCCAGTCTTCTAAGTATTTGGAAAATTTGGGGATCCGGGTAATTCGTTGCCTCGATCTCGAAATTTATAGAAAATTTTAAATTATCGGATCTCTAAATTTTCTAAAAATTTACATACCGAAAATTTTCCGAAAATTTAGAGAACGAAGATAATTTTCTAATAACTTACATTCTAAATATAGAATATACATTATAATTCTTTTATAATCTTATATTGGAAGATCGTGCCTCATCTATTCATATAGATTATCGATTTTAGGGATTTTCTGATGTAGTGCTATGGATGAGCGTGAAAATTTAATATTTGTCTGTCTATCCGTCGGTCGGTCGGTCTATCTCTCTCTCTCTCGCTCTCGTTTTGCTTTCTCTCTATCTATCTATTTATCTTTCTGATTTAGTTTTTTTTATAATTTGTTATGACGATTATATATATTCTATATAACATAAGGGTGCGACAAGATTTCAAAATTTTAGAGATATTTATAAATAAGAGCGCACGAATCGCTTCGATTGATCTAGGACCCAAAATTCTTGGAAAACTTAAAAGTTCGGGTTGCAATTTTAAGAGGGGCGGGACTGCTTCGAGGGTCTCGGGCTAGGCCTAGACTTCTAGATATTTGGAATCCGGGTAGCTCGACACCTCGGTCTCGAAGTTTGCGGAAAAAATTCAATTATCGCTTCTCTAAATTTTGAAAAATTTAGATCTAATAATTTTCGAATATCTTATATTCTGAATGCAGAATATTTTTATAGTCTTATATTAGAAAATCGTATCTCATTTATTTATACGATTTATCGATAATTATGATTTTTATATAAAATGATATGGAGTAGCGCTTGTACGCTAATATCTGTCTGTATGCCTGTCCATCTATCTGACTCTCTGGCTCTCCATCTGGCTACCTATCTCTCCATCTATTTATTTTTCTATCTATCTATTTCTTTTTCTGATATAATTTATCGCAATCATATTCGGATCTTGACTGATAATTGCTCCGGTCAAGGACTCCATAAAGGGCAATTCTTTATATTCAATATAGTTTATTATGAGATGCTCTCAATTTGATGGTTGCCGTAGGCTCCTATATAGCCAGGTTGCAGCCGGCGACAAATTACATATATAGATATTATATCTCTATATTATTGCTGCCTCTCCCAGGCTACGCAAAAACCTCGTGTCCTGGTTATAATTCTGGCCTCGGCCTTCGGCATGGCACTCTAGATGAAATTTGTCGTAAGGTGCTGTCACTTGAAGCTTGGCTTCACCTTTGGGATGGCTGCCACAAGAAAGAATAATCCCAGGTTTCCTCTGGCACCATGAATCGATATCAATGTATATGATTAGATATCCAAATAACCGTAACTGACTTTGGCACCAGAAAATACGTGCAAGAATTCGATATCAATTTATCCGTAACTGCACCACTATATGAGATTTGCACCTTCGTGCTGAGACCTGGCGCTTTAATTTTTCTATAAATTTTCAGACTTGGGCTGTCGTTGCCGGGATACTGCCAAGCTGCATATTCCACTTGAATATCGCTGCTGGAAGCAGCGGGTCAACTCTAGCAATTGATATTTGATTATTATATGGTCATATTTCCGATAATTATTTCATTTATATATTATTCATTATTGGATTTAGGGCGATTATAGAATTTCATTAATTAATAAAAAATACCAGAACTAAAAATTCATTATATTTCTTATATCATTATAAGGAGCATATGTAAATAATTAGAAATAATTTCTCGAATTTATCGATATATATATTTTTTTTACTATATAAAAAAGATTTTTGATTTCATATTATGAGATTTTTTGGAAAAAATTATTTTTCTATTCTGAATCTATTAATAAATAGAAATTAGATTTCATCTGCATGCAACTGAAATAGAAATTTTGATTTCTATTTTCTTATAGATTTGAAATTCAATAATTTGCGAGTCGTATTTGATTATAAAATTAGAAAATAGGCTAGGGATATCTATAGGTCTTCGTTAAAATAATGATAGAGGAGGTTGTTGTAAAGCTTAGGGCGGAAGTGATCGCGCACAAGAAGATTTTATAAGAGACGAATGAAGGTCTAGGAAGTTTTCGATCCGGAAATCCTTCTATAAGAGATTTCATATCTATAATATTATAGGGGAGCTATCGGTCGCTTACTCACGTAATCTGCCGCGAGGCCCGAAGCAAAGGCCACCACGGACCTCAGAACAAGAAGGCTGTGCGTAGCAAATTATTTTCGCCCGTCGTGATCCACGACGATTCACCTCGGCGTATTCCTCCGCATTACTGGACATATTAGCTGCCCATTTGGCTTGGCCCGGAGGGCGGAGCCGGCAATAATTGGAGCCGCGCGGCGCTCGGAATATACCCTCATAGATTATCGAAAGATCTTCTCTATATTATGGGATAATCCAGTATATTAAGGGGGGAGATTCTCTCTTGTGATGCACAATCATTTTGGCAGCTCAAATAATTACGACGAATATCATATTTATTTTCCAGAAGATTCGTAGCAATAGTTGTCTCTCCCTGCCTCCGCCAGCTGCTCTCAGTCAGAGAGAAGACTATAAGGGTTGCGTCTCCCACGCATTATATTATATTATATTCCCTCTTTCGAGAAATTTGATCTCGAAGGCTCTAGAATACCTTCGATCATAATAATTATATATTTATTAGTAGAAAATATTGCCTTTGAATCCTGAAGCCTTGCTTGATATAATCGAAAACGAGAGCTACCAGAATCTTCTCCTTTTCGTCAAATCCTGATAGAAGGATCCAAAAATCTAATCCAAATTCCCCTGCGGCGATCTGGGAGGGCGCGGAATCAAAGGCGGCGGAAGATTATCAGCGAAATTATGGTCTTCTCTTTGGAGCGTCTATAATATAAAGATAATTTTTAATATTATCATTATGGCTTATCGAAATGAAGGATCGGTATATTATTCGGGCGATCGACATATATATCGGGTATTCGGGCAGCAAAGACTTGGAAGGTGATTTTATCCAGCTAACATGTCGAAAATCAATGCTCTGATGACCTATCTCTCCAGATTGGTTCATATATGACGGAGCATAGATCTATTATAGATCCGAGAAGTGGAGGCGCCAAATCATCAATATTTCTGAGAATTTATAAAAATAAGTAAAGACAAATAATAAATGCATGAATCGGACGAATCCTTATTAATCATATATATCTCAATAATATTGAACTATATTGAAATATTCAATAATATCTAAGATATTAATATTCCCTTGATTCAATTAAATCGCTAATCTCGAATTATAACGATCATTATAGGTAAGAAGCTTTTTTTTTTTTCGAAATAAGATATCTATTAAAAAATCCTATCAAGAATATAGATTTTTTATTATCCAATTCGATAGAATCATAGCCGAGAATCATTTTATACGCAATCCATCAAGAAACAAGATATAGCGCTACGATATTTCTACTTCATAAAATATTTTTATAAGAATAAATTTAGATATCCGATTCCATCATTTTTTTTTTCATTTCGATCCGACTTGAGCAGAACTAAATCATTTATAAAACTATATTCAATATAAAAAATCAATTATAATACTTTATCTGGAATAGAAGAAATAATTTATAAATATTATTTATGAAAAAAATATAAAAAATGAAAATAATATAATTCGAATTTAGATTATACGAACTATCGTAATATACATTTATCGAGATCTTCAAAAAATGAATTTTAATAAATAGTAAAATCTAATTTATAATTTTTAAAATATGATATTTTTCTATTTATTATGATATATTTTTTTAAAATTCAATCAAAGAAATGTTTGAATATTAATCAATATTCTTATTTCTAGAAAGTTTTTTTTTTATAAATTCTTTTTTTTTTTTGCAAATTTTCGTCCTCACTTTCGCGCGACATATTTGAAGTAGTAGTAGTAATCGTAATAATAATAGTAATAGTGGTAATAGTAACGACAATAATAAATACCAGCAGCAACACTAGAAAGAACAATATTAGTGTTGCAATAGCATTAACGATAATTACACTATAAAATTCGACTCCAAATCATATGCCATGGCCTTCAAACGACGAGACTTCTTTTATATAATTTTATTAAATTTTTCGTGCCTTAACGCTTTACGATTTCTCAAAAATAATATCTTCTAATATTGATGCTATATATAAGAAAGATCAATGTTTGAAGTGTAGAAGCATTGAATGAAAAATACGATATGCCCAGCTCCCCGACCGCCTCCTCCATATTATATCACGATATAGCGCGACAATGAGTTTGCCATCTATATATCTATGAAATTTAAAAGTCCTATATAACCCAATCTATTATATATCAATTTTTGTAGACACTCTATTTCCCATGCTAAAACCGCCTCCTCTCCGACAGCCCCTCTATTATTCCTAATCTTATAATAATATAGAACGTATTCCCATTCTTCTTTATCTTAACCTATATTTAATACTTTGAATCTTATATCCAGCCCTAAACCCGCCTAAATGCAGGCTATAAGCTTGAAGCACGTCACTCAAACCAACCCAATTCGGTTGTTCTTTGTCATCATTGCAGCGCGTAACTCGAAAATCGATTTTGCTTCGCCCTTGCGCGCTCTTACGCACGCACGATTTTCAAACATAGTCCCAGCTCGATAAACCTTCTTACACTACTTTATCGCGCTTGCGCTCGCTTGCGCCGTGCTGGTTTTGGAGCCGGTCCTAGACCTACATCAAAATATTCAAGTGCGCTAAGAGTCTACGGTCAAGGGGGCTTGGAACAACTCGCAAAAAACATGTTTGACAGGAAGTCTCCAACACGAAGACGGATCAGATCTAAACACCTCCGTGACCCCTCCCCGCGTGATTTGTGCTTGCTTCCATCCAATACTTTCAGTTTGGACCAGGCTTGGGTTGCATGCATTTTTACAGCCAGTGAAACTATGATAAATACTATGCACCTCTGTATTCATATCGAGATTGACCCTAGTTTCATATCGGAACAGATGGTCCAATCTCTTGAGTCTCATCTTTTCTGCGCCACATCCATCACCTTTGATTGTCCAGGCAAAACCGGACGATAGCTTTCCCAGCAGAAGTAGCTCCTTGCAGGCTTGACTGCGGCTTTTTTCGCTTCGCCACTGATCTCTTGCTGGAGTGCGAAAGTCTCGATGCCAAGTACTAGGGTCGTGACCATCATGTCTTTGAGGAGAACTGCGTACACCTGCTTATCGACAAAGTCCTGGTCACTGAAGAGATTGGGGTACCTCAATGTCTGAAACTTCAAGCTCTTCCTTCCCTCAGACATTGCCGAAACTCCAGCTCAGGGGCATGTTGAACTCGATGAGCTTCGCTTCGCCGTTGCCTTACACAGGCGTCTCAGTGCTCTGAGACTCCCGCCGTTGCGTGTTTACAGTGAGCACCTTACCCGACAACCTGAGGGGCTCGATTCACACTCGGGTTGAAAAGAACCAATCAGCGTTTCTCAAAAACATCCCAACGTAAATCACTCACTAAACAGCCCATGTTCGCAATGAAGCCTAGCAAGTTCACTCAAGGAGCTTTGAATCAGCGCATCCCCACCCACCAGTGCGTAGCGGTCGGAGCCGCTGGAGTCCAGCAGCGGGCCCATTGCAGGCAGGGCCTCCGCACACTGACAAAGAGGCGCTACCCTCCCGCACATCGTCGCCCGCCCACATCACCAGAATCTTGAGTTGAAGGGCCCAGGGTGATGTTTGGGCGCAATCAGACATTGAGTCCAGACTTCAGTAGTAGCTGACGACGGACATGTCGGCAGGGCGCAAAAAGCCACACCGAGCTCATTGCAACATGTGCAACCTTAGCGCTGTTGGCTTGCCTCGCGAAGTCTTGCGGCAATCGCCTTGCGCCAGCGCGGCGCCTGTGTGCTCTCAAAACTTTGAGGAAAGCAGATCCAGACATACGACGGAAAACTCAGTCTGCTGAACAATCTGCCATGTAATGTAGAACAGTTTCTCGGCACATGCCATGCGAAGAAGGGAAAAGAGACACAAGACCTCCTTTGCTGTCTGTGCAGCACCTGCTCTACGGACTGCAGCAGTATGAGATACGTCTCGGAGCTGTCGTCGTACCTCGGCGCAAAGGCACAGTGAGAAGTCGAAAGCTGATCGCCACGCCATGGCCATGGGCCGATTGCCATGCCGAGGGGCCAGTCATGTTTTGCCTGGACAACCATATCTACACTGCGGCGGTCGTACTTCTCGCCGTGCACGATCAGGACACCTACCTCGTGAAGATAGATGCACTTCTCGTGCACCTCGGCTCAGCCCGCTTCCGCAAAACATTCTGGCTGGCGGAGAATCCGGATCCAGTTCAGGCTCGAGTTGCTACGAAAAAAAATCGGATCACAAACTTCCGGTCATCAATCAGCTCGAGATCCTGCAAAGTCCGGCAAGGATGCAGCTGTCGGATCCTCTCAGCTCTCAGGGTGCCGCATTCGACGATTCAGTCCTGTACAGCACGTTGAATGATGTACTCACTGGGCAGCTCTTCGCGCTGCAAGTCCTGTGCAAGCATCGCCCGCCCGCATACCGCTGAATGTGGACATACAGCTGTCATATGTCAGGGTGCCTACATCGACAACTTATTTCGCCCGTGTTCTCCTCACGGCGCAGAATTCGGATGCCACAACCCCCGCTTTGTTCCGGCAGCTTTGCGAAGAACAATGCATCAGGCTCGGAGCTGGTTGCCTGTGCAAGGCCGAAGGCCGAAGTGCGGCGCGGAGTATGTCGCAGTCAACTTCAGAACTATTAGGGACCGCCTGCAACGCTTCGGCCGACGAGAAGTAAGTGGCAGGAAACACGTCGGAGCAGCCGAACTCACGCAAGCGGAGCTCGAGCCCGCGCTTGTGATCATACACGTCAGTCACGCCTGCCGAACTGTGGCAAATGAGGTCACATCTCTGCCGCCTTGCTCTACGGCCTCGATCGATAAGCTGCACCAAGCGGGAGTAGCTGCCCATGTCGGGGAGCGTCTTCCCGCCAAACGTGTCAAAGTAAGTGAAAACCGCATTGTCGCGATATCCTCGCAGGAATGCTCTGTGGTGGTCCTATCCTGACTTATGACATGCGGACCCAGTGCATGTCTAATATTATCTGAGCACGGCGAACAAAGGCACAGATGATGATGGTGCTCTCAATGCCTGGGTACTTCCCAGCCAGCGCGTGTGTGGCGTCTGAGAAGGCTTGCCGACCCCGGTTCGCGAAGTAGCGAAAGCCGTCGACCTGACGGGTCAGAGAAACTGACAGCAGCGATTGGATAAGAAATGTAGGGGCCATGTCCGCCGGATCGCACGAAAAAGCCGATATCTTAAAATGCCTTCTAGCTCATTCTAGCTAGGCACCCAACGTTTTGGGATCCTTGGCTCAGTTGACTTCCATGGGCCCGAGGGGCCCGGCTAAGAAATGCTTAAGACATGAAGAACCCCCAACGACTCGGGAGCTGAGAAATCCGGAAACGTGGAACTAAACGGATGTTAAGAAATGCAGGGTACCCAACGCTGGAAGCTAGCATTTCTTATCCAGCAGATGCACTGTACTACTACCACTTCTTGCTGCAGTCGTCTTTCCAGTAAGTAGAACCATCGTCCGGCACCTGCCATGTGCTGCCTTGGCCCAGTCGGAGGACCTGAAACTTCGCGGGGTTTGCCACTTTCAAGAGATTCCACAAGTCAGACCCCGGTGCCTGTGGCAAGTAAGTGCCGAGGAAGGCCAGGAGAACGGCACCCAAAGCTAGGTCACCTGCGGAGCTTACCCACACATTTTGGAAAGCTACGAGTATTTTTATATCAAGACCTGTAACGCCCGCCGCACAGATGATGCCATGCCACGTGGCCGCCCGATGCCCTGCCGAGTCTCTGGCCGCTGGAGGCCGTGCCCACATCGCCCAGGCCGGCCGCACGCCCGCATCGCGGACGCGGCGAACCGCGCCGAGTCGGGCTCCCGGTGTCGCGGACTAACTGGGCCAAAACGGGGAATTCAAGGCGCTTCAACAGTCTTCAACATGACCAAGGTGTACAAAGGCCCCCAGCAGACCTTCAGACGAGTTGCCCGCTGCATTGCGACATGAGATGCCGATGTGACGAATCCAACATCCCCACAGTGTCGATGCACCATCCTTGGCAGCAGTCTTGTGAGCCCAAAGTTGGGCAGCATGCTGGGGATCACTTCGTGCGTACCGTGAGTCAAGGCGAGAAGTCCTAAGCAAGCGTACTTCAGCGCGTGCCGTCTTCGGATGCTGGCCATGGCGGGCAAGCAAGTGCATTCCTGCTCTTACGGCGGATGCTAGTCGAAACTTGATATCCTCCTGAAACTGCTCTAGGTGAAGATGCTTGTAACTTCTCGAGCATTGGAGATAGCTTCCGGGTGTGCAGGTGCGACACATGCCCTAGAATCTGGTAGACTCTTGGCGGCCAGATGCGGTTAAGCCTTCTTTTCTGAAGCGAGTACAGAGCTGCCGCAGGTGTGCTTCTTCCACTTGTGGGAAGCAGCAGAGCAGTCGCCGGCCCAACTCACTCCCAACATCGGTTCTGTCAATGACTGCGCACGCATCACACTCACACTCACACACACACACAACACACACACACACACACACACGTGTACGCACAAAGAGACACCGTAGCACGAGCCTGCCACAAGAATCACGTCATCTTTTCTTCTTGCCATCCTTTTTCGCTTCCTGCGTGCGCACTCGCCTTGTAAGCACATGACTGTTCCATGCTCTGTCGCCGTCAATAAGATTTTCGAAGTCCTTCTTCTTCGGGGCTTTCGTACTTTCAGAGCCCTTCAGAACGAAGGCGATGCCTCTCATTTGCATCGTAGCTTGGGTCACCCTGCACAGCCTGCAGCCATCTGCAGCCTCCAAACACCAGGGCCAGGAGCAACAGCAAGGCCAAGAGCAGCGGCCAGCTGGATGCACCCGTGCCTCGCATATGAACTTTGAGAGTCGGATGCATTATGCACTAGACTCACTAGGCTATACTAGGCTAGCACAGCAGTCTCATGAACGACTCCTGGCAAGTTGCCAGTGGGCTCAGTTACCGCAGCATCCGGTGGAGGTAGCCCATTGCCTGGCAGGGTCCGTGGATGCACGCTGAGCTCAGAGCGCTTTTCAACAGAGCCTCGGGTCACTCGCGTCACCTCCATCTCGTACAAGACCGCTGTGTCGTACGGCAGGAAGCCCGAACGAAAATTGTAAGCAAGGGGCCCCGGGATTTTGGCCCGGACTTTCTCCTTCTGCAGCAAGAGCCATGTAGCACTACATGCCAAAGTGATCAAAGCGAGTGACTGCATTCAAGAGTCGCTCTCACACATCGTGCGAAGCACAGCTTCCATTCCGACGATCAACTTCGGGGTGCCCAGCATAAACTCTAGCGGCTTGTCCTCCTGCCAAGTGCCAGCACCCATTTCTACGGCTGTCTCACAAGAAATTTCTATCTAAACTCTCCAAGGGCAAGCTGCGCACCTTGCTTTCCGGGTCAACGTTTGAATCCATCTGCATGCCTACCTGCCGCAAGCGAAGGTGTTGGTGGCAAGACTTTCCCAACTCAGCACGGAAAAATGAACGAGTACACACTGGACTGCGGGAGCCGATATCACTGTCACTCACACTGCTTGCAGGGGTGGTCTACGAGCCTTGCACGGGACACCTAAACACACCGACCTACCGGCCTGATAAATCTCTCAGTGTACACCGTGCCTCAAACTGAAACAATAAATAGTAGCCCCCAGCGCCGAAAGTGTGGCCTGAATCGTGCGCCCTTGTGCATCACGAGTCTTGCCTTCGGGAAGCTCTGCTATGAATCCTGCGAGGCGGAGCATTTGGACTGCAGGAGGTGAACCGTGTGCTCCCGCCATGCTTAACAAAACCGCAAGCCTTTGTGCTTGAAGGCCAAGGTGTCTCCATCCTTGTTGGCGCTTCGGTCGCAGTCCTTTGGGGGTGCTTCAAAGTAAACTTTCGATGGACCGCTGGCTTAACGGATCATAAGCTGGATGTGTGAGCTAGTCCCTCAGGACCTTGCGCTCTGCTCCGTGACCCACTCCAGTTCAATGTGTGAAAGGATGGCTGGCCAATCTCGTTTCCTTCCATCAGCGACAGCGCGTTGGACAACGGCGCTGTGCGGTCTCTCCGGTGCTGCCTGCCATCGCCTGGCATCAGAGTCGGCGCACGCTTTTTCTTCTTCTCTGCCATGGCTGCAAACGTCGAAGACCAGGTGAGCTAAATATTATTGCGTGTCGCGTGCTCTGCTGCAATGTGCAGCTCGTCTAGGTTCCGACTGACCCTCCGCAGAACGTCCGAGCCATGCTGGCGACGCATTACTGATTGGAAACAAGAGAGAGGCTGCCCCGATCAAGCCCCATTTTGCTCCTGCTCAATTCTTGCTGCTGGAAACCCAGGTCAGGCGAACTTTGAACCTGTCCACTGCTTAAAACGAGTGTAAACTGTAACTCCTCACTTTGCGGCGGTCACAGTGTCTTTGGCAGTTTGAATTTTCATCACGAAGTAGATGGCTGCTCCTGGGAGCAGGGCGATTCCACCACGAGCGAAAAGGGTGCCCCTCAGTGCCTGCGAAAACGAATGTCAACAGCAGCAGCGGCTTTGGGCCCTTCCTCAGCCGGGCTGGCTCTCAGGGCTCTGCAACGAGTCACACGCAGCCTGTGCGCAACGCAAGCTGCGATTCCACACATGACTAGACTGAGGCAAGGGGCAAGGCATGTGCTGCCAGCAGCGAAACGTAGCGCACAAAGAGCATCAACATGTTGGATCCGAAACGCAAGCCGCCTGACGTTACATGCGTCCGGAACAGCATGCTCAACAGCCTTCCTACCGAAGTTTGTGACACACTGCGAAGAGATTCCATATTGGAGATGTCGTCCATGCGATCAACACCTCTCGTCGGCCTGCTGCCCCATCCCCTTGCGACACTCCGTCGTTCACAATCGAAATCATCAGGCCTCAGAGGTGCAGCGGAAAACCGCAGAAAGAGGCACGTCTGCTTCGGGGCGAGGGGAGGGAGGGGAGGGAGGGGAGGGAGGGGAGGGAGGGGAGGGAGGGGAGGGCAGAAACCGAGCAGCGCGCAAATGGCTGCACCGACGGTGCATGCCACTGGCCTGCATACCTGTAATCTGGCGTGCATGATGTACCAAGCACGGTCATGCAAACAATGCCAATGCAGAATGACAGCCAAAGCACGAGATTGTAAGAAGCTGCGGAAACTGACGCCTCAGCTTCGCCATGTTCGGGTTGGAGCTTGCACGCAAACGCAGCCGAGGCGCGAGTGAGAAGGTCACGAGTAGGCACGCAAAGGCCAGAAGGCCCATGATGAAGTTCACATTGCAACCTGTTCCACATAATCATCATTTCAAGCATCCTGACGAAATCGCGGTCTGTCGTGTCCTGGCCTATCCACGGTAGTTCGTAGTATTGCTTCAGAAGCTGCATCAAGCTTCCGGCAGGAGGTGGGGATCTTTCCTGGGATGCGTGTTCGATTGGCTTCCCTTCCAAAACCATATGAAGGCTCGCTCCTGAAAAACGCTCCGTCCAAGGCTCGTTGATCTTGTTCACTGTGATGGTTGACCACACCACGGTTGTCAAGTGGCCTTAGTCACTGTGTTCGGGTCTCCGACAAAATGAGTCGTTGCATGCATGGACACGCCTTTCCAAAGCGGTCGTCTTAACACAAGAATCCGAGCTATCATTCATGGAGTCCAAGAAGCAGCAGATGGCCACCGAAGCAATAACATAATGCATTCTCTTCACCCGCTTCTTAGAATTTTCATTCGATGGACAAGCACTGGAGACAGCATTACACAGAGTCTGAGGCAAGCGACAAGCCATCCGGGGTCGTCTGCCGCGATCTTGGGAGATGCCATGAAGCCAATTGGGACGACGGCCCCAGCCAGGAGAGCAGCAGGAGCTCGCATGTTGTCGAACCTCATCCCGCTTCCCTCAGACCTAGCAGAGAATTTGTTACGTGAGCCAAAAACTAAGCCCAAGGCAGCTTTGCAGCCTGAGCGCTGAAATCCGCCACGGCCTTCCGCTGCGTTGGCTTCCAGCCTCTGCAAAACATGTCAAGGACAGCGGCTTCTTTCCGGGCAAGTCCAAAGCTCCACAACCTGGCACTCCGCCGAGGGAAGGCACGGAAGCCAAGGGTTTCCGCGTGAACTCGGCGAGTGGCATCGGGATTGCTGCGCGCATGGTGGACTGAAGCTAAAGTCTTTCGCCAGGCTGAGCAGCTGAACTCAAGTACCAAATGAATCTGCTGCAGATGCGGCTCAAGGAGTAATTAAGTGCCACACCGTCTCCACGCAGCCCACAGAGAAGCAAACTGCACAAAGACACAAGCTGCAGCAGACTGATGCCGCAAGTGCTCACAAAACACAACTTGGATAGCCTGCATAGCGGAAGACACACCACGCTCCAATGACCAACAAAGGGCCGTAGCAGCGCTTTGTCATGGCTTGTAAAGCTGATCTAGACATAAACTGGGGCCTGACTCATGTACGGCTGCCGTCTATCTCGGTCCACGGTCAGCCGACATTAGTACTCGACATCTACGACTCTGCTCGTGGCAACCAATCTTGCTTCAGAAGGACGAACATCTTGATTGATAATCTGTTCCATTCGAGCAGCAAGCTTTTTTCGCACTCTCACGCCGGAAAAAAACGCATGCCTCACCATCAGCATTCCGCAGACAGTGTCAACATCGACCTGCATTGACCGGCTGCACTGATCATTGGCACCATGTGCTTGCTTATTTGCATCTCATCTGTTTAGAGAATCCCTGCTCACTGCAGGCCTCCTCTCAAGCCTTTTCCAAGAGCACACAAGCATGGCACTCGAGTGCACGGCACTCCCCGACAGAGTCCATCTTCTCGTGCGTTCTCGCCTGCAACGAGAAAAGCTCAGTGCAAGCTTTCGTCATACGTTCTTGCGTGCAGGCCTTGAGATTGACTCTTGCCGGGATGGTGTCGCAAATGCGGACGAGGTTGTCTTTCATGTCCTGGGTGCATCTAACGCGAGATGAAGCTGCTTCATGATAAGTCTAATTCGATCTCAAAAATTTCGTGTTAGCGGATCATCACCACGCGTCTGCCTTTCGTGCAGCCAGGCGGGGCTTCTCTGCGATAATTGTCACATCCTCAGTCAACAACCCTGCCTGGATCCTTCTGGACTGTTGTGCCAATTTCACCGCAAATGCCGACAACGGCTCGACATTGCCAATCCGATATCCTCAGATGCGTCAGAGACATCTATATCGAAAGAATCGGGGTCTCCAAGCTGTTGTTCTCCAGGCTGTTCACATGCGGAAGCACAGTGTGTGCAGGTGAAATGCAGTTGAGTCTCCACGCAGGCCCATCAGCCGAACTGCCTCTCGAAACGACTCTTCTCTTCAAGCAGATTCGTAGAGACTCTATGAAGGTTCTGAGATGAGCTTCTTAAGGGCTTTTGGACAGGCATAGTGATTGTGCGCTTGCTCATCTAACACAGCTATGTCCTCGTCAAAGAACTGCTCGGAGTTGGCGCCCCGCCAGCGCCTAGGCGGCACTTCTCCAACGAGGGCCCTTTCTGGCTTTCTGCGTCTTGGGTTCTAATCGATTCCGCTGTCGCCCTGCCGAGTCAATCGAGGTCGTGGCGGGTCGTTATCCGGAAACAGCTGCCCAATGTCCGGTAGACCCAGGGCACCTGCAAAGATCTTAATCAGACGGCAGTACATACTAATATCAACTGAAGTCATCTACAGATGCTGGCAAGGTCACCTGTGTAAGCATTCCTTCCAAACTACATTGTTTGTTTCGAATGGAAAACACGCGGCTATGCAAGCAACAAGAGGCAATCGCCAGTGCGGCAATGATTCGCCATGCAAGGCGTTGGCCACAAAGCCCGACAAGGAAGCTTATTCCCAAGCTCGTCATGCATGCTTGCCCTTTGCACGTGCAGTAAAGCCAAGCTGCCTAATATTGCATCAATCGTCGAATGGTATACCACATCGCCGTCCGAGTGGGCGACCACCCCCAACGGAAATTCCTGGATCATCGCTCGCTGTCTGTTCCGAGTGAAGCTTGCCGTGTTGCTGACATGCAGTCCTCAAATGTAACCCCACCGATGACGGCCGGCTGTGGCGAGCACTTGCCCCAGCCCTCGGGCTCATCCCGGGGCAGCATCCTGTGGATGTCATACCCATGGCCTACAGCAGCGCGTTGGTAAAAATGCAGCTAACATGCATGACCCTCACAGTCCGGCCTATTCTTAGCGCTGGTTCGCAAGGAATCTTTGCGCTTGTGGCAGACTCTTGGAACTCGGTCTTGGGAAAAAACTCCTGAAGCTCACGAAACTTCACAATTCTCAAAGGCCATGTGGGCACCACGGTGGCCTCTGCTCCACGCTCTCCGACGTCACCCTCGCGCAATGCCGCCCGTGTGCAGCCGCGGTGTCGCGTGACTGCGCTCAAAACGCCTGGCGCAACCAAAATCACCAACGCGCTTGCTAGAACATGCGCATGACGAAGCCTGCAGCGCAGCCACAAAACACATCGACGGTTCGCCATGGAAGCGTGGCGGGGAGAGGTTTCCCACCTCGAGATAGAACCAACTCCAGATTCGGGAAGGCTTCGCGCAGTTGTGAGCAACAAGTCATGCTTTCACGAATACTATTCCAAGTCTCTTACCCTTTGCCAGCTGTCCTCGGAGCCCTCTGGGAGCTTGTACAGTGCTTCGCACTGGTATCGCCAAGCTCAATGCCATGAGGCCTCGCTACGTACCTTTCGCTCAGATGGCAGCAGCTACCCAGCCGCACGAGTCACACGGCTCCCCGAGGCAATGCCAGCTGACTGCTTTCCGGGTGTTCTCTGCATCTGCCCTCAGCGTCACGAGCTTTGTCTTTTCGGACCCGGCGTCGAGCATCGAAGCGGGCATGACATTAGCTTAGCATCACGTGCTTCTCAAAACGTGTGGTGAAACTGACCGCCCGTGCAAGCTGCTTTCCCGAAGCTATCTTGCACAGGCTGAGATTTCAATTGCGCAATTGCCATGTACGAGCTGCAAATGCGGCCTCGCGCCGCTCTTGGGAGCTCAGTCTTCGGAAAATCAGGGGCGCTCCAACGGGAAAACGTGAGGCACCTTTCATCAAACATGAAGGTGCAACTCAGTATGTTCCTGGTGTGGAACTGCTTGGGCCACCATGGCCTCGCACATGTCACAAACAAAAACCTGCACTTGGCCATCCGCCACCCAAAGACGAAGACCGATTCCTGCCAGGGCCCACGCCGATGGGTGTCCTGAAATTGCCGCGATGGCCTGATCCTTAGGAAGCTCCCAGAGTTCTCAAAAACAGGCAAGCCTCCTTCCTTTCCGTGCCCTTCTTACGCTGAGCAGCCCAAGGGAAGCCGCGACCAAAGATCAGCTGCAGCAGGAGCCGGATGACCTGGATCCGAGAAAGCAGCGGCAATCACCAGCTTCTTCGAAGGCCACCGCTGTCTGACTCGTGCGACAATGATTCGAAACGCACAGATTTCATCCTGAGCAGTGATAGTCTGGCCAATACAGACAGTGCTCGCTGAAAATGAGACCGTGCTGCGTTTCGGTCTGTCAGGTGTTGTGTAGCCAGAAGCCGAAACTGGGATGCTCTGCAATGCAGAACTGATTGCACGACAGTACTCTCGACTGCCTCGTCTAACTGTGGTACGTCCACAAGACTGATTCTCCCTAGGCGCAGATGCCGCATCGCACAGCTCACTGTGGGCTGGGCAGTCACAACCAAAAGGGTCAGGAAGAAGTTTGTGACGGTCTTCCCAGATATTCTGGGCCTGAGCACGCAAAGTCAAAGTTGATTTCAGAATGTATATATGTATATGTATATAGTCATATGTTTGTAGATATATGCGGAATCAAGCAAACTCATTCACTCACTCACTCGCTCTCCTGTTAACAAACAGACACACACACACAGAGGCGCACACAGGCACACGCACACATTGCTGTGTTGAGCTGCAAAACAGAACAGATTGCTGCAACGGTGCATAGATGCCGTCACTGGTCTTACTGCTTGGAGTGAGACCGCTCCTGCGAACTGCAGCCCTCAACCTCCGCTTCGCCCATCATCTGTTACGCTTGGACGGTGCCGGGCGACTTTTGCAGAGCCGGGCCACCCATTTGCTGTAAGGTCGGCTTATGCGCCCTCCACGGCAAATAATTTGATTGGGTCCCCCCTCGTGTGCGGCTCCGTCTTCGCCGGTGCGAGTGCTCACCCCCTCTCTGTCTGCCTCTCTGTCTGTGTCTCTCTGTCTCTCTCTACCTACCTACCAGGCAAGAGGAAGTGTCCTGCTGGTTTTCTGTATCCTGTGGGGGCTTTGCTCCACCCGGCTCGGCTGTACTCCGCGCAGACTGGTAACGTGCAGTGCATGTTCACCCCCTCTCCTCTCGGTTTGTCCGTCCGGCCTCTCTCTCTCTCTGACATCTCGAATCACTGCAAGCTCCTGCGATGGCAGTCCGCGCTAAGATTGAAGCAATGAGCTCCCTCGTGCCACTGATGTGATGATGCATCGGTTCCTGTGGCAGGGAAGTTAGGCTAGCCACCTCCGGCTGTCGTATGGATCAACAGCCCCGGCTGATCACAAGTAGCACGCAGAGACTTTGATCGCCTAATCTACTTGGTGAGAGTCGTTGAGAGGCGATCGTAGGCGACCCCAGTAGTTATATAGCAGTCACTGTGCAGAATGCGGTGCCCTGCCACTCCCGGATTCTTCAGGTCCCGTTTCCTTATGATCAGCCACGGCGGTCAATTGACAATCCCAAAGCTTGCCAAAGTGGATCATTCGTGTAAGCTTCCGAAACTTCGTGATGGATTTTGGCTTCCACATGGCCGTTTCAGGATGCGTTGTGCCAGGTGGCTGCTCGATCAACTCTTCTTGGACATCGGTCTCGGGGTCTGTGGGGCCAAGAACAAAACAAAGAACCTTGCTGTTGGCAAGCCGACCTGCCACAGCGCAAAACGTGCGACGAACAAACATCCTTCAACTCAACGTCATTGAAACACTGTGGTGGATGATCGGTGTCTGTGCATGTTGGTGCTGCGAGGTGTGACTGCGAAACGCACTGATCCATGCAACAATTTACCTGTGAACATCTTCTATCACGTGCTTCTTCAGTCCTCATGGAAAGCCGAAATGCCAGCGCCCTGGGCCCGACATGGCGGTTGTCATGCTAGCCGAGAGCGCTTCAGCCGATTTCCAGCACTCGAGACTCTGAGCACAGGACGCGGCCGCAATCGCTGCAGTGAAAGCCAGAGACTCTGGGGCCCGCAGTACGATGGCACCACCTTATCGAAGAGCTCGGCGCCCCTCCTTCTGACAACAGTGCTGCTGGGGACATGGCCGAAGGACATCACCTAGGCAGAGTCCCGAACTTCACCGAATCGATACGCATTTCTAGTGACATTGCATGGGGAGTGATTTCAGGCCTGGGGCGCGTGCGACAAATGCCCAGTGTGCCACGTCTAGCAGTAGGCTTCGAATTCGTCTGAGCGTCTCTCCTGCTATTCAGATGCGACATCCAACTGCGACATGCAGTGCCGGAGTGCGCTTTCAAAGGCTTGCTCATCAGTTGAACATCTGGAGAGAAGCCCATGAAGGACAAACAAGGCAAGACAGGCGGTCGATTGGGTGAATGCACCTCGGAGCCCGAGTGCATGTGACATGTGGAACCCATTGCGGAGTCCCACCGAGGCTTGTTCGCCAGCGTCGGCTCATCCGAGCTCAGAATGCCGAATTGGAACGAGACGGATTTAGCCCAAAAGAGTGCTTTCCATCCTTGCCTGTGCCCTTCATACAGTACAAGCCCTTTCGAACGTGCTCCTGTGAACAGCTCGCAGCTCAACCGGCACAATGACTGCATAGCAGAGTAACTTCTTTTTTCGTTTTCCAGTACGCCTGAGTGGGTCGCACCCGGCACATCCCGGCACAAAGCTTCACATCCTCGCACTTCTGCGTGGATGCCAGCATTCACTGACGAATCGCCTCGTCAGCTTGGAGCTACCATTAATTGAACCCTCTATCGCCTTTGTTTTAAGGTCTCGGTGGGAAGTGCAGTCGCCTTCCGAATCAGAATATTCGCGCCCATGCACCTGAGCTTGGCATCATCTCGAAACCAAGCAAAGGTTGCACAGTTGCCAAGTCCTGGACCTGTGCGCACTCGCGTGGCCAGGGATCTCCCAACCGTTTGGAGTAGGCCGAAGCCTCCCACGGGTGTGAAGTGGCTATGATCGGCATCTATGGGCCCACGGTAAGTTTCGTAGCAGCGATGCTCCTGGAATTGCTGTCACCATGGTGGTGATGCCATGCAGCAGGCGCAGAAGCGGCCACCAGTGCACCACCCAAGGAGACAAATTCTCCTTGGACCAACATCGACCATCTGACTAAAGCATCATCTGCAGTCAGCATGACTTTCGGATTGACGGGCTTTCCAAATCTTCCTTGACTGGGAAACTCATCCGAGTGGCCTGCACTGCTCGCATCTCCTGGCAATGTGCTTGGCTTCCGCATCTTCCACGTGAATGGAAAAGACCCTGAGGCCAGGTCCTCCCACTCGCACTGGGGGCTGAGCATGCGCGTGTCGCCCTCTTCGAGGGCAACGGCCTGTGAGTGCCAGCTCGAAGTCTCTGGAAAGCTTGGACTGGAATCAAATCGCCTCTGCTCTGGTAATCAAGCAGTCATTGAGCTCAGAAGAAAAGGACACCTGGACGGGCCGAAGGCTGCAAGGACCAACTCGCCCTGTGCTGCAGCCTTCCAAGCATCAACATCGGCTGGGGCGCCACTCACCTGACGCAAGAAAGTTGCCGTCTGCAGGAGTGCGGGCCCGCATCAGCACCTCCAGCGACAAGTCCACTCGCCGGGATCCTGCCTCCGTTTCCGTGGCCCCTGAGTCGGCGCTCGCAGGATACAATGGATGCGAGCTCTTCTCTCAGACCGTCAGACGCTCGCCTGCTTGATCCGCCGGCCAAGGCCCCCCACAGCGAAGTAGGTGCCGACCTGGAATGGACTCTCTGGTTCCCCAGCCCCGACAAGATGGGCCCATGGGGGCCTCCACTAACTGACGAGTTGAAGAACCACTCAGCGCACATGTCGTCGCTGCCAATGAACCACAAGCAACCACTGCCAGAAAGGACGCGAACTTCTCCTGCAACATGGACACTTGTTGCTCGCTCATTAGCAGCGCCCACAGGTCAGCAAAATTGCAAGACTCAGCACACATCACAATCCTGTACTGTTACTATGCTATGCCCATTCAGCAACAGTGCCTTGCGGCTTTGGCCCCGAGCCGTAGCTGCATGAAAGATCGGAGTCCTGTCGTCTGTCATAGATCGCTCCGAGGGAACCCGCACACACGCATGCTATAAGCAGGCACGTTTTGAGAGCCGCAACCACCACCACATGCTACCGACTCTCAATGACCCCAACAGTTCCCCAAATATGAGCATCACATGGGAGACGTTTGCGAGACACGACAGGAGACTTTCAGATGTGGGAACATAGAATAATTTCTGCCCAGAATCCAATGGGCCAAAGCGCCGTCGCGCCAAGGCAAAGAAGCGTTCGGGATGCATCGGCCTTGGACGAAATCGAACTGAAGTTCGCCGTTCGCGGCAGAGTGGGACGCAGCTGCGATCCGGAGAATAAGCCTCGAATTCGAATTCCCTCGGAGGAACAGCTACCGAGCCTTCGCCGCACAAAGCCGATGTGAACTTGCGGGAGGCCTAGCGCTTCAAGGGCACTTTGCCACAGCACAGCTCTGCAGCGCCATCCTCTCAGAATTCAATCTTCCCTAACGGGCCTGAAGAAGCCTCTGTTTCGCCGGCAGGCGCCATAGTTTGGGCAGGCGCGAGTCAAGAAGGCTTCTCTGCGTGTCAACATAGAGTTGCACCCTCGATGGCTCATCGGCTTCGAGAGCTTCGAGGTGTGCACTTCGAAGCAGTTGTTTCGAGAGGGTTCTCGTGACGGTTCTTTGCGCTGGCGTTGCAACGATCTGCTATCAGCGCTTCCATCGATCAGTCAGCTGCGAGACTTGATGCTGAGCTCTGCAAGCATCGGGGGTGTCCCATCATGCAGATTCCTAGGATTGAAAGATTGAGACATGAATTGCGGTAGCTCCTTTGATGCAACAGAGACCTTGCTCTGGCAGCGGAAGAGATGCCAGCCTGGGAGGTTTTCTGCTCTGGTCTGCGTTCCACCCCTTTGTGCTGGCACTAGGCCGCTAGGCTACTGCACACGAGCAGAATAAGGCCCTGGCACCATCATCAGCTGAAATGCCAATGCCACCGCCTGGGCTTCACTGCCCCTCGACTTGGCCATCTGGGTAAACAGGGGTATCTAAACACTGCGACCAAAGAGCAAAGTAGAGCTTGTCAATCAGGAGCGGAACTTGTGGCATACTCATAATCCAAAGCCTCTGCACCGCATTAGGTCATCAGGGCCCAGGTCTCAACGACGACTGAGTCTGAGGGGGGGGCTCAGCGGCAATGGCCAGCAAGACAACACCTCGAGCCCACAGGCACTATCAACATGCGAGCACATCAACCGACGGACCAAGCACGCAGAGTGAGTGCAGCGCTTATGAGAATAATTGCGAGCTTCGTCGAGGGCCTTCCCCACCCAGGAGAACAGTAACAGGGAAAGCCCCAGCATCTCGGAGTCCGTGCACAAAGCTGTCCCTGTCAACCTCTGAGACGACGGCCCACGGCGAGGCCTTCGAAGCGGAGCTGCCTCACTTCGCGCTTGTGAAGATCGTCTTTCGCGTTCTAGTCTTGCCGAGCCGAGCATGGGGTATCTACGCTCATTCAGTCCCGAGATAGGGAATCAAACGTGGATCAGGTCCGTTGAAGTCTTGTGGTATGGCCATGCGTCGCGAGTGCCGTTGCGTGTTTGGGCTGCCAATGTCAGAGGGTAGAAAGCATTATCTCGTTGAACGTCCGTCAAGGAGAACAGCTGCGCGTGACTGGGCGTGTGGCTGCAGCAGCAATGGCATCCTGACAGGCTGCCAGCGAGATCCAACTATCCGAGTTATCCCAGGCATTTGGAAGCGCCAAGCTCTACGAAGACCTTCTCAACAAAAAGTCACTGCTTGCCTCCGGCGCTGCAGACCCAGATTCTGCATCCGGCAGTTCCTCCTGCACCGGGAAATTCCGATAAGCCCAATGCCTATGCAGCGATGCTTTGCAACGAGAGGGAGTCCCCGGGCCCCCGGGCCTCGGCGGGTGATTTGGAGATTGAAGCTTCCTGCCTCAGAGCCAGCGCTCACTTCGTCCGGGGAGTGTCGCCTTCTCTGGGCTCGAAGCTCCAGTCTCGCGTTGGAACCTGCAGTCCGTTTCCCTCTGGCAGAAACTCTGACGAGGATGGCGACGCTCAGATCTCCACATGGGCTGCGGTTGGCATCTGTGTTGGCGACGGCCTGACACAAGCGGACAACCACGAGTAGCAATGACAGGAACTTCGGGGCCGCACCCCGGTCTAGTTTATTAGTATCGCAAGCTTGAAGCACTGAAGTAACTCTCCCAACAAGTCGGTGAAGAACAGAAAGAAACAACGACCTCATCCACAGGCGACGTCGGCTGAGATGCCTCGAGAACGGCTGCCATGTCATGTGAGTCGAGCGTGGGGTTGGGCTCCACGCCTCTGCAGCACCGGCAGAGTTTCCCGGCTCCTTAGCCGCCCAACTCGAGGGAGGCATCTTGGAAACACACCCCGACATCAACTGCTGTTCATGCTTGGTTCACAGGCTGCCCACTGTGTCATTTGGCAATCGCTAGGATCCTGGCGGTGGATGCCATTTCCTTCATCTTGGCTGCCAAGTCTTGAGCCAGAGAGGTGGGCCAAAGCTAAGGCTTCGCGACCATGTCACGATCTGCCACAGTAGGGCACAAGCGCTAAAGAGTTCTTTTGGTTTGGGAACATGGCCTGGGCCATGTTTCGGCCCAGATAAAAAGCCCCCGAGCAGTCTCAAGAGCCAAATCCATGGTGGCTACAGGCTTTGGACCTCTCGCGGAGTTTTCACGAGAGCATTCGCACCACCACGGCAGGCTCTTCCACTTTAAACATTCGATGCGAGGGACATGGTCTGCATTTTCTTTATGCAGAAGCATGCACGACGCGGATCACGTCAAAGTGCTCCAGCAAGTCTTTGTGCGGCAGCTCTGTCGACGTGAGGACCATGAACTTGAACCTCGCCTGAGCTGAACAGGTATCCTTTGACAAAGACTGATTATATAGGTCGACATGTGAAAGCAGGGGGCAATCATCTTGTCGTCGAACATTTGGGCTTTGAAGCGCTCTTGTCGCTCCTCCTCGCGTGCTCAAGCTGCTTTCCATGTTCCTGACACTCTTTTTTTGCGGGCCTTCGTGACCAAGTCGTAGAAGTTTGGCATGCGCTTGCCTTTGGGAACTTGCAGCAGTTCCCGGCTGCAAATGTCTTGGAAAAGATTCTCCCGCACGTTCTCGAAGGGCTGGGAGAGTAGATCCAGTCCCACTCCGGCTCCGAAGTTGTGTAGATCCAGGGCAAGAACGCCACCTGCCAGATTAAGCGCAAGAGATCGCAAGAGCGATCTCTCAGGAGCTTCGAGTTGCAGTAAGGGCAGTCAAGCAGCCGCCACGGAGCATCGTCAGGAGAGCCACCCTGATGCGCTCTGGCTCCATGTCACCAGGGCGGAAGAAATTGAGTAGTGATGATCCCGAATACCTCATCAGGTCAGGTGCGAAAGGAGGAGACATGTGCTCACGCTGACACCATCAGGATACTGAGGCTGCGGCTGGATGAGTTTCTGTGCAATGTCCCCGGGGTCGAGCACTAACGGCCATCGGCCACCTTGGGCGATGCGCTCGCCAAGGTCGCGCAGTAGAACGTTGTTGAGCTCCGCCACCTCCGAGGTTCTCAAGTCTGGAAAGCATGGCATGCAACAGTTCTCCACAATCGGACAGAGGTGCGGTCTAAGTCGTAGAGTCGCGATGATGCTGTGCTTCCTGTGTCTCTGTCGGGTGGCTGGAACCGACCGCCCGGGGCCGCTGGCGACCTCGGCGCCCGCGGCCTCCGCCGCCGCGAGGCGCCGGCGCTGGGCCTCCGAAACGGAGCGAAAAAGAGCTCGCTCGCTCTGAGCAGCTGCCAACGCTCCTGGCCTGGTCGAAGTCATGCTGAGCGCTCGCGGCATCGGCCTTCGGCGAATCACGAACGCGAAGACATGCGAACAGTGACTTTGCGTCCGCTCCTCTGCTCGCTGCAAGGCTGCGTCCGCGGAGGCACAGGCCTCCATGGCATCCTTGCGATCTGACGAATGCAGAAAGCGATCTCAGGGCCCATCGACAGCTCTTGAGTTCTATCCGACTCTTGGTCCTTGTGGCCTGCAGCCAGCTTCATTCCATACTCTTTTTCCTTTGCTGGGTCCGTCTAGCTTGGCGCTGCAAGCGTGAGCAAATGTGCCACGATCGCTCTCATGCGCCATGCTCCGAGGTTCACGATTGCGCATCTGCGCCTTGGCCTTGGCAAGAATCATCTGAGCAGCCTCGTAGCTTTTGGCGGCAGCCTCAATCGCTTTTCGATGCTAGCTGCTAGACATGGTGCTAGAAGCTGCTAGAACGTCTTCGGCGTCACCTCGAAGGCTTCCTCCACAGATCTCATGGCCTCCCGTTGCCGTTGGTGCTCCTGTGCGGCAATCATTCGCATCATCTCAGGCCCATCATCGACAGCACCTAGCTCGGTAGAAGCGCCACCAGCACCGCTGCCGCTGCCACTGCTATCTCCATCACAAGCATAATGCTGATCATGGGATTCGATTTCGCCGTCTACATATATCAACCACGACCGCCACCATCATTGCTACGCTTGTCTTCTTCCTCTGCGTTCGTCTTTGTCACTGGTGCCACCACCAGCATACTGCATCACCATCAACGGTGTCGTCACCGTCGCTATATTCTGGCTCTTGTACTATCCCTTCTTGAACCAAGTCCTCTATCGCTAGTCTGCCTTGCTTGCCAAGCACACACTGCATCCGATCCTGGCGCTGGAGTTCGGCCGCCCATTCTTGAAAGTCCTGGCAAAGCCGAAACTCGCGATTGTGCCGAAGTGGTGCCTTCTGGAGGGTCGGCTCTGAGCCTCCACAAGCTCATCTGTGCGAGATACATCCTTGGACACATCTCATGGCGACTGGCGTGGCACGACGTCTGTTCGTGTCTAAGTGGCCCAGGCAGCCAAAAGCTCGCACAGCTCGTCCTGCCGCCATCGAAAGAATGCACTCCTGGTTCATTTCGGCTGTTTAACACGCTCCTGGGCACAAACATCAGCAGGAGTCTGCCCGTCGTCGTCTCCTTTGTGTAGCTGTGCGAGAACTTCATGCAAGGTCTGCAAAGAATTGAGGCTTTGGCTCAACCTCGGGTCACCGCCAGCTTCGAGTAGCAAGGGAACTAGATCGCTCTGCCTGCCTCACGTTTCAGCGGCTGTCAATGAAAGTTGGCATGGCAGCTTCTCCCTGTGACCCACACGAAATGCCAGCCATGCCAAGACCTTTCTTCCAAGAAACTGTATGCGGCTCTCCAAAGGGGTGTTCTGCTGAACTCCCCCCGCGTATTGGGGTTGGCCTTTGCACGGACGAATCTCAAAAGCAACTGATGTCTCCATAGGACCGCATTTCAGCTGACCTAGCCGCATCCAGCCTTCCGGTCCAGCAGCAGCTGCGCAGCCTCTGCCTTGCCTGCCGCGGCGGCCTCGCTCAAGGCCGTAATGCCGGCGGCATTGGCTGCATCAACGGGGAGGCCTGAGGACAAGACCGAAAACACTTCGGTAAGATCTGAGAGGTCCCAGGGCTGGGTCGCAGTTCCCATGAAAATCATCCCAAATGCTGGCCAAGAGTGGCAAAAGCAACCCCTTCTTCTGGACAAGATTACCCAACGACCCACCAGCCTGAGTTGAGCAACTTCGCGAGCACGTCGACGTCGCCGTCAAAAGCTGCTTCCAAGGCTGCTTTCGTGTCCTCAGAACCGACTCCGAACACGTCCCATATGCACGGGACATGCAAGCTCTTCCGTTCTGGCGCCAGGGTTCAGCCAACAGCTTTTGCGCCTTCTTCCGCTTCTCCTCCTGCTTGGCCCTCTCTGCTTCGGCCTTGCGCCGCTCCACCTGGAAGAGCAAAAGCAAGACTGAAGCCAGTCCCAATTCATGTCTCATCCCCTTGTGAAGTGGCGTCCCCAGCGACCCCGGCCTGCAGCGCGGCGAGCTCCGCCGCGCGCACCGCAGCAGCAAGCTCGGCATCCTGGCGCCTCGGGTCGAACTTTACCGAGCTCGGCCGCCCGTTTTTCCGCGCACTAAGCCAATCTAAGCCAACTCTTTTCTACATGGGGCAGCCGCGCCAAGATCGAAAATCTAATTTCACTCGCCAGAAGATGTCATGAGGATGCGCCTTGTTGATGGTGTTGCCCATGCAGAATTTCTGCAGCCGAAGAAGTTTCGATGGTGCTACAAATACCACGATGTTACGCTACTGTATTCCGGGTGTAAGCAGGAACAGAGCGACATAAAATGACACAACAGGTCGAGAATGGTCGAGATGAGATGGAACGTCGTGCAGGATGTTGCAGGTATTGAGTCAACACCTTTGGGGGACCTATAGGAGTGGAATGTAGAATCTATGTAGAACATACAAAAAAGAACGCAGAGTCGACTGGACCAAGACCCCAAGTCCAAGGCGCTGTTTCTCCTCGCACAGGCGCTGCGCCGCTCGGCGTGCCAGGAATGCCCGAGCCAGGCTCTGCAACCGAATTGCTGCTGCCTCCTGAGGCCATAAATGGGCCATAGATGGGCCACGGAGCCTCTTTAATTTCCAATCCGTTGAAGCTCGAAGCAAACTGCACCGACATCTGCTCTCCTCAGGCGAAGGTGCTGCCTTCGCTTTCGCCTTGGCCTTGCCCTTCGCTTTTGCTGCACCTCGACTTCACAGCTTCGGGAGTCGCCATGCCGGCTCCCCTTGCGCCTTTAGTCTTTGCGGTGACCGCGGCTGCACCAGACCCAGCAGCTGTCGGGGTAGGTGAGCGAGATGCCTTGTGTTCTGCACCCTTCATAGCTGCATTGCTGCCAGTACAGAGAGTTTAAACAGCAACTCGAAGCCGCAAGCAACAGCTCCATCTGCCGCTTGGTTGCAGGGACAGCCGGCTTGCCACCTTTCTTCGGGGCCATGGAGGGCCAGCATCATTCAGGACAAGGTGGACAACGATTGGCGACTTGGATTCCGTCTGGTGCCGCAGGCTGTGCTCCAAATTGACCTAATCTGCTATAGGCCTCTAGGTCTTGCAATTTCCATATCATGTTTAACACCTTTAGAAGCTGCGTTCCTTTGAAAGGAAAGTCGGTTGAGCCAATGGCGAGGGCCTTCAGAGCCGTTTAGCACATTGCGTCTTGCAGCATACGCACAGGTTGTAGCAGCAAAGGGTGCAGGCGAGACTTCTCAAAGTCCCTGGCGCCCTCGGTTTCCAGGATCCACTCCCAACACCAGTGCCGAGCTGGGAAGCTCGATATGTCAGCTGAAACCGATACAGGATTTGTGGAGCACTTGCTGAGGCGTTGGTCTCCAACGTGCTCAAATGCACTTTTTTTATGCACAAGTGGCGGCTCTGAGCCATTTAAAAGGCTCAGCACCACATTGCAGAACACATCGAATTCGTTGGAAGATGTGACCACGGAATCCAATTTCAAGAAGCAGACTGAATCACTGAATGCTGCCTAACTCAGCCCAGTGTTTTGCACTGCTTCTGCGTCTGGATGCCGGTGGCTTTATGTACTCATTCTGCAGAGGCCTGTCTTAGGCTTTGCACGCAGCGGCGGACACTTGCGCCCTTCTTTGTGTGCGTTGGTGTGACACCCTGAACTCTTAACCTTGCATTTGCATTCTCTCGGCAGGTGTCACTGTTCAAAGCGCCTATCGCAAGTGTGCTTTCTTGGCATTGGGTTAGGCGGCCTGGCTGCGTCTGCACAGGTGGCACTCAGGTGCAAGCGCTTGCTTCGGCATTGCAACCCCGAGCAAATTCAGGAATCCTGGGAGCGAGGCTTGACTTCACAAAGGAGACCGGGTCTGATCCAGGTCTGCCCCGTGGGTGCAGGGTCATCCAGCAGTTGATTTGTTTTTGGATGCTGCTCCATGTCGTGACCTGTAGACCAGTTCTGTTCAGCACCTCCCAATCACACCAAGGCTCGAGACGCGCAGCTTGGGACCCTCCTCGAAGCCAAAGCTCTGAAGTGGAAGGGCCGTCCGGATGACGCGACGCCACACGTCTGACGGCAGCCCGACGCGGCTGCCTCTTGCAAGGCTTTATTTGTGGATTGCACTCTCTGCCCTGGCTCCCGTGGATTATGAAGAAACTCGAAGCCAAAGGGTGTTTTTGGAATTCAAGCGCACATGTGCTTGTGGAGTTGCACCGTCTCTGGCATCGCATGGTCCGGACCATCTAGCTTGCCTAAATTTGAAGGCTTAAGGCAACCCTGCGCCCGCTTTCCCTCGAGTCTATTCTACATCGCTTGCTACGCTCAATGTCATGCTGGGTAGTTGCATGATCACGTTTGAGACGGTTAGTCACTTTCCTGTTCAGCTTTGCGCCGCCCTTGCATAGCCTTGCATCCCTTGCGCAGCACCAGTCTGGGATCCAAGCCTAGCTGCAGCAGCGTCGCAGCGGCATCGGCCGCTCTCTGCGCCAGAGCTCGGCGGGCCTCCTGAAAGGAGCTACACAAGCACTCGCATGCTGCCGCAAGCTGCAGGAACCCAAAACAAACAAGAAGATGCAGTCGAAGAGTTTAGCAGAGTCTAGCAGCTGGCAGCACTTCGCCCTGGCTTGGGGATTTGGGGGAGCGCCTCTGCAGAGGGCTCCCCAACGAAGACTCCCAAATGTCGCTGCACATGGACGAAGTGCAAGCCTGACAGGAAACAAAAGTCAATTCTGCGACATCGCACTCATGTTCGCAAGAACACCTATTCCCGATGCATGCTGCTCTCACTCGTCCGAGCGCGAAGAAACTGAGACTACCGCTGGCCGAGTACAGGTCGTCCTCGGAGCCAGGGACTTGCGACTGAAACAAAAACGCTTGCCGTCCTATATGAATCCTATGCGTCAGGCCCTGCATCGTCCTCTGCGGAACATCCGCCCCAAACCGAACTTTAGTCGGCCCCAGTCTCCTCCGCTTCCTCGGTCTTCCTGGCGCGAATGTGGCGGCCGCGCTCCTTCTCCCTGCGCTTGCCACAATGAAGTCAAGCTCAGATGGACGAAGCTAAGCCGCCAATGCCCTCTCGGGACCCGGTCCCGTTTGTACTCTTTGGGCCTGCGGATTGCTTCACAGCGCTCCACGGCAAAGGCCAAGTCTTTCTCGGCCTCGCACAGCCTGTGCCCGCTTGGGCCGCTTGGAGCGAGGAAGGGCGCTGAATCTGAAGCTCTGAAGTCAGCATGCGCCTGAACCAGAGTTCCGCAGGGAGGTCCACCGGCTCGGAGAGATTGCCCGCGCCACAAACAGTGAAGGCTTCCATCGCAGCAGTATCAGGGAAGTATCTTTAAAAGAGTACTGCAAAGCCTCTGAGACAACAGGTCGACTGCCGCGGCGGATGTGTCAACCACTGTGCATGTATTTCGACCCTTTGCCCTTGGCCGCCACTTCCAAGCAAATGCCCGAGGCGCCTTTCCGAGCAGACGAGAACATTGCAAAGATCGGGGCGGGTGCCAGCAAAATCAATGGAGGGGGACCGGGCGAGAGAGTTGAGGAGTGCAGGCAAAAAACTACTTCAAATATTGGCTGCAGTCAGCTCCGACCGTCTGTCTGTTCATTCTGTTGCAGCCATGCCGGGAACACAGTTTTTTCCTTTTGCGGCCAGAACCACAGAGCAACATTGCACCATTGTGCTCCGCTTCCGTTGGAGTTTGAATGGGCGCGCGCAAATGTTTCAACCTCGTGGCACGACAAATGCCTTCACAAGGACTGCAACGGCCGGAGCACAGAAAATGAGGCTTCATTGACAATGCGTGGACTGCTCGTCGGATGCCCAGGAGTTGTAGGTTTGTGAAATCATCTGAAGCATGTGAACAAATCTGGCAGTAAACAACTCCAATCTCGAAGCTCACTCTGGCATGGGATCCCAACATCAGCTGTTGACATTGCAGCTGCAGCAGCAAACTCCTACTCGTCGATCACTGGTCATGCTTTGGCTCTTTCGAGCTCCAGCTCGGCTTTGGAGCGTGGCGTTATGACGCTATGACGCAAGAGGTGAACCCGCAGCACTCAGCCGGCTGAGTTGTGGCCTCCAGCCACAACACGTCCCCAACTGCCAACACTTTTGCTTAAGTAGCAGGTGCCCCTCGCAGAAAAAAAGGCTCTTTCAACGGAGCAGTGTTTTTCACGACAATTCGAACTAGGACACCGACGGCAAATTCTGACAAATCCGCACCAGGCTGTAGCGATCGCTGTCGCGATTGACCTGAGTGCAGCGGCAAGGTGGACATCCTCATGAATGCAAATCCACTCGATCTGCTTTGCTTGCAGATCAGCGGGAAAACTGGCAGCGCAATGCACCTCCGAAGACTTTGTGCGACCTTGGGTGCACTTCAAGCAGTTGCTGCTCTTGCGAGCGGCGCAAGCACAGGTAGCAACTTAACGTGAACAGTGCCTACGGCTCCACGGCCGGGGTCCTCACTTGCTTCACCCACGAGGGCATGCAGCTTTGGCTCCCGTCGCCTGCCAAACCAATCACTCACAACGGTCCCCGACCCAAGCAAGGGAATTCCGAGGTGCAGGCGGGCTGACAGCAGGGAAGTAGCCTCAAAGCTTGAAGCGGGTGCGCAAAACAGCATCAATGACTTCGTTTGTCATGTGGATTGGGAGACTCGGCACAAGGTCACAGCTCCGGCAAAAAAAGAGGGCCTTCCAGCAATAAGCAGTCCCCTGGCGAATCTTTGTTGTTTCTACTTTTGTGGGCTGTCTGGGTGGAGTCAAGTGCAAACTTCTGAATCCAGGGCTAAACCAGAAACAGCCAAACCGTCGAAACATTGCCAGTTCTGACACATTCCGCCAAGTTGCTAAAGTCTCGTCTTCCCCAGCTTCCAGACATTGAATCGTCGCCCAATGCCGACCCTGAACAGACACTCGGGCTTAAGAAATCTATTCAGGCGCTTCAGGAAGCCACGAAACGGAAACATTACGCAAAAACATGCCAGACTCTTTGTGGCTGAACGGATTCCGGGCTTGCCAATGCCGGCCTTCGTTCCAGCTCTGACTGATCCGACTTGGACTTGCCCGTGCCGAACTCGAGAAGCCTGTCCGTCTGCGAGTCTCCCCAATAGCACCATCCGAGGATGCTAAGCATTGTTTTCATTGTCTCGACTAGTCTTCGTCCGTTTATCCCTTCTGACGCTGAGAAGCAGGTTCAAACCCGGCACGCTGCAAACACAAACAACAGCCAAAGTGCAGGCGAGACTCCCTAAGGGCAAACCATCCGTGAACAGGGTCAATGCAGGGCAGTATATCTCTGTCTCTGAAGGACTGGCCTCTACTCCATCCGAAGCGGATGCTTGGTCGCGGCGACTTTGCCGGACTCTGAGCGTCTCTGCTTCCTGAAAGAACTTCAACCTAGACTGGGAATTCCGAATTGATGGTGCTCGAGTCCTGCTCGACTTCTCGCACTTGCCTCGCTGGCGGCCATTGTGAAAGACCTGACACCCCAGCAAAAGAAGGATCTGAGATCTCAATGCTGTCGGATGCCGCTGCTTCGAAGCTGAGCTTCTTGCGCTTTGAGAGACGGCGGGGAAAGAGCCCTCACCTCCTGCGCACGTGCGCTGTGCGGGCTGCCGCTGCTTCCCCCGAAAGCCTCATATTACTAGTAATGATGCTGGACGGTCCTGGGGCGGAAGCGATGCAACGGCCATGTCCTCGGTTCCGGCTTCGGCTGGATTTGCAAAGGACTTGGCTAGGATCTCAGCTGTACTTCAGCCGTGAAGGAACCGAATCTTGCGTTGACAGTGCTCCGAGGATTCTGCGGCGAGCAGCTTCTCCATGCGGTCGAGCGAAGTTTTCAGCCCCTTTCGTCGTGATTGTTGACTCTGGTTGTACGGGTAGTATCGTGCAGGGTCAAGGCTCCTCTCCCCCATCTTGAAGATCCGTCGACAGAAACGTGCTGTCCTTTACTTATCGGGCCTTCCGTTCGCCCTCGAGCTCCACGTTGCGCCTGTTCTCTGCCTGCCACGTTCTCTGGCTTAGCTCAGACTCGATGCCGTCAAGAATCGGATGCTCCGAGAAGATTGCAACACCTCTGAGACTCTGTGCACAGCACAACCCACCGCCTCGAGCTTCCTCAACAGCACCTGCTTTTCTTCTTCGGCCTCGGCACAGTCTCACGGCAGCAGAGGTTTTGCGGGACCAAACAAAATGCGCTGAGCACCGGGTAGCACCGGGTGCCGGGCTGCCTGCAGCTTTGAGGCCCAGACCCCTGTGAAAGAGCAACTGCTGTCTCCAACATAGCGATCCCAATTTACGCTTCCAATTGACCCTGGATTAGGACATCTGAGCCGGATCCCCCCCAGCCTGCCAGCAGCTGCTCTCTTCCTCCTGCAGGCTGCGCAGGTCGTGCCTTGCAAAATTGTAGAGGCTGTCAGTGCAAAATGACTATTCAATCAAACAGCTGGTAGACTTGTGGTGCCTCTCGATGTGGCACGTGCTGTGGACAGCCTGTGCCTTCATCAGTCACAGCAACTTTGCAGAAACAGTATGTCAGTATGCAGTCTGCAATGAGTCTGATTTTCGTACAGTCCAGATCATCAAATGCCGAGGACGCCACCAGGAATCGCCGGCTCAGCTGCAGGTCCGAGTTCTTCAGCGGCACTCCGGGAGACGATCCTGTGACATGTCATGACATAAGTTCCAACGAGCACCATGGTCACCATGGTCCGTCCAGACTCCGTGTCGGGCCTATATGTGCTATCGGGCCATACTACGATGCAGGAGGCCTTCGCATCGCGGCAGGCGGTGTCGGCGGCGGCGTCCGGCGGCTTCCTCGGAGCGCCGGCCCAAAGATAACACAGAGATACCCGGGATCCGAATTTGGATTCTTAGCTGTTTATGATGCTGCCTCCAAGTATCCCGACGCGGCTTTGCAGGCCAAGTCCAAGCCGGCATATGTGTCCTCGATTCGCGAGGGCGAGTACCTTGGCGTGGACAACCATTTTCGGTGCAACATTCGAAGCTTGACTGTCCGCCGCAGCCAAGCTACCATGCTCTTGTGGGTGTCGCCAGGACGGTGGACGTATTATCCACCGAGTCCAGTGGCGCTGGCCTTCCCTGACGACAGTGATTCGAGCATGTGACTTCAAACGACCCCTTGCTCCTGTTGCCAGTCAGTACATGTGCGCCGGAAAGAGCCTCGCGCAGGATCAACGGGGTGGTGGGAAGGCTCGCTGCCATCCCGCTTGAGCACCTTGGCAGCCGCACATGCCGGTTCAGCTTGCGGCAGAGTTTCGAATCGATCTTGAAGTCTGGGATGCTGATACCGACCGAGCAGTTAGCCAGTTTCATGTCTTGATATTGGAACAGGCCCCGCAACTTGCAGAGGAGATAAGAAGCCGAGCCACCCGGTCTGCATTCCCCCGTGCTTTGAGGGAGGACGTGCGGTTGGAGACAGCGAGTAGTATTGCGTGCCTGACGTGAGCCCGCCAACAGGTGGAAACAAAATCGTGTGCTGCGGATTCCTCCACGAACATAGACGTGGCCGTTGTCTCCAGCCGCGGTTGTGCGAACAATGCCACTGGCCACCAGTCCTTTGAATATGTCAGGGTACGAATGCGGTAGTATTGGTGCAGATTTACGTCTGCCCCCTGACAGCTTTCCAGACACTAGTGGAGGGCCTGGCATCGGAATCGGCGTGGACATCGCAGATGCCGGCTCCAGAAGCTGCGTCCGGGGCCAAGCCCCGGAGGCGACTTGCTTCGGGTTGAAAGGCGTCCGCACCTGCAACGAGACAAGACAGCAAGAGGATGTTCCTGCGAAACGCAAGGCCTCCGGTGCCACGGCTTTGGCCTCCATCCGCAGGCTGCAGATGGGCCGAGCGCCCAGTGCTCAGCCCCGGGCCATGAGCAAAAGTCTGCTGGATACTACCGTATGCTACGAGTACCGTGCTTAGCCCTACTGCTGACTGCCTCCTCGCTGAAGTAAGTGTGAAATGTTGTGAAGGCTCTCACTGACTGATTGTTCGAGTTCCACATGGCTGCAGCAAACGTTTCTCTGGTCAAGCGAACATGTTGTGCAGTGCAGCGACACCGCGACTAGTGACTAGTGCGACCATCAACGGCATCAGCTGCGCCGGGCATAGCTGGGCCTTGCAAAGAAGCAGAGCTTTTTCACAGCCGAGCAGCGGCAGTCGTCAGGTTCCAGTGCCTGGTACAGGCACTCAGAAGCTGTTGACGTTGCAAGACTTCTGCGATTGAGTGCTTGCAGTAAAGCTTTGTGTTAGCTTCCTTCTGGTTTGCCTCTGAGACTTGCTGGGGCTTCATGGGACATCGAGCTTTCCAGCCTGCAAGCCGACGCCCGGCGACGGCACACGTCAGAATCAGGCCAGCAAACAGGCAAACGAAGATCCTCGGCACAACAGGTGTCAAGCCAACTAGTAACTAGATACTAGCTGCGACCAAAACCAATTGCAAAAGCATCCGGGCAAAGGCCGCCGAGAAACACCCGGCAGTCTCTCGCGGTCAGGCCACGGTCCAGGAGTTGCTCCGAGACGGCATGCCTGAGATCGAACAACGTCTTTGAACTTCAAGCGGTCTAATGAGTCTAATTCGTCTTGCAGCCGCGCTGCCACTGCCGGATCAGTGGTAGCTGTATTGGCGAGCTAATTTTCACATTTGAGAACCAGCCCATGAACCTGCACCGCAAGCAGCAAGCAATCACCAGAGTTGCAACAAGTGGCTTGTTCCCTTTCAGTCTAGTTTCTTCTGCGCGAAGCCTCCCGACAACATTTCCATTTCATGCTGGCTTGCTGCAGGGCCTTGACAGCGACTGCGCTACAGCCTCTTCTTCGGCATTCTGCAGAACCATCTGGCGAGCCCTGCAAAAGCTGCAATGTGCTCAAACCTGACACCCTGCCCCATGCACATGTCTCGGGCCAGACCTCCATTCGGCATCTTCCTGGACAGCCTTGAATTGAGGAGCAGCCGTGGTCCTGTGCTCGACCTTCTCGGCCTGCCACTTTGCTCTCATGTCGCGCATGCTAATGAGCGTGAAAGATCTTTGGCACCTTCTCTGTTCAATTACCAAGCTGTTTCAGCTTCCTTCTTTGCAAGGTCTTAGAGCCTTCGACAGTTGCAGCAAGGGACTGCCAGTCTCTGCATTGCTTTCCTACAGCAATTGTGATCAAACTGGGCCTTGTGAAGCTCTTTCTCTGAAACAGCTGCTATATCTATTCGCACAGCTGCTGCCCCAGGTCCATGATGAATTCAACCCATCTGTCTGCCACTCATCGCCACGTGCATGCAAAGCATGCACGATTCTCAAACACAGGGCCTGAAGAATCACTAACAGTAATTACTTTCTGTATCGTCCTTGCAGCATTGCGCGATTGCCCCCAGTTGGAAATATTTAGTAACTTCAGGCACACTCATTTCGAACCCCTTTCATAATGCATTCCTTTGTCCAGTTTTTCGATTCAGCTTCCCTCTCTTCTGGGCCCAATGTGCTCACCGCCCGGCGGCCCGGCCTGCTTCTGCAAAAGAGCCGCTGCGCACTCTGTAGCATGGCTTTCGTCCAGCAGCACGGGGTCCGGACTCTGGATGCAGCTGGATTCTGAAAAGGTCACGAGAACGGCCTGCGCACGGTGTGGCTGCCAAGGTCATGCGCACAGCTCCGCACTCTGCACGGGGACCCGGAACTCTTTTCCACCAAGGCTCCCAAAGCCGCAGCTGCCGACTCATGCAAAGGCGGATGCAAGTCTAATCTACGGAGCAGTCATGCGACTGATGTCTGGGGGTCCGCAGCCTTGCTGGGCTTATCAGCTGGACATGACTACATTGGTCATGAATCAAAAGGTGTTCGTCGGGAATGTCTGCCGAAGCATCATTGATGGCTCCTCTGCTGAAGCCAAGCACGGTCGGAGCAATCGCAGCAACGTGCAGTCAAGCTGAGGCTTTGAGGTCGTCCCAGTGCTCCATGCACAGCACGCATGTTCTGAGCTATAAACGCAGGTCAAAGACATGATACGTGTGTCTCATGGTAGAAACGACGTGGAGCTTCTCAGAAACTGACAACCTTAGCCGCCAGGAGAACATCTTTAGAAACCACTTTCACACATTCGACTGCTGAACGGCATGCGAGACAACACAACGCAAAGATTGGTGAGTCGCTTTGAGCTGAATACTACCGCTGTGGCCTCTAGTGATTTGTGCTGACCGGCAGCTCCGGCGACGAGAGGTCCAGAATATCTCTGCGAAATGACCGCCAATCAGAGTCCTCAACGAGAGATATTGGTTGCAACTATCAAAGCAGACTTGCGTCGACAAGTGTGGCGAGGAGTTTGTTGCATGTCGCTGCGTCGTGTAAGCTTATCTGTTGCACAGCACATGAGGCTTGTGCTCATGGCTAAGCTGGAAGCTCCGAATATCCCACAAGTGATTGATGTACGATCGGAAGTGCTGTAAGCCGATCAGAACTGAGTTGCATTGCTCCTCCAGGCGGAAGACTGAAGCTAATCGGCACAAAGTATCACAGTGGCAAAGGGCCGCTCCGACCTGCACAAACCCCGGCTCATTCGGCTTCGAAGGAGGCGAGCGAAAATGTTGAGAGGGACGGGCAAGTAACTCTCGAGTTTCGGAGATGGAGACGTTGCACATGCCCCAAAAGGGCAAAGGGGCTGAAGCGGCGGCTCTAGTCTGCGGAGAATGGAGTGGAGAGGACGCACTTGTGCCACTCCAGTGCCTTGTCCAAATCCACAGCTTCGTTGCCGAATCCTGCCTGAGGTACGACAGCTCCAATGAATCATTGCTGTCTTTGGCTAAATGCAGTAATTACAAACCTTGCTGCTGAGGGTCAAGACAATGCAGTGACGAGGGAGTGGGCGGCTTGATGCGACTTTGCGCATCTGCGGCCTCATCTGGTTGTCCGCCCAGCGCCTGTCGAAAGAAGCAGAATGCGCAATTATAGATAAACATCTTCTGACTCGCACCATGCTTGATGACCGTCGGTGCCTGCAGAAGCAGTGTCTTCACAGACACGCTTTGGCCTCTGCCTCATGCACGTGAGTGCTTGGCCGCTTGGCCCGATTGGGTTTGGTTTCACGGATTCCAGACTCTCATTTCAGCTGAGAGTCTTTGCAATTGGGCAATTCCAAAGGATACTTGGCGAGGAGCCAAGGACTGAGTGTTTCGATTCCTGAATACGGCTGTCGTGATGGATAGAGCAACCGCATTGCCGGCTCTATGACTTGAAAGGCCTGCAACCCAACATAATGCAGTCACGCAGCAGGTAGCGGTCCATCTCCGCAAGCGCCCGGACCATCTTTTTCCTGACGGCCACGAAACCGCAAATTTGCTCGCTCAAAGTGGCCAACATGCCATGCATTTGCACATCTTGCATCTCCTGAAAACTAACTGGCGGCGCCGCCAGGAACCGGAGACGATCCAATATGCTGACACACAGAGAAGCGTCATGGGCATGACTCCAGCCTGGACTGAGAGGTTCACAAAGCTCACAGGATCTCCAAGTTGCCAAGGCCCGGAAGCGCCAGCTCAGAACCGGACCATTAAGAAATCCCACTTGAGCTGCGTCATAACAGCATCGATCGAATATAAAGAGGCATAAAGCAACACTTTCAATTTCTGGCTCTGCACCATGCAAGACCTGGGCACAGCAGAAAGGGAGCGTCGAAAACGGCAGAAAGGAATTCGTGTCAGCACGATAAGTAACATACACTTCCACCAAGCCTAGCTGCTCCATCAAGTGTCCTGTGATCACGTTGCTGAGGGGTTTCCTTGCGATGACAGAGCACCGACACTCGACAGGATGGTAATTCGCCAGCAGTGACTTTGTGCTCAGGTGAAGCAGACTCAGGCGACTCAGGCGGCGGCGTCATGGACCACTCAAAGTACCGCTCCGGAAGCTCTTGGTCTCCAGCGCCTCGCACGGAATGTCAAAGCCAAAACCCCAGGGGGCCCAAGGGCCAGGGCTGTCTGCTTTGGACATCTTTTGAACCGTGGCCTGTGGCTTCTGCCTGGAACTGTGACTCCGCCCGAGCGAACTTTGCAAAGCCAGAGACCATGCGATCCAAGGTCTCCTGCACAAAAAGTCACAGCTGGCAGCTCTGGCCACGGCAGCTCGGTCGCCGTCGGTCCTCTTCGGATCTGAGATCTCGAAGCTGCACGCGCAAATCATCCTCAGGTTGATGTAGCTCTCGCGACGCACGCTCTTCTTTGCTCTTGCACATTTAGAGCCAAAGCACTTTGGGTCTGCGCAAGAAAAGGGCCTCACACAAGTGGCGAGGCAGACCTGCTGCCCTACACAGTCCTAGTGTAGTTGGCCTTGCAAAATCGGCACAGGGCACAGTTTGGGCATTCGGGAAAGAAGTGGTGCCTCCACCAGCTGCTCGATCGGGGACACGATCCATTCACGAAGGAACCTGGCAGAGCAGAGAAGCGAAGGCACTGTCGAGCAATACCCGCCGGAAGCTGGAAGCTACAGCCCGTGTGCTGCAGCTTTGAGTGCGATTATGTAAAGACTTCTCTCCGAGGCGCTGAACGACGACGTCTTCAGCTTGCTTTGCCAACGCATGTCGCACCGATCGGTTCGACAGGCGCATCCTCCAGGAGAGTAGCAAGGTACCTTGATCCGGCATGGAGCATCAGCAGCCGTGGTATTATGGGGGTAAATGCATCGGAGATGTTACGAGCACAGCAGAAATGACCAACGATGGTGCAACGCTGGTGTATTTGCGTCGATGCTGTCCGAACTACCCAGCGTGGCACTGCTGTAGATTGGCCACCATTTCCGCCAATGGCTGAGCTGACCGTTGCTTTCTATAAAGCTGGTCATGCTCTGGGCCATGACCTGCAAGAAGAAGAAGAAGAAGGCAGTGCCTGGTGCCTACACGAAAACGAGCAAAGGCCGCCTCGAAGGCCAAGTCGTTCTGCTGCAGTTGGAGCCGGCCCTTCTTCACCAACTCCTCCTGTCGAGGCAACATGGTACTATTCTCGGGAGCCGTTAGGCAAGGAACGGACATCATGATGGAATCAACTTCAAGATCCAGGGGCTGTAGGTGGAATATCCTGAGAGAGCGTCCACTGCTTCGCACCCCTGGAGTATTCCGACCTCCGGACACAGAAGCCGGACAACCACGCTTGCCGTACTTTCAGAAGGCTCTCAAGCTTGAAAGTGCATTGCTGGGCTCCCGGCGCAGAGATGTCTTCCAAACCTTGCACCTGTGCAGGAAGCATGATGTAGCAATGTAGCATACACAATTTGCATGTCGTGTGGCCCATGCACACGGATGGACTTTACATTACTTCCCAAGAAGTCTCAAAACAAAAGGGATACAGTCAGGTCGGGCCTGCTCCCACAAATGGGAGGTCGGAGGCCACCTGGCATTCCGTGGTCGAAGCACAGCAGTCATGCCAAACCCCTGGTGAAGCCCAGCCTCCACCTGGTGGCAGGAGAGGCGAAGTTCAAATCCGCCGCGGTGGAAGCTGCGGCACGTGTCTGACGAGCTGGAAAGATCTTTCATGTCACATCACGAGAGATTCCTCCTGCATAAGTATTCATTACCGCATTCGCCCATGTTCGCACGCCTGCCAGGCAAGACCTTGAAGAGCCTTGGTGAGCGCTTGGCAGCGATCAGACTCCGAGTCCAAACAGGAGGAAAGCAGCTCGAAGGAGGACACCTGACCGCAGAAGAGGCCCACAGTGCTAGCCTACCGCAGCATTCTTCTCATGGGGACACTTCGGCGCCTGGATGAAAGCCAAAAGTCTGCAGAGTTCCTGGTGGCAATGTAGTATAAGGTCTTCGGTTGCCGAACGCAATCTGCTTCTTCGCTGTCAGCTGCAAGCTTCAAAGCTCTGAGTCCAAAAACACCGGAAAGATCCAGCTTTGGGCATACTGCAAATTGGGCAGGCTGAGATGGCTTCCACGATCCTCGTTGAGCCGCGCAAATTGCGAAGCACAGCGCTCGGGCGCAGTGATCTGGGGCCGACCGAGCCTCGACAGGAACAGAACTGTAACAACAGCAGCTGGCCCTCACTGAATGACTGCATGCGACGTCTTGACTCGATACGAGGGATGAAAACGAAGACCTTTTATGGCTCGTGCGTCATCTGGAAAATCGCCAAGAAAGGACCTCGTGGGCTGAGTTGAGGACAGCACCAACCAACTGCTCCAGAGCTTCCTGGCAGGTGCAGAAGGTACGAACCGGGAACCAACACACCGACCCAGGTGGTGTGCGTGCTGTTGTTCCTCCACCCGGCCTAGCCAAGCGATGTGCCCACCGAGGACGGCGGTGGACGGGTGTGGCCCAGTCCTGTCCGATTGCCATGTTCTGTCTGAAGGGGCAAGAACACTCGGCCATCAGTTCCATGTAACTTTAACATTGTCTGAAAGCCAACACTGCTTCTGAGGGCGGAGAAAACTCGAATCTCACTGGTGCAGCGCCAGGGCTGCGGCCAGCCAGTAGTTGAGATGGATGGACACCTGAAGTGAGACGAACAAACCTTTGGCAATGCGATCTGACAAACAGTCCAGATTGCACGACAGCCGGCCTGACTGATGAAGTTCAGCACTGCATGGTATGTCTGCAGCAAGAGCGAGAGACTGGAATCACGTCTTCTTAATAAACAGGCCACAAGCATCACGCAGAATGTGGCGTGCCTGTTCTTGTGACTGGAAGTAATCCTGTGCCATGCATTTGGACACTCATTGCTACAGGTATGATCTCAGAACGGAATCCAAGAAACGCATTTGTCAATGTGCTACGTCGTTACTACGTGCAACTCGAGTGCATGGGCATGGCCGGGGCTGGTTGGGGGACCGTCGTTGGGTAACCCAGCACCCAANNCCCCCCCCCCCCCCCCCCCCACGTTTTCGGATTGTCCTTCAAGAACTCTGCTTCCTCAAATCCGTCTGAACCTCGTGCTGAACCGTGGCACCAGATGTGCAAACGATGCTTTCGCAACAAAATTAAGCCCAAGGCTCTCCAAGGAATCTCGGCTCTTTGAAGCCTCTGCGACACAAACCAACACTTTGCAATCCGCAAAGCGCATCGTTCTGTCGAAACCTCTGGAGACGGCGCCGGTGTCCGGAGCAGGCTCAAGGGCTCTCCTGCATGGAGCTCCCCCGAAGACCCCAAGCAACTACACAGCGCTGTAAAGCAGCATGTCAGGTCCTCTTTCATCATACCACCGCGCCAGAAAGCTTCGCAAACGCCTGGATTTTGCGACCGGTACACCGTTCTTAGACATCTGAAGGCCGGCCTGCGGCCAACGAATGGGAGTCCCCCCCACTGCGGCGCCAACATCCTCGTTTACCTGCTAAGCTGATTGAAAATCCGCAGGAAGCAGGCATCTAACCGTCGCCAAACAAGCCAAACCTTACAAACTTCACCGCCTCCCCTCTTGCAGGCGGCGGCGCCATGGCAAGGACGAGGCTTTCACGGCAAAACATAAGTGGGTGATTACAGGCGTGTGGTCCGGGCGCGCGATGCATGTCAAGAGTCCGGTTTCAATCTTAGGCAGGTTTCATGTCGCAAACCCAATGGACCGAAACACTCCCGAAGTCATCCTTCGAACTGCCAAACCCACCCTCTTGTGCTTTCAGGGAAAGTGGTGATCGGACCAGGCAGCCCTATGCATGTCGCTACGTTTCAGGTCGGATTGGTGGGGTCGGTGGGTTGCAGCGTCAGTAAAATTTATTGTGTGCTTTCAAGCTGCAGCCAGTGGACATGCAAGAATCAATAGCAGATTGAACTGTTTTTCTACACAGTGACTTGGGCCTCTTAATCACCGTTGCTTTGCAACACAGTGGGTAGTGCAAAACACTTTGGTCTGCATCAACAAACTAAGTCAACGCCCGAGAAACCAACGGGTCTCAGGGCAGAACCAACAGCAACTGCATAGTGATAACTCAACTACAAGGCCTGCTAATTGCACGGTTTGCATTTTGTTGATTTCTCACGGAATGAATGATATCATCCTTCCCGCATGGGCTGTATGCAAAGATTTTCCAGTCACTGGCTGAACTGACGAATGGCCTGTGTCCGCTGTCATCGACATCTTTCAGCATGGACTTGTGGAAACGAAAAGTAAGTGTCGTCCATTGTTGGTCCGTCCTCCCCCCCCCCCCCCCCCTCCTCACCGCCTTCTTGTGTCATTAAGTTCGTGCGGAGCACTTCAGTCTCGCTAAGTCTCAAATTGGCCTCAGCGGGATTCGCCTTTCTGTTTCACTGTCGATGTCAAGATTTGTGCTTGCCAGGTCCGTACATAATAGGAGCACCAACATCGCAAGTGCTGGCCTTGCGTACACTGGCACCAGCAGAGTCTCTCATGCCCTGGCGCAACATGTCTGTGCCTATCCCGCTTGTGTCTTTTCCATGCTCATGCATGTATGCCGCCTCTGTCGAATGCTCCATGGATGCGAGCGCACGCGTGAGGTTGACAGGCTCCTCTCGAAAGGACGTTCGCAGTGAGGTGAAGCTCTCTGCTGGTGTGTCGGGTCCTGTGCGATGGACTCGTGGCAGTGCTCGGCCCCGTAATGAGCAGCAGCGCTCTCCTTGCTGCGACGCTGGTGCCGATGCGACAGGCAAAGTCGCGCTCAGAGCGCGGCTGGTGGTCTGCGGGCCGCTGCTGGGACTGCAAGGCATCACGCACTGTTAGCGGCCTTTGGAAGGCGTCTTTTTCACATCTCGCCCATGGCTAATTCTTCATACTGGCCGATAGCAGGCATTCTAGCCACTCTACTGCAGCATAATATCTGCCAGCCATTTCTCAACGGGCTAGGCTCTTGGCGCCCTGGGTGCTGAGCTCTGCGAGGCGTTCCAGGGACATTTCAGCAGCCATGCCAAACGAAAGACTCTCCTCTGCAGAGCCGCAGCTGCAGCAAAGCTGAACAGCACTCGGAACCGACATCGACTTCTGGGCCAATTGCAGGCGGCCTGCGAGGCCGAGACAGCGAAGGTCCGCAGTCTGTTCGCCGAATCCTCGCGAAAAAACGCGCCGAGTGGACCGCGCTGCGTCTCCCCTTTTGGGCACTTAGAACCCGGCCTGCGTTGAGTGCCCTGTGAGGCGCCGTCGAGCCATGCTTGTGGTCGCGGCCATCGAAGGTCGGTGCACAAAAGCCAGTGACGCACCTGATTTTGCCAAGGATCTTTCAAGTCATTGGGATATGATATGGGCTGCCTCTCGGAAGCAGGGTCCCAGCTCAGAGGCCATGCTAGGCCGTTAGGCCGTGCTCAGGTCCAGACGACTCCAGCAACCGTTTGCCAAGTTCTGGGGCTCCGAGTCGCAGATGATCACAACGACTCGACAGCCACCGATTGCAAAGAATGCCGAAAACGATTGAAAGCGGCTCCGGGAACAGCAAGCCACTCGACCACTCGACGGCCTTGCGAGACGAAGGCCTGCAGCACCTGGGCTTCTTGTATCACTGCGAGTCCAGGTTACGAGTGACTTCACACTCACAGACCCTCAACCCCTGGCCACAAGGCCAGGGTCTTGTACAAGCTACGGTTCCGCAAACTCAGCCAGATCACCGGCATAGACCGGGAAGCTTGTCCGGCGAGGCCCTGCAACATGTTCGCACAGTCCTGCATGGCAGCGGCCAATGCTGTGCTCGCTGCAGGCACGGCGATAAACATAAAGCCTGTCGAGCGGTGGAAAGCCTCTAGACCACAGCAGGACAAGACCCTCTTTACCTTTCTGACCGTGGGATTATCAGCAACACCTGGCAGAAGATATGATTGTGGGATTCTCTGACCCTACATGGATTGCTTTGTGACTCTTTTTGCCTCCCAGTAAGGACTCTGTAGGGACCACGTTCAATGCTCGACGAGCGTGCATCCCTGCTGAGCCTGCTGCCTGCAGAAGATGTCTGCGACCAATAAGCCTAGACCTAGACTTCCAATAACCTCAAGGCCGTTGGCATAGGCCACATAGGCTTGATGCCCACGTGCACTACATGGGACGGTTGCATTGCCTTCTCTAGTACCATCATATCTGGCGGTCTCAGCCCAAGCGACAGAAGGCGGACTTTCTGGCCTGGGCCCCAAACTCACGAAGCTGGGACATCGCCGAGCAGGAGATGGCCATTTGCAAAGCAGAGCCGCGCTACCTGCGGTGCCACTGTGGTCAGACGGCACACGTGCCGAGGCCCATGAGGCCCCGCGTGGCCTCGATGAGCTCCATGCCCGGGCTGTGCTTGCTGAGTCTTGTGGGCTGAAATGCAAAGCCTGGCTCTACGATTCGATCTCTGCCGGAGCGCTCTCGCAAGACTTGGCCCTAGACCGGCCTTCACAGCTGCTTCGCTGCCTGTTCAGAGCCGTTCGTGCCGCCCGCCAAACCACAGCACGGAATTAAAAGGCCCGGGCCGAGAGCTTGCTGAAGCGGCTTCTGGTTGATCTGCGACACAGCCGCACCCCGCACCGTGTTGGCAAGGCCCTGCAGCGGCTTCAACTCGTCTAGGGAGCTCAGGGTGCGGGACGCTTGCGCAAGCGAGCCGCGCTGCAGCAGCAATGTTTTGCGAAGCGGCGCTAAACGGGCTGAACTCCCCATATTGGGAAGTTCCTGTCCCATCCACTGTTGTCATCCACGAAAGGCGCCGAAGGTGCTGTGAACACTTCTTCCTTGTTGAAGTTGCTTGTATCCAGATTGCCTGGGCTGATATCAGCCACAAGTGCCCCAAGATGCAAACACCTTCCCCTACATGCAGGCTTCCCATGTCAGCGCCGGTGAGGGTTGTAATGCATGTTTTTGAAAGAGTAGCTCGTCCTGTGCAGCTGACTTCCAGCGTTCCAGTCATCCTCAAGTCTGTTCTCCAGCGCCTATTGTTTGCTTGATTGCTTGCTTGCTTACCTGCAAGGGGCATAGGGACTTGGGGCCGAAACCCTGATGCAAGCACCTGCCGCAGCAGTTCGCCGGTCGCTTCTAGCGGGGAAATAGCACGAACAAGGAGGACACCCCCTGAAACTCTCCGCCAACCATTCGCACGCCAACTGCGCCACCCTCTCTTTCTCCTTCTTTCTTTCTCCAGGACTAAGAAGGGTCCTAGCAAGGGCGCCCCGATGCTCGATTTTGGCAAGGAAAAGCTCTCCCCCCCGTCCATGCCCTGGACCACGCCCTAGCTACTTTCACAGAGTAGGCTCTTTCAACAGCACTACCGAGTAAAACTTATGCAACCATGCCCTACCGAATCGTGTGGCCTCATCTCGTCTTGTGCTATGAGGTTCGGGGGCCATGCAGAGTTTCAGGGCTGTGCTCACCCCCCGGGATAATGTGGCCCAAGACAAGGCAAGAAAGTCATTTCTCGGCGAAATAAACAACACTATCCCAGTCCTAAATGTGCTGAACTCACATCTAAAAAACTTCAAAAACCTTCTACTTGACTGCAACTGGTCTACCTAATACTGCCTGTCTGCTGTCCTGTGGAGGGAGGGGGAGGTAGTGGTTCATCCTTGATTTCAACACGCTGTCCCAGCTCCGCTTGAGAGAAGTGCCAACGCACCGCCCGTCACGTTCTCATGATCTAAGCCCGAGCTCCTACAGCTTCTGCTCCTGGGGCCGCTAGGGGGGCTACGCATCCGCCGAAGGCACGCCTCCTTCAAGGGATGGAGTCGGTAGCAGAGGGTGTGCCGGGCCCCCCTCCTCACAGCACGCTACCCGAACTGCCACCGTGACCAAGATACCACCTGTGGCCTTGCTCGCTTGCTTGCAATGCCTTTGGAGGTGGGCTCTCGCCCCATTCCTGCGCTCTAACGAAGCCCGCGAAGGTCCTGCGGGTCGGCATGAAACTCAGGCCACGCGGCGTTACATGCCTGTGACTAGTTTTATGACTGTAAAACTTTGCAAAGCTGTCCTTCCCAAGAAGTCAACCCCAATTAATAACAAAGCGGGGGGGGGGGGGTGCCGAGCTCACACTATTATGCGTGCTATTTCCGTGTAGCTTTCTCTCGCCCCCTCTCTCGCTCTATAGTATCCACAGCCTCAAGCCGGGGCACTTTCCAACGAGGGCTGGAAGGGCGGCACCATTTCCTGCCTTGTGAGCTGTCCTCGGGGAGGGAAGGCATTGGCTGATAGCCCATGGCTCCTATGATAGGCTGACAGCCTCTTTCTCAGAAAATACGTCTAAACAATCACTAGCTTTGCCGGATCGTGGCGGTCTTGACATGCCACTTAGGATCTCCAGTCAAAGCCGACGAACCAGTCCGCCTGCTTAACGTTTGCCACGCCTGAAGGGGCCACTCTCGAGTGCACCAGCCCAGCGACGTATGCAGAGTTCAGTACTAAGACCAAGCTAACGACATCAGATGCCAGTTCTGATTATGTGGGGTGCCGACGGAAAAGGGAGGCAGGTTCCTAGCCCAAGTTGAACACCTCCAGGAAGGCTTAATGACGCAAGCCCTTGTCGGGGGGGGGTGGCGGGGCGGGCTCCGAATCCGAAGTTGAACACCGGGCGGGGCCTTTCATGGGCAGCCGTCGACCAGGCTCTCTCTTCAGAAGAGCCCGGATGAATCGCTCGGCTGCTGGGTTCACCTCACAATCTGGCGACATCAGCGCTGTCAAACAGTCCCAGCATGTAGCAGCTTGGAGACCAAGTGGGCGTGCCTTTGAGGGAAAGCTTGGTATCTTTTCGATGCCGGCCATCGCCTTCCCGAACGCTTGCATCGGGTTGGTATCCTCGAAAGGAGTCTTGCCTCAGGTACTTGCGAGTGTTTTGCACTACTCAAAGCAGGTTACTGTACTGTCGGACTGCACTGTCTCGACACGACAGCGCCGGCTACCTTTACATGCAGGGGGAGATGCCAGACAAGCACTCGAAAATAAAGATGCCGAACGCCCACCAGTCCACCGCATGATTGTGCCCGAAGGCGCCGATGATTTCTGGTGCCAGATATTCTGGCGTGCCGACGATTGTGTATGTCCTGCCGTTCACCACTTTCGCCAAGCCGAAATTCACCAGCTTCACGAAGCCGTTTGCAGACAGGAAAACATTCTCCGGTTTTAAGTCTCGGTAGGCAACCTTCCGGCTGTGGATATGTTCTAAGGCCAACAAGATACAAGCAGCATAAAACTGCGCATGGCGGTTGGATCCGTGCAGCGCATTCGTCAGGTAAACACTGTGCAGATCACCCCCCAAGGCTGTCTCCATAAGAAAGTACACGTTCTGTTCACCAGAAAAGGTCTGCAACAGCTTGATGATGAAGGGATGGTCCAAAAGAAGCATCGTATCTCGCTCCTGCAGTCAGCTTGGGGATAAAAATCAAAATCTCTACGGTTGCTAAACGCGGGCCGTAAATGTCGGACCTCATCATTGACAACACGGCGTCTCCTGCAAGACTCTTTCTTGCAAAGCCTGTTCGACAACGTATCCCTTGGAGACCGACTTCACCATGTAGGGCTCGCCTGCACGGCAACAGGGTGATGGCAGTCCAGCTTAGATTCAGCCTCGCGGCCTGTGCGTGTTTGTTGCCAGAGCTCCAGGCCGCCGAATTGTCCATTGCGAAGGGGTGCGATCTTTCTCAGATCCTGCGGAGCTTTCTGAGGTGTGCATGACCCGTCACCACATCTCTGTTGCAAGGTCTCCTTCTTGCGAAGCGAAAGCAATGTGGAAGTGTCCACAGAGTGCCCACGCGTTTGGCTTTCTAGGCCAATGAAGTCAAATCCCCTGTGCTGACAAGAAGTGATGCAAGACGAGGGTGGCTTCCACTTGGGCAAGGCCCGCCAGGCCTCTTGCTCTGATTGATGATGTCCCAGTATGACCCAAAAGTGGCTGCGAATGCAACACCTCAAAGGCAAGTCTCTTCTGATTTTCGCTAATCGGATCTGCTCTGGTCATCACCTGCATCAGGCCACGCTGCGAATGCTAGGGCCCACGCCATCCAGTTTGTAACAAGTGGCCGTGGGAGAAGTGATCTTCACACTCCGCGGACTGGCATGCCCTGGGCCGCACAAGGCCTTCTCGCAAAAGGTGTGAACCTGGAGTTCACTGGGCGAGAATCCAGCCGTCACTATGACCTCAGGGCACATGGCCTCCAAACGACATCAGGACGCAGCTAGGCAAAAAATGTTGCAACTGAAATCTGCTGCGGGTCGGGCCACATTTAGGTCATCTTCCAAGATCCGTGCAGAGCCGTCTATCAGAATGTACAAGGAAGCCTCCTCCTCACCGAAGCCCACGATCTCTTCCTTCTGCTTCATGTGGCACTCGGAGAGCATCGGTGCCAGGAGACGTTTCTCGTCTTGCAACAGCATGTCGAGCACTGGTGCGTGATTCAGGAAGACCAAGCGCTTTTTCGCAGCGTGAGCCTGGACTCGTTACCCTGTAGCTTCGTGTTGTTCTATTGTTTGCATCGGTGGTTCATCTGACTTTTTCTGTGGACGTTTCGTCTGCGCTTGAATGCCAGCTCCCTACACGGAATCGAAAATTCCGGGCACCACGGCGTCTGGTACTTTATGCCAGGTCTTGTATATGATATCCCGCTAATTAGTCGGCTCTCCATCGATCAGTATCTGAGGCTGTTCAGGTTGGCATCTTATGTAACGTATTTCCGCGGAGTAGGCAGCAACTGCCTACAAGAAACTGATCACATGCACTTGACCGTCTTTGTGTTCAAGGTCTGACTAAACGGACGGAGCTGCAGCACCGGCTAGAAGCTTTGAACTAGCAACTCGAGGGCGCAGTGCCATGAATGGTGCCGAGCTGCCGCGGATTCTTGTGCTGCGGTCTTCAGCCAGCCCCTAGGCAAGACCCATATGGAGGAGTTCTTTGTTGCCTTTATCGTGGCAGTTCGCGGAGCTGAATATAGTAGCGACAGCTCGCCAAAGCAGTTTCCCTTGTTCAAATGCCCGACAACTTTCCCGTCAATGATGACAGCAAACTCGCCACTCTGAATGATGTAGCAGAAGTCAGCAGTCGAGTCGCCCTGGCGAATGACCTCTTCACCCACAGTTATGTCTTCTCTCCAGGCAGGGCTCGATAGCTGAGGCATGGAATGCACGTTCAAGAACTGGGAAATGTTCTCGTTCCCTGCAAGAGCGTCCAGAATGAATTTTCGATCAGCCGGGGATTTTGCAGTCGGAGGCTTCGTCTTTACGGTTTGGTGGCCTTCCACCCGGATGGCATTGCGGCCACGGAAATCCAGATCCTCTTTCAACCCCATGCTTTCAAAGACTTCACGTGAAATCTCGATAAGAGAGAGTGGCGACCCTGCACGGACTGTTGCAGCTCGCACGTCCTTCGTCAAGAGAGCACGTTCTCCGAAAAAGTCCCCTTTTGAAAGTACTACGAGGAGCTCCTCATCGTCCTCTTGTTCTTCGGACCCTTCTTTAACCACCTCTGCTTCACCATGCTGGATGATGTAGAAGCAATCACCTTCTTCTCCCTCCTGGATGACGACAGCCCCGGTGACATATTTCTTTTTTTGCCCAGCTTCTGCCAAAAGAGTTAGCTTGGATCTTGGCAAGCATCTGAAGAGTGGGACTTGGCCTAAGAAATTCTCGAGCTCTTCGAGATTCTTTCCCCTTCCCAGGATATCCAATGATGAGAAGGACCGGGTCAAACGCCCACCGGAAAATGATCGTGAATTCCTTGATGCAAATGCAGCCCTTGGTGAGGTCTCCGGCGTCTCAGTAACCTGCTGCCGCTCCTCCTGCTGTTGACGGCTACCTTTGGCACCCATGGCGGGCACACAGCCAGTTCAAACAGATCAAGGATCACCCTGGCTTCAGTTCTTTCGTGTTCCACTGCACGAGACCTATCATTGTGCTGCTCAGTGCAACTGTACTATGTCTTGAACCGAGAATTATCCTTTAGGACAAACTAGGAACTAGCACGTGCTCTGCTGAGTCAGGTTCTTGACACTGATGTTCACAATTGCAAACTAACTGCCTTCTCGTGACATGCTACATGTCTTGAGGCCCTTACGGCTTTCAGGCGGGGCAAAAGACAAGTCTCTATCGCTCCAGCTTGCTGCCATGTGACATAGACGATACTCAATGAACAGCTTCTGATGACGGTGCGGCCTGGTGCCCAAGCTCGGTAATGGTGGCCATGGCAGCTTGTGCCTCATGGTAGGATAAGCCATGGCAGGACAAGTCCACGAAGCAGTGTAAAGTCTGCCTATGCGCCGATCGGCGAAGAGCCACGCAGGGTGGTCCTTAGTTGCTGCGTCCCACAGAGCGCGCGCGCGGTACCCATCATGCTGCTCCCACGCGCTGCAGCGGCGCTTTCCCAAGACCTCGACACGGCAAAGGCCCACATGGAGTTGGCCCTGGCACCACAAGAATTATGTTGATGCACCTTACCAAACGATCGGGAACTTCATCACACTCAGCACACACACCTGCAACCAAAACAGGGCGGCGCTGCAGCCCTCGCGCATCGGATCCTCGGCGCATTTCCGTAACCCATGCAGCGCTAGACCCTCGGCCCTCGGTCCGACTCCGTCCCTCGCCCTCTGGCTCAGTTCAGAGCAACGCGTTTCGGCTGCCTCCTGGCTGCTTGGTTCGGGCACAGGCACTGAGAACTAGATGCACCGATATTCCTTCACAAGGAACGCATCGCAGGTGTGCGTTGCATCTGGAGCTGTCCTTGATAATTCGCTGCAGCTGCAGGACCCGAGGATGCTGAAGAACCTGTCTGCTCTTGCGCCACTGCAATTATTGCTCTGGTGCGCAGGGCGATGACCGCAACCTATATCGCTCAGGACACGGATGACGCCTTTTCCTGGAACCTCGTGTCTAGCGTCGAGGGAAGGCAAACCCATCTTCTTCTCGACCATGATGCCCTTTTGGAAGCCTACCCGGTCTACTGACGGCTACGGCTTGCTTTGTTCACCGCCTTGTGTTGGAGTGGGCTGTGCATTCGCCCTGTCGCACCCGCTCGGCTCTGCCGAGTTCGGAAGTGCAAGGCACAGCGACAAATGGAAACAATCTTGCAGCACATGGACACGAGCGCACACAACACAAAGCTTGGGTGAGCTGCTTGGGCCGTGCATGCGGAGGCCAAGCAGTGATCGCAACACGAAATCTGCTGCCGGCCACTCCATCGACATGGCCATCTCATGCCGGAGACACTACACTCGTCAGCCTTGTTGCGATGCTCTTGTTACCCAACTCTTCCTGCAGAGCTTCAACACGATGCGATGTTCCTGCGCACTTGGGCCGTGCTGGCAGTTATGCCCCGGCAGATGCGCATGGCTCCACGCAAAACGGCTTGCAGGCAAGTGTCCACATCCATCAGGTCACAGCTCTAAACCGCGAAGAAGCCGCACTGGACGACTGAAGAGAAACCCATGCCTCAAGATCAAAAGCCGGGAGGCACGCTGCACTTAGCAGACGCAGCGCGCACACACACACACACACACTTACTTACTTTGCAAAACCACGGCTGAACCGTGCACGATGCCAACTCAGGTGCCAATGCCATCGCAAGTGCACAGTGGAGCGTCCATCATTGCATCACAGACAACGGATGAGTGTCTTTGTTAGTGATTGCTTTTTGACTTTTGAAGCCAAGAGGCCAAGTAGGCCGCCAGCTCTTTGAGTTGGTGCTCGGCCTGCCCACCGGACTCTTCGATCTCGTTCACCACCGCCGTAAGCACAGCGGCCACCTGTGCAGCAGAACCACCGCGAGAGGCACACCCATCAACAGCAGCAGTTTTTGTCACAGACGCCTTGGCCACCACCGCGCGGTCCGACTGAAGGGCACTGGGCCTTCCACTAGGATCCGAGCCTTGGGAATGTTCTGCTGCATTACCACCATTGCGCAGAAGTTCAGCGGTTCTATACCCTGCTATGCCCTGAGATCCTGTCCAGCCATGGCTGCTAGGCAAATCCGCTGCAGGGCACGCAGCAATGCATCCAGGTCCAGCAGCAGCTGATCACAACCTGAGACTTTCGGGTGTCGACTTGTTTTTGGCATCTGCTTGGCGCAGTCAAGCGAATCCTTGGGCAAGACTGTTGAGTCAAGAGAGAGGATGGGGTGCGTCAAGGACGAGGAGCTCCAGCAGTTGGGCTTCAAATTCTTGTCCAGTCGTTGTTGGGTGAGCAGCTTCGTCAGTCGCGCCACCTCCTCTTCGCGCCTAAGGAAGCTGTCGCTTGCCACCCTCTACATTGCCAGAACTAAAGTTTCGTCGCACTTGCCAAAAGGATCTTCCAGGGGACGTGCAGTACCGAAAAGTGTTTTTTTCGCGGCCTGGCTAGTGGAGGAATTCATCCATGGGAATAAATGATACGACAAAAATGGAGAAAGGGGCTTTGGGACCTCGCGACAGGCCAAGAGACTTGGACTGCTCCTGCTGCTGTGCCAGCACGTGCTCCCAAACGGCTTGGATCCGCTCCTCCAAGCCGAGCTCTGGCCACCTGGAAACGCAGAAAAAACTGATCCCTGGCGCTCATTAGCTCATACCTGGACCGTCCCTTACTTAGCTTCTCTTTTCCCTTTCGTTCACAAGAAGCGTCGCGAGAGTCAGACGGCTTTCGCCGACCAGAACTCTTGCCAACAAATGTCGCTAGCGTTCCAGGAATTGGAAGCCGATGTTCTGCGCACGACTCATCTCAACCTTGACGGCGCTCGCCGATTCGGTTGGCGCAACATCTGCAAATCAACTTACATGTGGGGCAAACCGGGTTGGACAGAAGCTATACAGTGCGCACAGACGGATGTGTCCGAGAGGCGGACTGAAGCTTTGCCAAAAGCAGCGCTGTCGAAAGGCTAGTCGGGCAAGTGCTGGCTTGGTCACAGGAGGGATTGGGAAGTGGAGCAGCAAATGCCATACCAGTCTACGACAGTGCATGCGCTGGATCGCTAGAGCTGTCTGATGGCTTAGCCAACGGAGCCCGACGACACACCGCTGCAAGAGTTATCAAATCTCTGAAATTTTCGCCAGCAGGGGCTAGCCCGGAGACTTGTGAAGGCCGCTTGAACCAACCGGGTGGATGACGACAGCCACGACAACCTTTCGAACTTTCGTCAGGCATGCTAAGGACACTGCACAGTTAAGGCACGGTCCTCAGCGTCGCAGTCAAAATTCCACTAATCGGCAGACGATACCCACTGCCGTCACTCCTATCACTACTGCTCATTTGGTAACGCACCGGCTTGATTGAAAGATGCCGATAAACACAAGTTTCTGTACAAGAGTTTCCTACAGCTCAGAGTGCCCGAATCCTGTCCAATTGAGAAAGGGCTCGTTGCAATTTGGTCAACTGGTCGATGTCGAGGCCCCATCTCTTCTGTTCGGAGTGGGCAGCACGCAAGGAAGTTAGTGCGTCATCTAACCTCTTGGACGCATCCTTCAACGCATCCGTCGTGACGGGCTTTGCTGTGCCCATGCTTGCAAACAAGCCGTCGCAATCTTTCAGACTTTGCAGCGAGACCTGGTCCGGGTTCAGGAGTAGCAGGGACACCAACTGCTCAAGCGAAGCCCAATCAAGAAGCTGCGTGCCACCATTGCCACCTTCCTCGTCAACCTTTATTGACCGCAGTGTCTCAGTCTCAAAGCGTTCCACCTTCTCCATCGATCTCGGCTCAGGGACCTCTGTAGGCCCTAGAGAATCGTGCATCAAAGACGCCGGCGCAGCAATAGACTCATCCATAGGCCCCCCCAAACTGTTGCCAATATCTGGCTGCAACCATCTGCTCTCACCGCAGGCACCAGTGTCAGTGATTGGCATGAAATGCTCTGAGGCTGAGGCGGCTTCGGCGGCGCCCCTGCTCAGCGCTACGCTAAAGGTTGATGCCAGCAAGCAGATGTGTTGGCTTGCGTCCAAATTCAAGGAGGGTACCGTGTATGAATCAGGCCGAATGAAAAATTCTAATTTGGCATTGAATTTGCGCTGCATTTCCCTGACAGGCAAATCGTTCGCATCTTCGCCGAAAGGCTGATCAATTTCTTGAGCAATGTAGAACAAAGTCCAATACGATGTCACTACTACAAAGACGATGATGCCGGCCCACCATGGTTTCATCACTGTCTGGCTTGCGACCAGTGGAGTAAGTATCCAATGGGCTAGGAGAATGCAAGATAGAAACTGAGAGTATGGGAACGGGAAGGGAACATCACGAATCTTTCTCAGGTTGGTCATGCTAACCATCCCTCGGGACAGCTCTTGGAATGCTCGGGAGAGAATCGGCGGTGGTGCTTCGAGGAGTTTCGATCGCTCTGCGTCCATGATCAAGCGCTGGAGCCATAGCATAACGGTCTCGCAGCGGTCAGGGCTGTCTCTAAAGTGCAGAAGCCCTGTGCTGCTGACAGCACCAAGATCCAGCACTTCTAGGCTGTCGTCGTCAAGTTCGCATGTCGTTTGCAGCGCGCTGCAGTGCAAGAGGCTCATCAATCTGGTAAGATACTGCCTGGAAGATCGTCTGGTTGACTTTATTGAAGAGTCGTTGGCTTATGCTACATCGTACCTTCTTAAAACATCCTCGTGTAGCAGTCGCCTTAGGGTACGAAGACCTTACATCGGCCTAAGACCCCTGCTAGATACTGTAAATCTTCGGCCTAAGCACAGCACCGTCATTTCTCAGCAGGGTGTTGTGTTCGGTCGCCTAGTTCTAGGCCTCTTCCCAGAATTTAGAATATTACCCCTCCCTGCCTGAACTCGTCTACCTGCTCCTGCTTCTGCGGATCGGGGCTGCAGAATGAGAGGATGTTGCTGAAGGCACTTGTCCACTCCCCAGAGATTTGATGGAACAAAGTGACACTCTCCCAGAAACGTGAGTATGCCTGGTTGCTGCGAAAGACGATCAGAAAGCCCAGAACAAAGGTGAATGCTGACCAGATGGTGTGGATCCCTTCCATCTCACGGTTGTCCTCCGCCTTCTCCCGATTCCAATACAAGTGAAGGAGGACTGTCGCTGCGGCACAGGGGACTGCCCAGACCAAGGCCTTCGGGATAACAGATCCTCTCAGCCGCAAAAGGACCTGAATCCCCCATGTTCCGTGTTCATATACAATCATACCAAAGGGCCTTTCGGTGGACGCGAGTAAGGGACTGATGCCTAGAACACTATCTGAGCTTGAGCGGAAACTGTTGCAGAACAACTGGCATTGCGGCGCTCACAAAATCCACAACGAACCATCTGGATTACTTGCAAGCTTCATGTTCAATGCCTATGTTTGCCTCCTAGTCCTAAGCCTGCAGCCAAGCATGACTTCCCCAAGTTGTCAAACTGACAGGCTGGTTGGATATGGTGGACCCCACGCTTGTATCATCACTCGAAACTGCCTTGATTTGTTTGTTGTGGGTCGCAACACAAAGTTGACGCCATTCGTTGGTCTGTGCCTCAAACTCAAACTTATTTCGGCCACTTTGATCCGGTGAGAACAAGCCGGGAGCCGGTGCAAGACACAATGCGCTTGACCTAGCATGGCCTAGCCTCGGCCCCAAGCCGAAGGCCCCTTGTGCTATGAGCTTGTAAAACCGAGCTGCAGGGGCTGCGGATCGAGTACAGGGGGAAGCTCCGGCTCCTGAGGGCAGAACTGGCATCAGCATGTTACGGCTTCCCCGGCTCGTTGGGCGCCCACCTCTACTCGTTCCTCCTCTAGGCGCCGGCGCTTGCGCTCGGCCTCGAACGACAACAACAGAAGGAGACACACTTCGTCGACTTTGAGTTGATAGAACACTTGATTGTCGTTACCGCGGCTACTTTACAGCATGGCCCATACAACGACATCCTGGCCTCGTCGTTCAGCACACGCAAGTGATGGAGCTCCTGCCGCGCCCTCATGCCTTTCCTGAGTTGCGGGCAGAGCCGCCAGCAGGTGCACAGAGGAAGCCGGAAAAGGAAGCGATCTGGAGAATATTTGCGTGGTCCAAGGGCAGAAGGGTCTGCAACCGCATTATCGCACGGAGGCGCATGCGCTCCTGCACAGGGGTCCGAAGTAATGGCTGCACAACTCCTAACAAGTGCCTGGCAAACTGAAAACACCTGGCCGAGGATTCTACGCATCAACCACATCTCCATGCCTGCTCACGAGCCACCGCCAAGGAATCACGCACCTTGATGGGCGACCGGGCGGGCACAATGTTGGCCCAGAGACGACGGAGACATGGACGAGAAGGGCTCCCGCCTGTAGCCGACTCCAGTGCACCCGGCACATCCGCTGTATCTCTTGAGCTGCGTGGAAGCGTCTCCTGCGTCAAGACATGGCAATGCTCTTGCTTTTTATCTCTTCTGTGTTTTCTGCACTGTGTGTCGAGTCTTCTTCAGATTCTGCTAGACTTGAAACCAGTGCGGCGTGGTTGTGTGTGTATGTGTGGGGGGGGGGGGGGAGGGAGAGCGAGAGAGAAGGCTAACAACAAATTCGGTGTGCCCTTGTGATGAGCAGCACGTAAAAGCCGACGGAGGAAACCCACCGACTCTGCTGACTTGACCATTTCGCGTCCTTGTATCTAGCAGGTAAACTCTCGCCCCGTGCACGCGGCACGATCTCTGGATCTCCCCCACCTGGGAATAGTTACTCCGGCTTGCGCCGGTGAGTGCTGAATGACAGCGATTGATCAATGCAGGCAGAGCGTTCAACGCAGTTCAAACTCAAGTCGCACCCAAGAGCTCGTGCAAGCAAGGGTCCGAAGAGGGCTTCAGACTCGAGCATAGCTGGGTTCCAGCTATGAAGCTCCGGCACTTAGCAGCGATCTTCACCGAAGCTTCACTTTGGAGCTTCTGAAGAGCTGCGTGCCAGAGCTTCGCCTCCTTTCAAGCCCGTTTCTGTTGCAGCTGATTCCTCTTTGCTGTTCGCCGAGGCATAATACAGGTTCCTGCCTCCTCCTGTTGCTTCAGCTTCTCAGCTTTCTTCCTGTGACAGCGACCAAAAGAAAAAATCAAATCCAACAAAAAATGCATCGGTTTCACGGCGTCGACCAAAAATGATAACGAATGCTCTGCAATGCTACGCTGCACGAGGCTGCGGAAAATGCGCCTGGCCAACCGCAGACGGATTCTGGCCTTGCGCAAACCCGGCTTCAACCCGTCATCGCAAATGTCTCTGCTTTCGGCACGGCTATTCAACACTAAGTGCGACGTTGGTTCAAGAGTAACCTACCATCTCACAAAGCTTGTGTACCCCAAGAGCCCAAGAGACCGAACGACAAGGCTGGCCCACGCGGGGGTGAGCCTCTCGAATGTTCTGCATTCACTCATGAAGTCCTTGCGGTTTCAACGTGTCCGAAGAGTCTGGGGGTGGGGGTAAGCACCCCCTGACCAGGAGATCCGAAGTCCCGAGCACCAAGAAAGCGCCTTCCCTGCACGATCACTCGGCCTGAAGCCGGACCATGAGCAAGGCGAACTTTAGCTGTGCGTTTCTCCTGTGCTCCAGCATCTGTACCTGGGGCTGTGCCGGATCTCACCGGCCTCAACTTGGCGTCGGTGAGACAGCGACAAAAGCGAGGCGAGACAGAGAGCGAGAGAGGGAGGCTGGTGCCCACTTCCGCTGCCCAGCCTGTGCCAAATATCTCCAGCAATAAGCTTGGATTCGCTTGATGGATGGCACACGCGAGCTCCAGCACATGTACTGGCGAACCAGGTACACCTCTCGCTGCAATCAAGTATTTTCTGCATTCAATCGCTGAAATTCTCTGGCCCTACATATTCCAAGACGGCGTGCCTTTATTTGCATCTGGATAGTCAGAGCTGCATGCCGGCGCTGTGCTTTGAGCTTGATGTACTCGCTTCTGGTGAGGTGCGCAAACTCCTCAGCTGGAAGGCCATGGAAGTCAGTTCCTCCTGGGCGTGCCCGTGCTTTTCCGGATGTCTTGCAGTCCACCCGTCCGAAACTCAAGCAAACATGATGCAATTAGATTCTGCCTAAGCATCCGAGGCTGGTGGCCCTCGTGCAGGTGCCTCACCAGCAGGAAATGCATTGAGTATGCTGAGTATGGAGTGGCACTCATAGTTGTCACACCTGCGTTGCTTGAGTGTTTGCGCTCGCGTCTTGTCAGTCGTGGCTGGGTGCACCGAGCATCACACTGGCATGGGTTGGAAATCTGTATCCACGATGCCTGCACCTTGAGTTCCGCCACGCCAGGAGCCAGGACCGTGTCCGCACCCACCGAAGTAGATGCAGCGTGTGCAGTCGAGCTCGCATTCTGCATCAATCCAGTTGACTCCGGGTCAGGCCTTGGCTTGGCTGCATGTAGCCGACAATGCCCGCCACATGCGCTGTGCCATACACGATGGACAATAAGCATGCTGGCAGGGAACCCTGCCAGCTGGACACCATGCTCTTGAGCCCATGTGATCCTCGGCGCTCGTCTCACTTGCAGACTGACAAGCTATGACAAGCCAAGCGCTTCACTGCAGCTCGTAAACGTGGGAAGCTGAGCCCCAAGGCTCTTCCCGCAAGCGTTGCTCGAGGGAGCGGATCTCTGCCAAGAGGTCCTCATCCTGATCGAAGACGCTTTCCCGAGCCCTCTGACTCTGGCATGAAGCGACCTCTGTACTTGAAGTCCTGTGCAGATGACACGATGCCGTCCGAGCTTTCCACAAGCATCCCCCCAGCAGCCACGTCTCAGGGCTCATGCGTGCAGCAAGAGTACACAAGAATGGCGTGGAACTTTTCGGCACAATATTTCCCAGCACAGGTTTGCACCATGAGCAGCTGCTGATCCAATACTGACGCACATGCCTGCTGAAGAGATTGCAACCGCATTGCTGTGGATGGCGCCTAGCCCAGCGCGAGGTGAATGCGGAAGAGCACCATAGCCCTGTGGCTGGATACCTTCGCTACATTCCAAAGATGCATGCATCATTCTGCCATGTGCTTCGTACAAGCCTGCGCAGGCAGAAATCAAGACCTTCCTGGTCAAAGTCAATCGTCAATGCGCCTCCTTGGCTAAGTGACTTGGGGATGCGCCCGGCGGACTTCGGGAAAGCCGCGCCTCGGGTGCTCCGAACTGTCATCCAGCCACAAAAGCTAAATGCGAGGATCGCCAGACAACTCCTCTTCATGCTCTACCAGTCACTACCACGAGCTAACTATGTTTGAAATTCTGAAGCCATCTGATTGAAAGCTGTTTGGCTTCCTGAATGCCGGATGCCATCTTGCCGAAAGTTGAACCTGCCGCTGCAGTAGCCCTTGCTGCTGTTGCCAGCTGAAATCATTTTCAGGGTTGGTGGCACCGACCAAACTCGCAGAGGATAGTTCGACCCAGAACGTGTTCGAAACGGTTATGACATCCGTGAAGCCTGAGCCACCCCAACAAGAAGAAAGCCGAACTGGAATCTCAGAAATAACATGAAGTTCCGTCGCAACGATACTGCTCTTTCGCTTCGCAACCTTCGCAGCTGGAGTGGACAAATCGCGGTCAAGGGTCTTGCATCCTCATGGTTTTCCAGCCTCGAAGAATGGAGCGGATCGAGATCTGCAGGGGCAGGGGAAGATGCTTGGCATACGCTTGTACGTCGCTGCTCAGTAACATTTGCTTGGCTTTTTCTCTGGGCCTTGTGGTGCTGCCCGCGGCACCGTTCCCGCTCCCGTCGCCGCACAACGAGGCACTCGAGCAAGCGACATGAAAGGCCAAGAGGAATGCGGGCCATGAGCACTGAAAGCTTTCGGACGTCGGAACGGCAGGCCCTGAGACTCTGGGAGGTGTGTTCGCCATTTAAGAATATGCTCGCTGGTCTTCTATGTCACAGGCAACTTAACTTCGATGAACACGCCGACGCTCTGCGTGATGCCAATGCTTCTGAATCACAATGCAACCAATGCAACCTGCTGTGGTTGTTATGCCGCGGATTGCTACAGATAGGCTGTGACCAGCTGAGAAACCAAGGTCGGGCAAAGTGAAGCTCCTGAGCTTTCTTTACCGATGTCGTGCTTTGGAAAGCAGCAAGGTCAACGCAGCAGGTCTTGACGCTTCTCAAGCACATCTTTCAAAGTAAAAATTTCCCATACATCCCTCCCCGGCAGTGCCTTGTAATCGCCGCCGCACTTGGCCTTGCAATCAGGTGAAAATAAGCTTTAGGCTTCCGGAGATCGACTCGAGGCGCCCAGGTCCCTGTCCCTGTAGCCACTCCAACGAAGGCAAAGGCTTCAGAGGTGCGAACTGCATCAAACGATGAGCCAAGCCACAATCCGATTCAGCGCCGTGCAGGCGCTGACGACCTCAAGCTGCCCTGCATGCTTCTCACACACCTGGGCACGTGCTGCAAAAGGCAACGGCCTTCACTCAGCAACCGCCAAGCAGGCAGAACGACTGTGAAAGTCTGCGGCAAGAGCATGATACTCATGTTCTACGCTGGCGTCGCTGCCGATGACTTCTGTCATGAGCAAAATCTTGGTGGCATCTGCATGATTGTGCAGGCCCTGCCACACAGTCTGAGATAGCTCCATAGTCGGAAAGCAGGACCAAAGCACTGGCGTCAAATTCACAACTGTACATCTCGAGTGACGGCAGTGACCGGTTACATGTTCGGCCTTAATACTTCAGACTGTGGAAGTCCGGTCGGTAGAGCCGTTTCTTCTTCACACGAAAACACTGGCAGCAGGCTGCAGCACGACAGCGCACGACAAGCCGCCAATTGCAGTACTCGACTTTTCAATCAGTAGAACAAGGATCGAAACAGGTGGATCAATTTGGAACCAAGCTGGCATGGACTTCCCTCAAATCAAATTCGCTTGACCCGCGGAATAGTCTTGGCCAGGGCTTCACTCCAAGAAGCCAAACTCCTTTGGAGTTCCGGCTCTTGGACGTCTCGGTCGGCACTCAGTAGATCTACGCGGACAGCAACGTCCGCGAGGGATGTCCGGCCGAGCATATCTTTTTGTTGCCGCTGATTCAGAATGCTAGAGTCGTCAAATCCCTGCAAATCTAAGCCGGTCTCTTCGCCCCCTACACCAAGAATCTCCAGCATTTCTGCCACACGCTTGAGACCCACGTCCGGCAGCATCAGAACGATCGCATCATGCAGCATCTTGGGTTCCAAGGGATCCATCAGGGATTCACCCTGAACCTCTTGCAGGCTCTTGGACTTCTGAAGATCCGGTCTCTCGATCGGTGAAGACTGTGAAGCCTTGAGAGTGTCTGACATGTGAAATGCTGCGGCCACCGAGATCACAGAGTGAGGGCTGGCGATGTTGGACTGGCTGACGTTGTAAGAGGATCTGAGCATTTCGAGATGCTGGCTGGACTCCATACTAAAATCCGGAACCTTTGTAGACAGAGAGAGGCTCCAGGAAAAATTGCAACTTTGCGTTGAACTTGTGTTGCATCTCACGGACAGGCAGATCGTTGGCGTCCTCTCCAAATGGTTGGTCGATCTCCTGGGCAATGTAGAACAGTGTCCAGTAAGATGTAGAAACCACCAAGACCATGATGCCTGCCCACCAGGGCTTGAGCACCGTTTGACTTGCGACCACGGGTGCGAGAATCCAGTGCGCGATCAGCATGCAGCAGAGATAATGCGCGTAGGGAATGGAAACGGCACATCACGAATCTTTCTCAAGTCTGTAACGCAGACCATTCCCTGGGACAGCTCCTGAAATGCTCGGGAGAGAATAGGACCCGGCACCTCGATCGTCTTGTGTTGATGTGCCTCCATAATCAAACAAGAGATCCATAACAACACCGTCTTCGATCTGTCAGGGCTTTTCTGCAGGTGCCAGAGACTCTTCTTGCACAGCCCTCCAAGGTCCAAGACCTCGCAGGAGCACTCAACTCTGAGGGACAAAGCTCAGGACCCACACCAACTAATGCAGGGGGCTGCAGGCTTCAGTGTTGCTTCCACTTTTCGCTGACTACAGTAGCTTGAGCTCTGCATACGGGATTATCGTTTGCACGCAGGTTAAAGTTAAAGTTGCGGACCTCGAGGCTATCGTCACTCAGCTCGCACAAGGTCTGCAAGGTATTGCAGTGCAAAAGGCTCATAAACCTCGAGAGGTAATACCGAAACTCGTTGACTTGGTCCAGCTTCTCCGGGTCTTTGCTACAGAAGCACAGGAGGTTGCTGAAAGCGTTGAGCCACTCGCCGCCGATTTGCTGAAACAAAGTTATACTTTCCCAAAATCGCGAGTATGCCTGGTTGCTCCTGAAGACGATAAGAAATCCAAGCACAAAAGAGAAACCCGACCAGATGGTACCAATACCTTGCATTTCCAAGTTGTCGTCACCCTTTTCTTCGCCCCAATGGCCGTGGAGCAGAATCGTAACCAGGGCGCAAGGGACTGACCAAACCAATGCCTCGGGAGCCGTCAAACAAGGTCACACGCACTTATTTAAGTACCCTGTTTCGATCACTTTTCAGCAAATGGCAAATATTCCCCAACTCTGTCCTCAAGCCTATACCTACTGGCAACGCCAAACTCAGGCATGTACATATGTCTCACCTCCGCGTTTCTTATTTGTGGTGTTTACATATATACATATGTACTTTTTTACATATTTTTAGCACTCGCATTGAAGCTCATGCGAGGCTTGAGGAGGCAACCAACTTTCTAAACATATACCCGTACATCCACATGTATACATACACGTAAAACGGTTCTGTATACTGATGTATGTACGTATGTATGTATGTATGTATGTATGTATGCATTTATGTATGTAGGAACGTGTGTGTGTGTGTTCATATATGTATGTACCTATGTATGTATACATATGTATGTCCACATATGTATGCATGCATGCATGTAATTGTATACGCCTGAGAATATGTAACTGTGCATGCATGTGTATATGCATGCATACATACATGCATCATATTATTGCATACATAGCATACCTAGGCCTGCTATGGCCTTCTGCCATGTTGCGTTGGGAATCACGGAGCCCCGGAAGCTGAGAAGGACATGGATTCCCCACTTGCCATGACTGTAGGCAATCATGCTTTCCGTGAAGAGGCGTGGAACCCGTCTTGAGCCACCTGAGAAGCTTGCACGAATGACCCTGCGGCCCGAACCAACGGTTCCCTCTCGCACAGAAATTCTCGGATCCTGCGCTTGGTTCTACGGTCTCTTCGCACTCTGCGACCCAGTACTTTTGCGCGTTTCCTAGACACAATCTGCACTGCATCTCGGCTAACAGTGCAGTCAGACCTCAAGCTAGGCCTCCGGAAATTAATTTGATACAGTTGGTCCAGACTGAGAACACCAGATAACTGGTAGCTTCCATACTTACGTTCAGAGACTACACTGTAGTCCAATGTAGTCTGGACCACATTGAACCGGAGCTCAAGCCGCCGCATCCCAAGACATGAGATTCGGACGGGCCATGCAGCATCATACACCCCCCAAGTGGTTTGAAGCCATCTTGGATTGATACGTGCTGCTCCGGATCCGAGAGCTGCGAATTGGCAGGTTTATAACTCGTTTTTGAGACGTGAAACATTAAAAATGGGCCGTTTCATCGGCCTCACTTCTTCTGCGAGCCTAGAGGGCCTAGTGGCCCAGTGCTCGGCACTCACGGCTGGTGTCCGAAACTGTGCACAAGCGACAGGGTCACACTCGTCTCAATCTGCTAAATCTCTCTTGGAGTCGCTGGTTCAACAAGCGGAGCTTCTGCTGGCGATCGGGATCGAGTCTTTTCAGACTTTCTGAAGCCATGAACTTGTTCAGTTTTTTTGGCAGCTCTGTCATGGGGTCACCAGCAGTTCGCTTCAAAACCATGTCTCCGTGGTTCTGATCATGTGTTGCCCCCGCCAGGTCTCGCAGCATTTCTGCGAGCTCTCTATCCTGCCGCCCGGGCAGCATGGCAAGGAGCTGTTTGAGTTCTTCTAGCTCACGCAGGCAGGCTCCAAGTGCTTCCTCACCAGTCTCTGCCGGCAGCCCAATGTCAACTTCGGAATTTTCACGTGTCGCTGCTTGTCGACTGAAACAAATCGTCGCATGGGGCTGATCCGGCGACGCCGTGCAGCAACCCGCAGGTGCGGATGCCTTTGACAGGGTCACTTCAATAATCTCTTGTGGTGCTCCTGAGGCCGAGTTGAGGCGCACGTCCAGTGCGGCTTCCAGTCTGTCCTCTACGAGGTCATAGGCTGACTCCACGTCGTTTTGCCGTGCCACTTCGGCGGTTTTCGATGGAGCTGCGACAGAGTTAGAGAGGGCTACACTGAACGTGGAGCTCAGCATTTGGATATGATGACTCGCATCTACATTAAACTCCGGTACAGCACAAGACAGGGGACTAATGAAAAAGTCTAACTTCTCATTAAAATGGCGTTGCATTTCTCTCACGGGTAAGTCATTAGCATCCTCACCAAAAGGTTGGTCAATCTCCTGTGCGATGTAGTACAATGTCCAGTAAGAGGTGACAACAGAGAAAACCATGATTCCGGCCCACCAGGGTTTCAATATTATCTGGCTGGCCACGATGGGTGTCACCAGCCAGTGTACTACCAAAATGAAGGAAAGAAACTGCGAATACGGGAACGGGAAGGGAACATCGCGTATCTTCCGCACATTCGTCACGCCAACCATTCCACGAGACAGCTCCTGAAAGGCGCGGGACAGGATAGGTGCTGGAACATCCAGGGTCTTGCATTTGTCAGCCTCAATGATGAAGCGTTCGAGCCACAGCAGAACAGTCTCGCATCTGTCTGGGCTGCCTTTGAGATGCAGCAAACTGGTTCGACTAATGCCACCCAAATCCACAACTTCGAGCCTGTCATCATCGAGTTCACACAACGTCTGAAGAGCATTGCAATGCAGAAGGCTCATGAGTCGAATGAGATATTGCCTGAACTCCACGACTGCAGCCTGCTTTTGGGGATCAGCACTGCAGAAGGAAAGGAGGTTGCTGAAGGCGCTCATCCACTCTCCAGATATCTGATGGAATAGGGTGACGCTCTCCCAAAACCTGGAATATGCCTGGTTGCTGCGAAAGACGATAAGGAAGCCGAGCACGAAAGTAAATTTTGACCAGATCTGGTCTATGCCCTCCATTTGCTTGTTCTCGTCACCTTTTTCTGTGTCCCAAAACTGATGAAGCAACACGGTGATTGCTGCACACGGCACTGACCAAACCAAGGCTTTCGGTATGACGGATCCTCGTAGCTGTAAGAGAACTCGTATGCCCCATCTCCCATGAGAGTATTCGATCATGGCCGAGGCAAGAGGAAACTACCAGCTTTCGCTGTCCAGAGCCTCGTGCTCTAGTCGAGTTTTGTTCAGGAACAAGCACATGCTGTGAGAGACATTGAACTTGACTTGCAGTCTCTATCTATCTCCGCTTGGCCACAGGCCTCCAACACTCCCTTCAGATTGCCCTACGCCAGGAGCTCTTCCCCTATTGACCTTGCGGGCGGAAAGAGTGACGAGACTCTGACTACTGACTTACTGGATGATGCTGCCAATTGCCGGACCTCTGCGAACGCGAGAATCCCTTCTCCTTGCAGAAGCAAGCGAAATCCAGTAGCTGCTGCACTGCTTTCCAACCCCTTGTTCGGCTTCTCAGCAAATGGGGGGGATGAAATGGAATGCAAGGGCACCTCCTGGAAACTCGTGCGCAAGGCGCGAGGTGCACGATGCGTTACCTGGGTCAGCCGGAACTAGCTGATCACCAAAACTGAAAGGTGGCGCAGCACTTGCTGACAAGCCGGCATAGGCAGAGCCACCTCCACCACCGGCAGGTGTGAACTCGGACCAAAGCACAGCTGGGGTGGGATGGGGGAAGCCCAGCAGTTAGCAAGTGCCACTGGACTGGGCTTCGTTGGCCTATGTTGGCCTGTGACTGTTGGAAGTGACTAGGCAACCCGCTGCCGGATCCATGGTCACAGGCGACGAGGCAGTATCGAGTGCTACGGTAGTGAAGTCCCTAGTGTTTCCACCTGACGACTGGCTGGCAAACATCAGAGGTGTCGCTGCTTTGCCGCCTGCCATATTCAAAAGAGCCTTGCAGGGCAGCGGCCTTGCACCAACCACCACTTGCAGTAGCGCAGACAAGCTCGTTCCAGGTATCTCTTTTTGGCAGGTGAGTCTCGTGTCGAGTCAGGGACTTTGTGAGCCGCATTCTGCGGAACAAAGCATGTTAAAAGCTAGCGAGTTGGGGCATCGGGCACGCCTTTGGCTTTGTGAAAATGCACGGATTCGTCCGAAGCAGACCGCCAGCATCGCCGAAAGGCGTATAACTTCAAAAATGACTAATTGACAGAATGTCGTCTAGCTAAAATGGCTCCAAATTGCCATGCAATGGACCTCGAATTAGGAAATGAAGTGTTACGGGGAGCTAGGAACTGCAACCCAGAGCTGACCCTTACCCTACGAGTACCAGGCGCTACACCGTGCATTGATCCAGTGCGACTTCGGCCAAAGCCTCTTTCAGCTTGTACATCTCTTGACGCAATGCAGGTTCGGTGAGCGTGCCAGGGCCTTCCTGCCGGGACAAGGCATCTTCAACTCGTAAGGAGAGGGCCGCAATCGAAGCCGTAAAAACATCCCTGCCGCTTGCTGACAAAATACCACTTGCAGGAGTATTGGTTCTGCGCCTTAGAGGGTCAGGCCCTCTTTCAGAGTCTACGCCGGCAGCTTGAAGAATTCTATGTATGTCGGATGCATCGAAATGCTCCGGAAGAACTTTGGGCAGCAGCTCCGACAGCACAGCTGGGCTCAGTGGGTCTGACTCCCACGGAACTGAGCTGTCCCCAACAGCTCTGGTGGCACTGCTATCCGCATGACTCCGTCGATTCGGTTCGACGGCACTGGCCTCGGCTGCAACTGTTACAGATGAAGGCCGCGCAAGTGGTTGACAATCCCTGGACTCAGACATGCCCACGGACAGGGTGAAGTTGGAACCCAGCATGTGAATGTGTTGGCTGGAGTCTGGTCGGAAACCTGGCACACTATATGATAGCGGATGTGCAAAATAACTAAGCTTGGTATTGAACTCGTGCTGCATTTCTCTGATGGGGAGATCATTGGCGTCATCTCCAAATGGCTGGTCGATCTCCTGCGCGATGTAGAGGAGAGTCCAATATGAAGTGCAGACTACGAAGACCATAATGCCAGCCCACCACGGTTTCAGAATTGCCTGGCTGGCGACGATGGGAGTAAGTATCGTGTAGAAGATTAAGACGCACGCTAAATGCTGAGAGTACGGGAACGGGAATGGAATGTGGATCTTGCGCATGTTGCTAACAGTGACCATTCCTCTGGAGAGTTCCTGAAATGCCCTGGACAAGATTGGAGCTGAGACGTCGATGACCTTGCTCTTGTCGGCATGGAGGATGAGCCGTTCGATCCACAAGAGGACCAACTCTGTCCTGTCTGGGCTATCCCGGAGGTGCTGCAAGCTGCTTCGGCTGAGACCTCCAAGGTCGAGTACCTCTAAGGTATCATCCTCCAGCTCGCACATGTGCTGCAAGGCACTGCAGTAAAGCAAGCTCATGAGCTTGGAGAGGAAGGCCTGGAATTCCTGGACATCCTTCTGCTTGTCTGGCTCTTCACTGCAGAAAGCTAGCAGATTGCTGTAAGCACTCATCCACTCGCCTGTCGTTTGGTGAAGAAGCGTCACGCTCTCCCAAAACCGACTGTAGGCTTGGTTACTGCGAAACACGATGAGGAAGCCAAGCACAAAAGTGAATCCCCCCCATATCGTTTCAATGCCTTGTATCTCCTCATTCAAGTCACCTTTCGCGGTGTCCCAATATACATGCATTAAAATTGTTAGTATGGATGCAGGGATAGACCAAACGAGAGCCTTCGGGATCACAGACCCGCGGCAAAGGCAAAGCACTCGCATGCCCAACCGTCCATGCCGGTAGTTTATCATGCTCAACGGGGCGTCTTGGGGCGGTGCTGGACTCGAGCGGCTGCGGCAAGCAACGTCTGAGAGAGGCGAGCATCCAGTGCAGGGTCCCGGTTGCGGTGGTCTGCAGACAGGCGAGTACCACGGAGCTTTGTCAGGGGTGCAACCGTGTTCTGGCTCTGCGCCTCAACTCTTTGGAGGCGAGCACACTGACACTGACACTCCACTTCCGCATGTAATCATGTGTGAGCGACTACAAATCGAAAATGCCAAAGGCGCTGTGGAGGGGCCGGTGCTAACACAAGTCTTATCTGAGTTTGCATCTCGAGAACTGGCTTGATGATTGTCCTTGCAGTCTGCACTTGCAGTTCGGATTGACAGACGGCGTATTGGCAGACGGCGTGCTGCTGCGTAGGATCTGCCTGGACACAGAGCTCCGACCCCTGACACAGAGTTCCTCCAGTCAAACTCATGCCCACGGTCTGACTCTATGCTCGCATGAAGCTATTTGAAAAAATCCGGCCTTTTGCGTCTCCTGCAGCCCAAAATAGGCCCAAAGCTCGCCACGGTGGCATGAAAACCCCGGGCACGGCTTCACAGCCCAGAATGCAGGTGCGACAAAGGGCTCATGAAGGCAAGGATGCTATTGCCTTCTTCTAAAACAATTCGTACTCAGTCAGAAGCTGAACAGATCAGCTTAACAAGTCTCAACAGGTTAGCTTACCTTGGTAAATGCCCGGCAGTGGGCTCAAAACCTCGAGTGCGTATCGCCTGTAGGCAATTACCAACCCGAACGAATTAGATCAGAGTTCGCAGCACCTGTCAAAGAGCGGGTCACAGGGTAGAACTCCGCCGTTTGATGGCCGCAGTTGCACACTTGAACCATCAGTGCAACTGGCCTTCCGCTTGATTTTCCGGTGACCTTCCATTGCGGTACTTGGGCCCGACAAACAAGTCATCAGAAAAAGCCTGAGTCCAAGCATGACGTCTCCAAAGGAAAGGCAAAACTAAATAAAAGTATACAGTGAGACATCAGAGCCGCCGCTTGCAGCTCAGAGGCAGACTGTACTGTCAAAGTGCAAGGTCTCGATGTGCCTGCGACACTTGACAACGTGCCTTTTAGCATGTATCCTGGCTGCCTTGTCGTGCTGGCCCATGCATGCCGTCGAGCCACTTGATGCACAAGTAGGGGCAGCTTTACAAATCTTTGGGTGCTGCCACAAAAGAGACACCTCGGCTTCTGCCCATCATGGGGCGCAAAAACACTAAAGCCAGGAAACATGGCACAGAATAAAATCAGTCCGAGCATCAAAAATTATGAGTTCATGAGCACTGGAAGACTGGAGGCTCGCCGGCTCTGCGGCGGCCCTTAGTTTTGCTTGCAGTGGATGCCATGCAACTCGAAATGTGAACCACGCGATCGTCATTCTTCCATCCTGCTGGGACTGCCGAGTCACCATCCCTGCATCAACATGGCTGTCGACTCGTCTGGCAGTTCACAATCCTTGGATCACCTGGACCGGACGAGTCGACAAGAAAGCACGGCTGCAGATCAGACCGCGCCTTCCAGGAAAGGACCTGGCATAGCTGGCTTGTGGCTTCAAGCCATTTACACCAAAGCTTCCCGCTGCCTTGGCTTTATTTCCATCCAGTGTGGCAGCTCGCTCCGCCAGCACCTCCGGGACAAGTTATTGCCGTCGAGGGCTTGTAGGCTGCTTCGTTTCTGTTCTTTTAGTCTTTCCATGCACACGCTGGAACCAGCACCAATGGCCAAGCCCGGGTACATGCCATGGCACCAGCCTTGCCTTCGCGCGGTCCCGGAAGCCTCGCTTGGTCTCCAGGAGGCCCCACGCTACCTGACAAGCGAAAGAGTTTGGGTCTCAACACGAAACCTCTCAGACAGGCATGATGACACTTAACATTACCCATGATAACACAGCACAGAGATACCAAGCCACTAGGAGAGTGGCAAGCCATTTGCATGCCACTGCGACATCTGCGCCTCAGCTACTCTGCACGGTTGTGATGGATGGTGAGGATGGTACACTAACCTGACAAGAATGCACTCCCCGCCCGCCCAACGCTGGCAGCCGCCAAAGGCGTCAGGATTGTGGCTGATGAGCTTTCGGATACAGCTAGCTACTAGCCTAGCTCGGCCAGTACCTCCTCTGTCTGCGGCTCGCCTTGACTACCTACCTGAACGATATCGCCAGAAAGGCCGGCTCTGCAAACCAAAGGGCGTTCTGCCTGTGCAAGAGTTCGAGAACGCAGCCGGTTTTGCCCATCAATCCAAACTTTCAGCTCCTGGAAGCCATCCCTGGATGCTCACAAGCATTGGCTATATGGGGGATGATAACTATTAAATGTCGATGACGGACAAGCTGTGCTTTCGGATCTGCTGAGCTCCTTCTGCATGGTCTCTTGGACCTGGTCAAAACAAACTCACGTCAAGCGACACACCAGTGAAGGGTCAGCGCTGCAAACCACTACCAAGCGTTTGGAGCCGAGTCTCGTATTGTGTTCCATTTCGAAAAGCTTCGCGGGCTTTGTCGAAGCGAAGGTTGTTCTGCTCTGTCAGGGCTAGGTTCAGCCTCAATGCAGTGCTCCGGACCGAAAACCACCCTCTCTGCGTGGGTACCCACATCCGTGTCAAGAGACGATTTCAGCAGCACCCCGTCATCTGCCAAGATCTGGCTGCACAGTTGCCCTACGAGTATTTGACAGCCCCGCACGATTGTTGTAGAAAGAATGTCCAACCGCGCGAATCTCAAGCCACCGTTACCGCGAGGACTCCTGAAGTCCTGAAAGCTTACGTGCTTATGGCTCATGACACTTTGTGCAAGCGCTAAACGCCGAACATGGCTGGCACATGTTGGCCGTTGGATATGCAGATTGATTGTCATAAGTTGTCAGTGTGGGTGCCCTCTTTTGTTTCCAAGCCGCCAGGTGCACGCAGCTGCAGCATAGGCCGGCACCTCTTTCCTTGGCCGGATGCAAGTCGAAGCATCGACATGCAACTAAGAGCCAAGAGCTGCACGCCGGGGGCAGGTGCTCTTGCAAGGCGATGGCCTCAGGCTGAGGCATGGATAGTCCATGGGTGGATTACCGCCGAGGTCAACACAACAAATGGATGGGGTGGATAGCACGGCTGGATGAAACCAGCATGGACAACGCATGGGTCGAAGCGTGCGTTGTTTTGGAAATGCCGGGCGATTCTCAGTCAATTGGCTTCCAAGTGCTTCCAAAACAAAGGCCTCGCAGGAGCAGCGGTTTTGGTTTTGCATGGCGTAACTGAAGAGTCAAGGCACCGTGCGATACACGGCCGATGCTCCGGCCCACTTCCTCTCGCGTCTCAGTTGCACGGCGTGGTAGTGGAGCCTGCAGTCCACATGGGCTCGCACTCGGGCTCGTCGAGGCGTATAGCCGAAGCTGCCATTGAAAAGTGCGTGCCACTGCAATGCAGTCAGGCAGCCGCGCTAGTCTCTGAAAGGCCGAGCTTTCTGGGCCGGTGACCTTCGAAGGCCACGAGAGTTGGATCAGTGTCCTATTTAGTCCTGTTTCATGTATTTTCATGTTCTGTTCGAGCTGGCTGTCGCAGCTCCCCGCAGCGCTGCGGTGTAGTATCCCACCGCTGACTCTTGGCTGGGACCTGCAGTCAGGGCTTGGGATCAAGGTCGGTTGGGTAGGAAAGCCGCTTGCGGGGCACTTCTCGGAGTTGCCCAGGCCGTCGACCGCGAGCCTCTGACTCAACTTACAGACGAAGTGCGCAAAGCTACGGCTTCACGCGGCTCCTTGCAGCCAGGCGGCTGTCCCACAGCGCACTGATGTTCGCCAGAAAGATTCCAACAGCTACAATGGAAAGGAACCTGTCCCCCACAATCGCTTGACTATCTCGAACAAGCCATGCAGGGTGATACAGCTCCGGCCTTAACCTTTGCAAAGCCATGATGCAGGACAGGGCCGCCGCTGCATGGGCAATCTTCGGGCAGAGCCCAAAGACTTCGCACATCCAAACATGAAAACTGCACTGGTAGGCCAGGCCAGCCGAGGTGATGTAGTGTGCTTCTCCCTTTTGCAGCCGCTTCGAATCGGGCGGCTGCTCTGCCGAATTCATGGTGACTCGTGCACGTGGCGCAGCGGGTCTACCAACATCACCAATCCATAAGGAGTCCAAAAGCAAGGCAGAACTGTCTCTGCTTTCACTGTCGAATTAATCGCAGTCTCGAAGTAGCGAGCTGGTCAAGTTTTTGAGCTCACACCTTGCCCTTCGAGACTGCAGCTGTCTCGGCCTGCAAGACAGCGCGTAATTATGAGTCATTTTGAATCGATTTAAATTGCCACAGCTGCGGGAATGTGGTCTTTGACAGCACGCAAGCTGCTAGCAAAAACACTTTGCTCCTGCATGGGCACAAAACTGGCTTAACAGCAGCCCGATCCCTTCGATTTGGCCACCAGAGAAATCCTAATTCAGACTGCATGGAATCACCCTGGATTCCTTTACAAGTCGGCGGAGCCATTGTCTGATGCTGCCGTGCATGGGGCCGGCACGCAATGCAGCAACTGCACGCGGAAAAGATGAAAGCTGACTCCTCTGCACGGCGAAATGCTCTCTGCAAGCTGCAGGATACTGTTCGAGGGCTCGCTCTGAGCAAGCGGCAGAAGCTTCATGCTGTGCTTTTGGAGCCTGGCCGTCGATCGCTTTCCATCGACCACAGCTTGGTACAGTGCTGTGGAGAGTGGACCGGCCTGCGTTCCTCCACGTCTGACCGCATTCACCGCGACAGCTCAAAAAGTCTCTCCGCTGTCGGTAAAAATTTGCCTTGGCAGGCCAGGCCCGTGCTAGGATAGGATGCAGACACATTTTCATCCAGGAAACGGCAGCGCTGGAAGACTGGAGTCTTGCAGGCTCTGGCTCTGGCACGAGCTCTCCTAAGTCCCAAAAGCCAAAATAAAAAGCGGCCTGCTCGGTGCTCTGCATGTTGCCCGGCCACGCAGCACTGTGATTCGGATCATTGGCGGGGCAGTTTAGCCGCCCCGCACCACCTGGAGACATCTTCTTGCAGGCTAGTGCACTGCAACTTCAGCATGTCAGCTCATCAGGGCCTTCCAGGAGAGAACCTCGTGAGCGGAATCCGGAATGCAAAGCCCTGCGTCATCGCGAACATATCGCCCAAGGCCCCGACTTTCGCCTTGCTCCCGTCAAGATTTGCAGCTCGCTGGGCCAGCACCTGAAACACAGACGCACCAGCACTTCTCGTGGAGCCCGTCTTTGCCAAGAAATGCTTTGAAAGTGCATCAATTTCATGAAGCTCGGTGTATCCATTCGACTGTTAAAACCGAACGTGCCGAGAAGTCTCTAGACTCCAGACTAGTGCCTTCATGAAGGGTTTTTGGAGTCTTTGTTGAATGCTTGTTGAGTTTGTTTTCTGACGGCTTGTCGAAGGCTTTTGATAGCTTCGTGTGGGTTCGTTGATGGCTTGGTGGGGGTGTGCGCGGGTTTTTCAGGGCCTCAAAACCAGACTTTGAAGCGACTGCTTCAGACTGGTTCTTTTCTTAGGTCTTCTTTGGCAGTCGCACCACGCAATGTCTTGGACCCAGGGTCGCTGGCTGTGGATCCGCAACTTTTCTTGCATTGCTGCCAGAAAACTCCGTTGGTTGTGACTCGACGTTGTTGCAGCTCACGTAGGGATCGAAACATCGTTGGGGTCCACAGTCTTACTCAGCCAGCATCCAAAGAGCACTCCATCCTTGACAGTGGGCCAAGGATCAGTCCCAAAACCAAGGACAATGTCATCGTCAAGTGAATCATCATTACTACATTACTCATTGGAATAGGACTGGCAGCAGCATTGGCAGGCTTTCATCCCCTTATGTTCCTGACAACGATGTAGTACTGGGACTGTGGCCCTCCCGGTAACTCTGACGACCCAGACGAATCAAAGATCAGAGCGACTTTGTTACAAGTAGCAGGCTTATCGACCTGCACGCGGAGGGAATGCGTATTTCGATCCGAGAGTGTCGGGATTTCCGATGGCATCATTGCATTCGGGCCGGGGTCAGACAGGCCAGGCGGCACAAGGATTTCGAATCATCTGTGGCTTCAGCGAATCGGAGCCTGACCTACAGAACCGACACAGAATTCTCCCCGCCTACCCCAGAAGCAAGGGTTCCAATCATTATCGATGAACTTCGGCCTTCGCACGGCCTGCGTACCCTCGCTGCGTTTCCAGCAAGCCCCAAGACACCTGCCAAACTTGGTAGGCTGTGAAGTTCAGCGGCATGGTTCACGCATCAAAGTCAGTCACACCGAAGTATTCCGGTTGGCCCACCAGCAAAGTGGCAAGCCATTTGCAGGCCACTTTGATATCACGGCCTCAGCGCAAGTCAAGGTCCAGCAAGTTCGGGCGGAACTGTTGCGAGATGAACCTCGCGTGCTCTCTCTATATATTACATCAGCTAAGCTTCTGGACGCTTGAACTTGTGTCCCGGAGCGTACTCGGTACTGCCCATCAATACGCACATCGAGCTCCTTCTGCATTTGTTCTTGGACCTGAAATCAACTCCACTGGCTGACCCCCAGCCTCGATGGCTGCAACACCGATATGCGCAAGCAAGGTTCAAACCGCGTGCCGTCTTGAAAGACACGTCGGGCAGCGTCGAAGTGCCCATTGTTCTTCTCTGTCAATGCTAAATTCAGCCTCAGCATTGACGACCACGCTTTAGCACCGATGCTTTGTATGCAGACAGCAGATTTCGGACCGAAAGGCCAGGTGCATGCAGCAGCAGCGAAGGAGGGCACCTCCTTCCTCGATGGCAGATTCAGCCCCGATACCGAAGCTACTCTATCCAATGCGTCCAAGCCCTGCATAGCCCTGCAGTGTCAAACATGAAGCATGTGTCAACAGAAGGTGCTCTTGACACTTTCTCAGTCAGTCACGCTGGCGGCATGGTTCTGTATAATCCAATGGCCTGACGGAGTGTGCAATGCAGCGGTGTGGATGCGGCTGAGAGCTGCAGTACGGGGCATGGCATGCAGCCCGCCGCGCGGTACACGTTTGATGCTCCATCCCACTTCTTCTGGCGTCGAAGCTCCACGGCACGGAAATGGAGCCTGAGATCCGGTGCCAGACGACTTCGTTCTCGACAGCTCTCGCGTCACTTCTGCCAATGGCCTTGCTAGCCGCCTGAAGCTGGAGCTCTGAGAGTCAAAGTCGGAGCTTGCCACCTTTGAAAGCATCCGGACCCGAGCAAGAAAGCACCACAAAGTTTCCATTTGTCAGATTGCATTAGGAACACCAGACTTTGCGAAGCTGGGCCAACCGTCAAGAAGTTCGTGTTCCGGCCCAAATATCTTAGGGAGCGCCGTCGGCTAAGGCGCTAGCGGCACCGGCGGCACCTTCTGGAGCCACTCGGATCGTGGCCGAACGCTTTCACAAGGCGTTGGCTTCCGAGCTTGAGGCCAAGCTCTTCCTGAAAGGCCTCGTCTCATCTTGTAATCGCACGTTAGCTGCCGCGGCGATGTGCTCGGTGCTTGGGGACTCAGGGCCTTCTGAAGAAATCCTCATCATTGAGGTTCACTGACCGTCCCTCTTGCTGCTGTGAGTTCATTCCAATTTATGCGCTTGCCCTTTGCGTTTGCGTGTGTGTGTGTGTGTGCGCGCGCTCGCGTACATCTCCCTCCCTTGTCGTGTCTGCCGAACTTCTGAAGGCCTTCTCCCGGCCGCGACACCGTTACATCACCGTAAACACTGACTGCTCCTGATGGAGCCTGCACCCCTGCAGAACTCAGCAACGGGCAGCACCCTACTTCTGACCACTAGCATTAAAAGAGCAGCGGCATTGCCATGCACATCACAAGCTCGAGCTGGGCTGTTCTTCCGGAGCCGTCTGGCTTGCCATGCTCCCTCGTCGAGGATGCGATTCTTGGCCAAGCCACTCTGGCCGCGCCCTTCAGCGCCGCAGTGTAGTAGCCGAGCGCCGCATCCCGCCTGGGACCTCAAGTTACCGGCTTCGGAGATTGGGGCAAGGCTTCTTTCGGCAGCTCTTGTGACTACTCCGATTGCAGCTTGGGAGCACGTCACCCAGGCTCTAGACATGCCTGATTCACACGGCGCAAGGGGCCAGACTTCGCTTTGAATTGGTCTGGTGTTGGCGATCAGCCCTGGAGTTGCTCGGCCAAGCTGCCATCTTCTGCAGAAAGGCCACTGTTCACGGCTCCCAGGCACAAGCAGCAAGCACAGAGCGCTGGAAAAGTCCTCGCCAACACTTCCAAGATCTGGCTCAAGGCCTAGCGGCGTTAGCGGCCTACATACTTGCGATACCATTGCCATCGCATGCATCGACGTCCTCGTCCGCGTTAGGCAGACTGCTGAGACCATCGTCATGTGATGGTGGCCCCGCGTTAAAGTGGGCACGGCTACAACCGACTCTGGGTCCTTTGCCCTGACACGCCACAGCCTACATGGCCTACATGGGCCGACATGACGAACAAGTCTCCAGACCCCGTCTCAGGCTCAGCCAAATCAAGGTGACTCGTGACTCGTGCTTTTTCACTGACGCGACCCCTGGTGAAAATCCTTTGCTTTAAGCAAAGGCAACACCTGCAATATCAAGTTCCACTCAGCCGTCTGAAAGACAGTGTGAGCACATGAACCACGTAGCAGTGGGGAAGTTCGAGTGAGCGAGGAAACTTGCGACAGGCGCAGGGCCGAAAGTCTCGCCGATGCCAAGTCTCCCTTCAAGGAAACCGTGACATCAACCGTCCCCTATCTACCATGTCCACTCACTTGATGTGGACAGTATGCGTACAGACATCATCCAGGGAAAAGCATTGTTGCTTTTGCTCTAGACGTGGCAGAAGGCATTGGCACTAACATGTCTGTGCAGTATTGCCGGCTTAGTCGCTTTGTTACCCGTTGTCGGGTTCCGTGACAGAGCAAGCCTCCATCCGCCAGGCCATCGATAGGCTTTGCTCAGCGGCTCCAGCTTCGACAGTTCCGGCTTAGGCCTGACTCTCAGCTTCTCAGGGCTTCCAGAAGCGCAGCCTCTGAGTAACCAACCCATCTTGCCTCGCAGAGAGCTTACCGGACAGGTTGAGCGGCTCTTGCGAAGAGCTGCGCCACCGGACCCCATTGGACCCGAGGGCCGGCGATGTATGGCTCCTGACACGCGGCGCCTCGTGACAGGACAGGGCTGGCTTTGCAAAAATTAACGAAAGTGAATCTCCTGACAGCTGCGACACCTCTGTGCTCCTACACCTTTAAGCTCAGCATGGCTCAGCAGTTGTCTGCAAGATGACAGCCTCGGCCGCTGCCGATCGGCCTCGGGACTCCGGAATGTGAGGCTCTCGATTTGCAGCAGCAGGCTTCTCCAGCGCAGCCCGAACTAAAGTACTACAAGGATATCCGAAAACCGCAAATCTAAACAAACAGCACACTTCACACCACGATTCTGCGGACAGGTCGCGGGTTTACGCTTTGCCTGTGCCCGACCTGGTCTGGATGTCGCGTCTGTAAAGCGGACGAGTGGCATGCAATGGTGAAAGCAAAAGAGATCAAGTAGAGTGGCAAAGTCAAGCAAATCCATTCAATGCCGCACAAGGCCTGGACGCTTCCCGCGGCTAGCTCCACTACCAGAGTTTGTGTGGTGAGTCCACGAGAAGAAGATAAGACTTCCACCATCTGACGCGAGGATGCAGAGCGCGAGGCTGACATCGACACGTGGACAGCTGCCGAAGGCACCTGTGCAGCTCGAGTGTAACATGTGCAGCAAATGACAAACCGAAGATCAGAAGAATGGGAAGAGTACCTCGAAAACAACGTCATGAGCCAAAACACTCATCCTAGACGAAGGATGGCTTGTGAGTTCTGTCAGCAAGCACCATTCCGCGAATCTGTAAGGGATGTCTCAAGCTGTCGCCAAGAGACCCTGGGGATTGAGGGCAACGAAGATGTGTGACTGATGCCACCTGGCCGGTGCCTGAGACATGTGGGTTACACAATTACATCTGTTGAATCCAACAAAACTGACATGGCACGCCAATTCGTCAAAGCATGCTCCTGGTCCGAATCGTTTCCAGCATACTAAGTGCGCAGGTGCGTAGAGCCAAGGCAAGATGCAGGCACACTGCAACGGAATTTTGAGCCGGTCATATGCTCATTGCTCTTCTGTCTTGGCGCTTTCACCACATGTCGAAAACCAGCTGGTTGACTCCAAGCTCATGCTCAGCTTCAGTCACCCAAGTGCCTCAGAACTTCAGATCTTTGTGGACGCCTTGCTCGGAGGAGGCGGCTTGTGCTGAACAGACACTGGTGGAACTGGCTTGACTGCGGCTGGCGGAGTTCTCCAGCCAAGGGGAGGTGCTTTTTCGACATGGCTCGCACTGGCTGGTGTCGCTGGCGGCGCCTTCATTTGCGGATTTTGTGGCCACTTCTGCCCCGAGAAGCCAGGAGCCAAGTCCGCGCCGGGCTTGTTTTTTGCTTCCTTGAACTTCGCGTAGGTCATGGGCACGCGATCATTCAGCCGCAGAGCAGCGAATGTAGCTTCTCTGTACCCGAGCTCGTCACTGAGCAAAACGACGTTCGGGCAAGAGATTTGTTCCCAGCTGTTCTGGGCCTTGTACTCAAGATAGGATGGAGCATTCAGGAGTGGTGGCGATGGATTCTCGGCTGCTTTGCAGGCTTCCTGTGCACGTCGGCGATTCTCTTCGCTGACTACCGCCCTCTGCGGTGAAGGCTCCTCCTGAATATGGCCGGCCTCATGCTCCTGCCATGAGACCAGGGTCTTGAGAAGGTCGTGGACGGGGAAGCTCATCTTCATGGAGAATGCCATCGACATCTTGGGGATGCCGACGCCATCGACATCCTCCACATGGAGCTTGAAGCCGTCCATGACATCGCACATGACTTGTACCGGCACGTGACCAATGGCCATCAGTCACTCACCTACCCAATTGAGCGAATTCTGTGTGATGCGGGCTGCAAGGAGAGCGGATCTAAATGCCCTGCATCCCACAACTTGAGCCAAGTGTGCAGTGCCAAGGATGCTGGTGAAAAGCGACATGCGAGCGTGGAAATACATGCCCACAACAATCAAAGTGGCAGTCGGGATCCGGGCTTTGAGCGGTGTGACCGACGATCTCGTGGAACTTGCGCAGCTTGGATCACTCTGTCGATGACTGGGTGAGCCCTCGCAAACCGAGATGCGATGCTGCTTTAAATCGCTCGAGGTTGGGACAGTTGCTCAGGCTCAAACGCACCATTCTCCACCAACTTCGGCAGATAGTATCGCTCGAGAGCTACCTGGGTTCTTGCACGCATAGGTTGTTACCCCATGCAGTAAGTTCTGAAATGTGAGCGGTAGACTCTTGCTGCACAACACGGATCGATGTTCTCACTTCGGGTTGTCATTGTTTTGCAATTCCTCCCGTTACTGTCTTGTCATTTCTTGAACATTCTAATTCTCCACGACCCCTCCCCTGCGAACTGTCCACAAAACTACAAAAGCCACCACGATAAGATGACAAACAACAGACACTAATGTAACAATAAAGAACAGGAAATTCACAAACTCTGGCAGGTGTGTCGAGGTTTGCATATGTGTTTGTGGTTTCAGGAGCTCCGAGGAAAACGAAAACTAACAAGAACAGTGCAAGGACTAGAACTGACAGAAAAAATGACAACGCGATGACAAAGACAGCTGTCTTGAGGACTGGCTGTTTGACAGCTTCATTCCGTCTCTGCGGTATCACCCTGTACGACAGGGACAGGCAGGGGGGAGCCGAAGCACAGAAGTGCATGATACACAAAGAACCCCCTCGTGCGAACTGCCAGACACTGTAACTTCGACCAAATCTACTCCTTAGCTCCCGACACCACGGATTCTGGGGTCCAGGGTTTCTATCCGCGGCAGCAGCGCCCCACCCCAGCTGATCTGGTCTTCTGGCAGAATGGGCATGGCACGAGTCCCTACAGCTACATGCAAAGCTTTTGAGACATCCCAACTTCAATTGCAGCAGCAACCGACGTCCCGACTAGGCCCCCCATGCACCATGCACCCTCCATGGAAGCACTGCATGAGTCTAATTACCTGGAGCCAAACAGTAGGGCCGCAGGTTGTTCAAGGACATCTGCGAAGGTATCACACAAATGGCTGCGAGAGTCCCTCCGCACGTTTTGTAGTCAGCCCTCCCTCAAAGGTGCTCAACGGGCTTGTGGCTTGCCGCACGAGGCTCAACCTCTTCAGCAAGCCTGAGGAGCTTCGCAAAGGAGCTCGAGCTCATTTGTGCAGACAAATATGAATCGAATCCCTGTTGACCATGTGTCCTGACGCTCAGACGCTCACCTGGGAGAGCCGGCCACGGCGACCCGGCCAGGCCTCCGAAGTGGCAAAAGTTGAGCGGCTGACGAGGCAAAGACGCCACAGGGACGGGAGGAGTCATTGGCATCTCAACGGTTCTTGACCCTCCCGCGACGAAGCTCCCATGTGTGAGTCGTGTTGTTTTGTTGTTTTCATCGCTTTTTTGTCGCAGTCGCGGAGGGGCTCAGCTCTCATCCAGACGAAGGCATATTTGCGAAAGTCACTTCCAGGGGAAACTTCACACCGAAGATGTTGTAGCCAAGGGCTTCATCCCCCAGCTTCTTCATGATGACGTCGAACTCCTGGTCGGAAGCCGGGCATTGTTGCCCGAACAACTCGAGAAACGATTTGGGGCCCGCGGCGTACCTCGTTCATGACGTCCTGGCCCGCGATGCTCTTCACCTGGACTGGAGCAAATTCGACGCCTGTGAACTGCCGTCTCGAATATCTAAATCTGTGTCATGGATTGACATGACCTTTCCACAATTCGTCCGTCAGAGTCCGAGTACGGATCATCCCAGACTCCGTTCCATCCTACGGGTGCTCCTTCTTGCATCTTAGACGCGACCATACCCGGCTTGATGCCTTTGGCTCTGGCTTGTCCCAGAGGATCTCCGACGTAAACGCCATGCGCAACATCCTTCACCTGTGCTTCAAGGCTGAAACGCTGGGTGCTTGTCATGTGTTTCTCTGAGCTTCGAGCCATAGCACCCTTGAAGTCCTGTTGCAAGGGCAAGAATTTGGCTCGATGGCCCCTGCTGCACAGCTGGTCAAGACATAATTCGTGGGAAGAGAGGGGGGAGTTCGGACCAGTGCGTACCAGCCCCTCGACAGTCATCAGATGCAAACACTGCGTCCTTTCCGGGCTGCCATCGCACAATGCCGTAGGGCCTCTTGTCGAACTTCACCTCGTGCGAATATAGATGCAAGCCTTGAGCCTTCCGCAGAACTGAGATAAGTCTTGTGGCAAGTCGCCGAGACAGTCTCCGAGGTGGCTTGCCTAATGTCGAACGGCGTGTCTGCTTCCTCGGGCGACAGGAAGGTCTGGAACCTCAGTGACAGAAACGCTTCAGTTGTCTCCGCTCAGTTCAACGCAAGTCCAGGGAAGTTCTGTCTTCGGCCTACTTCTGTTGCGCGCTCTGAACAGGGCGCTCAGACGCCGTGGCAAAGTAGTGCCCCCCACCCACCGCGTCAGCATCTGCGACTCTGGCCCTGGCCGTCTTTTCCTCTGCATCCTTCTGCGGGCTCAGAAGATCTCAAGTTGCGGAGTACTGCGGCACAAACTGTTGAAGTCTTCTTGCTGCTTGCTGCTTGCTCGAGTACTGTTCATGCGGGACTGCTTTGTCTTCTTTCGGAAGCGCGTCGTCGATTGAACATGTGCATCTGCAAGTCAAACGAGGAGCTCCGTGCCCCGGCTTTTTCAATTCCCCTTTTCCCTTCGGTCCATGTAGCAGCGTCAGTCTCTCAGCTGCCGAGGCACACCTCCGGCATCTCTTTGCCCTCGATCTCTACAGTGTCGACATTCTGCCTTTGCACAGGGTGTCTTTACTTGAAAAACCTGCCGGATGATAGGTAACCTATGTGACCAATGCTTCTCCGCCTTTGCTTGCTCATACTGCTTGCTCTATACTGATGTGAAGTATAGACCTGCCTCTGCCACTTGCCACGTCGCTCTTTGCCTTTTGCTCGCGTGACCTGGCGTTGCTCGACCCACATGAAAGCTGCACGATATTTTCGGGTTCATGTCATGGCAGCACGTGCATGCAGATGGTCTAGTGTGCATTCACAGGACCACCTTGTCGCCCATTGCGATGGCGCTCTCATCACGCGGGCTACGATTGGACTGGAGCCCTGCGAAACTCTGTGAGCCATATCCCGCGAGGCTGCAGTAGGCCGCCAAGCTGCCTTGCCAGGTGCACCGACGCTCCGACTAGCGCTCATGCTGGAAACTTCGGGAGACAAGCCGAGATGCTCAAGACAACGAGCACGGCTGCTGGGCTTCGACGGGCCATCATGCAAGGTCAGGGCTGCAACAGCGAGACAGGAGGCTGAGCCGAAGCTGCGTGCAAACCTTCCGAACGCTGCATGGACGAGCCGGTATGCAGTCAAGCAAAAGCTGTCCTATGCCACAGAGACATCTGCTGAGATCCTCTTTAGCACTTGACAGCAACCGGGAACAAAGTAAGCTGGAATCTTCATTACAAGCCCATGTTACATTCTTAATGCAACAAACACATCATGCACCGTTTTCCTGGCGTTCTCTGACTGCAAATATCCTGGCCGTCTCGAAGCAAGACACTACATTTCGGCAGCCTGGCAAGGACAGGCCTGCTACTTGCTGCTTGAGCCAAGCTTCAGCACGGCGAGCGGCCAGATACCATGAGGCTTGCATCTCTTGGAAAGATTCCGTTAGCACATTCAAAGCGAAGGTTGTGTGCGCAACCTCCACTCCGACCGGCGTGCTCGTTGTCCATAACGATGCCAGCAGCTGGAGGTGATCCCAACTCAGCCCTATCGTCTCCAAAGTGGCCTGTTCGAGCACAAAGTATCCTTGAAAGGTTTGTGTGAAAAGAATGGCATGGCAAGCTGCCAACTCTGCAGCAGAGCCTGCTGTACCGTGCGATGCATGAGCTGCAGCCTTTGCTTTAGCTACGCCCATAGTCGGAAAGCCTCGCCGCACAGCCCCCAGTCGGTTCACCAAGGCCTCTCCAATCCAAGTATTCAGCTCGAGTGGCTGAGGGCCTTGCAGAGGTGCTCCCTGGAACTGTTGTGGTGCAGCAGCGACCAGATTCGCAGTCATCAGCTTGTGAAGGTGCTTGCCTGATGCCTGCATGCTTCGGACAGTAAGCTCACAGGTCCTGGAGACCTGGAATCCAATCAAGAGCTCCGGCGACAGGGGGTCCGAAGAGTCCGAAGCACTCGGAAACGATACCTCACCGAGGCGAACGGATTGGTTGATGGATATCAGCGGCACAGTTGTCAGATAAACCTGCACCATCTGGCAGCTGGCATTTCGCCCGGGTCTCCAATGAATTGTGACCTGCTCAGACTCATCAGAGCATGTCTCACTTGCATATCTCACCGGGCAGACTCCTTGCAGGATGCCACCTGCGACTTCGATGCTAATCCACCCCTGCAGGGCCAAGGGCTGTTCTGCCTCCTTCTCAGCTGCTGCAGCTGCTGCTGGCACGGAAGAATCCGAAAGGAGCTGTCCACCGACCTCGTCGGTTATTGCATTTGCAGCTTGCCCGGCTTGTCTGTCTTGGGCTTGCCCCGCCAAGTCTGCGAAGCTCGCGTAAGATGGCCCGGGCCCTCTGCTTCTAGTGAAGCTCTTCTCTGGTCTGCGGATGGACAGCTGGGATGCCAACGTGAAGACACCTGTTGCAGAAAGCTTCGCCCACGAAGACGAATGCTTTGATGGGGATGCTCCGATTTTGGAGATTGCAATATGGCTTCGGAGTGACAGTGATTGGCTCCGACTCTTGAAGGCGTCCTTGCGTCCAGTGGACGCTGAGGAACCTCCTGAACCCACCATCATGGAGTCAAACAGCGAGAGCGACTCCAAGCGCGAGTGAACACTCCTTTGTGCTCGCGAGCCTGGCGCTCCCTGTAAAGACAGTCGCTGTCCAAGCATGGAGAAGTCCAGGACAGAGAGGCGCGAGACGACACCTGCAGCCTTCTTCGCACGACCCGACGGCGTGTTGCGGGTGACAAGCTCTGAGCCGGAGCTTGCTGGGGTCTTTGAGGTCTTTGAGCCTTTGTTCACGTCCTCAAATTGCTGGGCTAAGAAGTCTTTGTCCCTGCCATGACGGAATGGCCAGGCCTCAGAGGGATCCCCAGCCCCAGGCCAACTGCTCGAAGAGTGTTTATTTCCGGTGGTTCCAGTGGGACCCAGTGAACCCCCAGGCATAATGGACAAAGCAGAACCGGCACGCGAGAATCCACGCACTGAGAACATCGAGGACCGTGGCCTGAACCAGTCATCCATTCGCTCCGAGAGCTTTTCGTGAGAGTCAGCCCCCAAGGACTTGAATCTCTGGTTGACCGCGTCGTCCTTCAAGGAAAGGCTGAGAGCAAATCTTCCGAAGTCTAGTGCGGAGAGCTTCTCGCCCAATTGCTTGAGAGGGGCTTGCTGCCGCTCTCTGGTAGAAAGCGAGTTTTGCCTGATGCTTTCCTTGCTGTCCTTGCCCGATGTGACCGAGCCGCGCTGGTTCGAGGTGTCTGATGCAGAAGATGAATCCGCTGGGGAGTCTGGCAAACCCTCGCATAGCACGGCCTGTTGCACCTGGGAAGCTTTGAAGACCCACTGCGTCGCACTGGTCGCCACTCGGTGCATAAGTGCAGCGTCTTGCACGTTTTCGGGCAAGCTCTGGGGACTCTCTCGAGCATCTTCGGCAAAAAGGGATACTCCAGCCGCATGCAGGGCTGTTGACGTCGACATACCGAGCTGAAAAGCTGTCATTGATCTATGAACTCCTCCCACAACCGCTTGGATGTCAAGATGCTTCAGCTTATTCAGGTCTAACTCACCTTCATCGACCGAGGGGTTTATGAGCGCGATGGACAACAGCCGACTGTTGAAATCCATCTCCCTCAGGTCCAGACTCAACTGCAGACTTGCACCAAATAAGGATCCCCAGCTCACATTGACATCTCGAATGACAGGCACCAAGCCATCCAGGAGATGAGACAGCAGCGCCTTTTCCAAACCGAGCTTGAAATCGCGCTCTGCAACGTAAGAGAAGCTGCCTCCACCCGCCTCATTTGACCCACGCACACATGCACGAGAAGAGAAAAACATAGACACGTACATCAGCAAATTCATGTGTAAGTGAGCTACCCTGAAGTCCCCTACAGTAGAGGGGTGTGAACCGAAGGTGCTTCGGGAACCGAAAGTCTAGCGGATCGCTAACTCTTCTGCCGGGACTCTCTTGCGACATCTTCGACGAACATCGGCGAAGCGCTCCATCCGAGGCCCGCGGAGAAGAGCCGGCAGTCCTCCGAGCAGCTCTCCTCCACGAGCTGAATCGCTCTCTTCGGATCCGGAGGATGCCGGTCCGTGATGAGAAGCACTCGAAGTTGTGTGGATGCAGGGCGCGCAACGTCGAAAACCGCTCCAAGCACGGCTTCGGCCGATTGCATTGGCCCGGAGGTGGAGAGAGCTGCAGGTTCCCGAGCCAGATGCTGGTCGACCTCCTGGAAAGTCTTCTCGTCTACCCTCTGGCTCTCTTCGAACATTGGCTCCAAGGGCTTGTTCGCATCGTGTCCGATGATGTTTATCCGCGTGCCGCGGGGCAAACTGCGCAGCAAAGACCGCAGTGCTTGCTGTACTCGCCCCAAGCGTGGCCCACGCATGGTCGCAGACGCATCCACCACTATGAACACCTCAAACATTGAACCCTCGCCTAGATCGAGAGCCGGTGGCAGCCACAGCGCTGCAGCAACCTGGCCGGTGGCAGGGTGCTTCTGCAAGGTGAGAAGGGGCGTCAAAGGACTGTATAGATTTGCCTGAGTTTGTCCTCGCTTGGGCATGGCAATCTCGAGCGCTACGTCTTGCAAAACAGGTGACTCCACCGTGTAACAGTTCGAAATTCCTGTCGGGCACCGCTTTACCACTACACCAGGCGTGGTGGCGGCCACGTCCACTTCCAACTCCAGGCTTTCCCCTACCAGTTCGATAGAGACTGCCGGGCCAGAGCCCGACACTGACCGGGTGTCCTTGTTCGTACCCGCTGGCAGAGGGACTTGCAATGCAAATGTGTGGCCGAAGCCCGATCTCTGCTTTGTCTTTAACTGCATGACGTAGTCAATCTGAAGCACGACCTGTGAACCAGGCTGCATGGACTGGATGCTTGATGCCAGCGGCACCCTGTATCTGGGGCCTTGGAGGGCTGCTTGGTAAAAGCTGAAACTGTCTCCACTTGGACATTTGGCGGGCAGAACAACGTCCGACTTCAGCACGACGTCGCCGGCCAAGCCGTTCCCAAGGCCATGCACTGCAAAACCCTGAAGAATAGCCGTCTTGGGCAACGGCAATACAAGCTCTGGCTCGTTCAGCGAGTCTTTCAAGGTGTTGGTGAACGTGTAGTTCGTCTGGATCTGGGCAAAAACTGCCTTTGCCGTGATGGCTGCTTGGACAGATGACAAAGCTGCATGGCAGGTGCTCTTCTCCGATGCCCGCATTGTGTACGGAAGCTCGATTTGGCAGTTGCCAGAAAGGGTCGTCTCACCAAGCATGAAAGTTGACAGAACCAAAACGGCATGGGCCCAGGCGGGCCACGGCGAGGCCAGCCGCATGCCCATGAAGGGGTGCGAACAAAACACTATCAGGTCACTAGCAGCCATTGATTGTAGCACATTTGCTTGCCATGCAGGATCCTGCAGTGCACGGTCATATGCGGCCAAGCCTTACACTACAAAGTGCTGCTATAGGTTCATGCCTCATGTCTCAACATGTTCCACATGCCATACTTAATCGTGTGCCAGGATCGTCTTTCTTTGAATGTCCTGGTGCCCGGGCGTCACGCACAACATGATGGATGGGCAAAGAATGCGCGAAGTAGATGTGTAGCCTTGTCATTGTCATGAGTGAGAGGGCTTTCCAACCCAACCCATATCGTTACCCCTTCCGTCTACATGCAGCTGCACTGCAGCTGTACCCAAACCGTCGGGAGTTCGAACTGGATTCCAAAAATCAATATGCTATCGATTCGGCCCGTACTTGAAACCCATGATGGAAATGCTTTTCGGGGGCATCCTCGTATAAAAGCATAGTTACTGAATTTGTTGAGGACTTGCTCATGTGAACAGTAGTCGTGGTTGCAGATGTCGCCTCTTCCGGTTCCGGAGGTGGGCGTATTCTGAGACCTGGCGCAATCAATGCGTCCAAAGAGTCCGCCTCGCGAAAACAACATAATGAAATGCTGCAGGATGTGGAGCTGCTAGCAAGGCGGTCAAGCACAAAGACACCGTGCGACATTTTCCTGGAACATGCCATTGCAGCACCGCTTCACAGTGCTTGCGACAGCCCTCAGCCTTTTGCTCGTGAAATGCTTCCGCAGTGCTTGTGCGACTACTTGGAGCAAGCAGAAGGCTGAACTGTGGAGCAGCTGCAAAAGCGATGGGTTCAAGATGGGCCCTTTTGGGGCTTCACCAAGCCTCGGTGCTCGGATAGTGGGCCTGGGCTCTCAAGGTTACAAGTAATGCTGTCGAGCACCGATGCTTTGAAACCTTGGGTCCTAGTCCTAGCTTCTCCACCTAAATAAAGACTCAGCACTGGTCCATGGATGTGAGCGGCCCCTAGATTTTCGATGTCTGAGACAAGCTGATGAAAGCTACGTTGCGAAAAGAGCAGATACAATTGTTGACCAATGCCAAAACTGCGCGGCACCCTGCTGCCTCACAGGACCAGAGGCGGCCAGAGGCGTCCAGGGCACCTCTGTGAGTTCCCTGCCGCGTGTCTACTCTCCGTCGCCCGTCGGCGTGACCAGCTTCTTGATGGAGTAGGGCGCGAACTTCAAACCCTCGGCCTTGTAGAACTTACTCTGAAACTCTACCCAATGCAGCCGCAGGGTGTGCAAGAAGCATTCCAGGACGTCCATGCCAAGGAGGACAGCCAGTGTGATCGCGAACCACGCAGCGAACATGAGGTAGATCATGATCCCGTTCATGGGGAAGGACATGGTCAAACCTTTAGTCAAGTCGGAAGTACAGCACAGAGAGTCGGACTTGTTACAAGCACAACTCTCAAACTCCTCGAAGTCCAGGTGCCCATTGTCAACGTCTTCTGGAAGAAGACGAGGGAGAGCTGCTGATGAGCCAATGAGAGAGCCCAGATGCCTTGGATGTACAAAGTGCTTCCGGAGGCACGACTGGGCCCTGGCACGGAAAGATCTCCACATGCAATGGCAAGTCGCGGAGGTACGAAGCCGTATGCGACACCGTGCCCAACACAAACTCAATCGTCTCAATGATCTGATGGATGAAAATTTCGCCTAAGCTGTGCTGTCTCCCTCGACCACTCGGAGAAAAACTAAGCTGCTAAGCTCTCGCACAACCTGAGGGAGCAGATGCCACGGCAGTGTGCAAACACGTAAATGCAGGATGCAGGTGCGCAGCGGAAACTTCGTTTGCATGTTCTGGTGTGTAGGAGGCGTCGTCGCAAGTGAGGTTAATGGTGGGGTGGTGTGGCTGATCCGACAGGCAGGGGATTAAAACGCGCTCAGTCTAGAGGCTTCTTCTCAGCATCACATTGACAGCAGCAGGACAAGTTAACGGCCCATGCAGCGATTTAATATGTCGGTGTGCAGCAAAGTTTTGTTTTCAGGAGATTGCTCCAAGTATGGACCAAGTCTCTTGCAGTGCAGAAGATGACAGAAATCTCTCAAGAGGGCCTGGGCCATGGGCCTAATCAGAGATTAGGCAAGACACCAAACTCGAAGTCCTCGCCGTGCCTTGGATTGCGCGCGACGCAGCTTGGCACTTGAGTTGCTGAGCTCAGCCAGGCCCACTGAAGATGCACTCAGTTTTCAGGGCTCATCCGTCTCCTGTGTTTGTCAAATCGGAGTGACTTCTGCAGCCCGATGCCTGTACCAATACTTCACTGTGTACATGCCCATGATCCCCACGCATCATGGGCTCCCTGGAGGGAAAAACGTGGGCGGCCCGATGTGGCACATGATTAAATCTGCAATGCCTGCATCTTGGAAGAGTGCGCAGAAGGCTGACAAACAAGCGAAAGGGTACAAGGTAGGAGTCGTATAAGTATGGTTGCAGAATGATAATGCGAACATACTGCGGCACATGAGCCATGCCAATGAACCTGTACTGGCAAGCGTGGCATTGAGTGCCGACGGGCATAATGTACAGTGGAGCATCGTTGCCTAGGGGGCGAGTCAAGTGAGATAAACCTACCGCGAAAATATGAAGTTTACGAAGTGACCACCACCTGCCTCACATGTCAGGCAGTTGATGTGTCACTTCGTAATCTGCTTCCGCTGCTAAAAGTACTACTGGTGGCTCAGTGCCACGTCCGTGGGAGGCTTCACGGCACCAGCGACCAAAGGCACCATGGGCGGCTCGGATGTCCTCCTTGCAGGAAGCAAAGCGCCAAGCTACACTGACATTCCCTGATCTACGTCCACGACGACTTAAATCTGTGAGGCTTGCCAGGCCAGGTATCTCTGCTCCAGGCTCACGCTTCTGCCGGCGCGTTTGGTACCGTCGATGATGGCCCGGGCGATCCTTCATCTTCTTCCAAGCCACACGCTCACGGTGCTCGTGCTCCGGGGCATCCGACGTGGAGTCCTTGAGGGCGCCGGAGTCGGCTTCATTGGCCCACTCTGGCATCTCGTCGTCCGCGTCGGGGTTGTCAAAGTCGAACTTCCGAAATGCCGCATGCTCGTCTGGGTAGTACAGGTCCGGGGTGTTGGTAAGCTCTGCGAGCACTTTGCCAAGTATCCTGGACGAAGCCTGTGCGACATGCTAGCTTGAACCCTGTGTCCAGAGGAAGAGTTACCAAGTCAATTGGAATTGACTTGGCACAGTTTAAGGAAAAGTTTCAAATTACGAGTCATGATATTCCCAATTTCAAGGAAGGGAATATGGAACACCGGAAAATCAGGCAGACTGGTGCTACCTTATATCCCTAATCGAACAGCTCGCTGGATGTCTCACGCCCTCACCTCCTTCTTGGCGCCCTGCGCTGAAACTGTCACTGCGAGTTTGGCTACGGCACCTTCATGCCAAGAAGCCTTTGTGCAGACTTTCGATGCGTTCCAGTAGCCACGAGATTGCGATTGCGGCATTGCCGGAAGTCTCGGCTCTTTTGCTTCGAGCTCGTCGTAGGACCCGACAGACCCGGCGCGTGGTGAGTAGGCCATGAGCTCCGAAGAAGTCCCGGGGAGAGGCAGCGTAAGGGAGCGTCTAGGTCACGCTTGAACCGTCTGCGAAGGCGAAGCCGTTCAGCGAGCACCTCTGAAGTGCATTCCGAATCCCAACGACTTCAGACCGGCGACCCGTGGTGGTTCGAGCTGGGCCCTGTCTCCTCGTCAATGGTCACGAGATTTTCGCTCTTCTCCTGGGGATCTCCACTGCGAGATGCTGCACAAGCTCGCATACCAAGGGTGCACGGTGCACCTGCTTAGAATTGTGCTGGTACAGCAGAATGAAAGGCTTCGGTAGAAGCATGATGGGCACCTCAATTGGATCTTCGGTGATGATACGGACTTCCCCCCTCGGCAACTATATGACTTCCTGCCAAATGAGTGTGCGGCAGCCAGCATCGTGTACCTTGAGGGGCGTGTTGAGTCTGAGTACAGCGCACTTAGCCTCTAGAACGCCCGGGACACTGATGTGGTGAATTCCATTTCGGAAGACCGAGACGAGACTAGCTGCGAGTAGCGGAACACGCCCGAAGCTTGCTTTGCACTGCATGCTTGCGAAGCTGCCCCATCAAAGTCTGCGCCAGTTCCACAGAGCCCGGCCACAGTGGGAACTTGTCCTCCTGCCCCATGGCCATGCCTGTGCGGTCAGCCCCCTGTGGGGATAAACTCTGCTCAGCACCGGGCGAGGCCAAGCGGCAAATCAAGGAATTGATGATGCTCGGAGGGTTGTCGATTGGATGCACCCACCTGGGTTTTTGCTTCTGGGTCTTGTTCAAGTTCACCGATTCCGCTCTTTCAGCTGCGGCGCTTGTACAAGACCATGCAGTCCATCCACCCGAAGAAGCACAACCTGAGCTGTGTTGATCTATGCTGGGTGAGACCGTCTACCGTTTATGTCACCTTGCTTTTGACCCGAAGCGCATTCGCCACACTAGGCCTGTGACATGAAGATCATCATGGGAATGCACTCACAAAGGAAATCGGTCATGTTCTTCTCATAGAAAGCATTGAGCCACCTTCGCTTACCGATCGGGCCCTCTATCGGCTCTATCGTGTCATCACAAGACCCTTGCGAGCATGTCCAGCCTCAAGACAAGGCCCACGGTCATTTGCAGGACTCCGAACAGAACTGACAGTTTCATCTTCAAGGAGTTGACGTAGAGCAGCTCGTTGCTCGCTCCTCGGCAGTCAGAAACACCAGCGTTGTGATAGCTTCGCGGTCTTGCTGGCCGGACTGAAACATAATGAAACGACTGAGCAATAACGAGGCAGGCCAGGACGGCTAGGAGGAAAGCTGTGAAGGAGCACGGGGCTGAATTGTAGGGTACGATCCACAAGTATCTGCAAGGCTCCGTGCCAGGCCCAGTCAAGGCCAAAGGGATATGGTCCTGGGCCGCCTTCGTTCTTCACCTGAGCCACTTCTGCTACTCTGCTTTTAGGAACGTATGATGGTCAGAAGCCGCTGAATGCCCAAGACTAAGCTTGCACAACTCATGCAGACTCGTCTGCTTGCATGCAGGGTCGCATCGAAAGTGGGAACGAAGTTGCCTCCGCCTGCATCCTGCCATCAACTCAGCTCAGCCCGCCTTCAGGCTCTTTGTGCAAAAACGGGAGCCTTGTATCTGGAGTCGAAGATTTGCAGACCCACTGAGAAGAAGTCGTTGTACATGAAGCCAGCGAAAATCGCGAAGAAGCCTGTCCAAGCGAACACGGCACTGCGACTCAATTGCTCGTGCCAACACGCTCCGCTTGTGTGTGTGTGTGTGTGTGCTGCCGAGCGGCCTAAGCTTACAACCATGTATCGGGCTGTGAACAAGGATGGCTGGGTGAATCGGAAAGTCTCGGCATTCAGGCAGAGCCAGATCCCAGCAAGGAACAGCAGGATGCCATGACCCACCTCATGTCGAGAACAGAAGTCAAAAAGCATCCAATGACAGCAGGCTGGGCCAGCTACATCACCGTACATCATACCGAAGATGAAGGGGAATGTGACCACGGTGAGGAGGGCAGGGTTGGCCTCCTGAGCCCAGGGTGTGCTGGGCTCCCGTTCAACACATCCCGACAATCTCCTGATATTTGGGAATTCCGTAGGTGTCGATGACATCCTGCCACACCTGCAATACCGCGAAGCGCCCCTGCTTGCAGCTGTGGGGGCAACGAAAGTGGCCTCGGTGTAGTCGTTCACCCGAATATACGTCGGCGGTGCAGACTTCACGTTCTTGTCCGGAGTCAGGAAAGCTCCCTGGGATGAGCCTGCCTTAGCCAGATTTCTGGCAGTTCTGATTGCAGCTAGTCCGCCTGAGTGGCGCATGTCGTGCTGGCAAGCAGCATTCAGCTTCTGCAGCAAGGCCTTGATCCCTGCCTCTTCTGCAGCCGGGTACCAAACATTCACCCTGACAAGCCATCTGTGTCAGCCCTCTGTGAAAGACTGAGACTCCACAGAACAGCGTCGCAAGCCAACCTCAATGCAATTTCCCCTGAACAGAGATTGAGGATGTTGAAGATGGACTTCTCCTCGCAAGGGTGCCATCACGAGCGTCCAGGCGTAGATCTCCGTGCCTTGATGCAAAATAGCCGCCACTCTTCCAGCTTTGAGTTGGCCTGCGGGTTCTGACCTTTGCAGAAGGCACGTCTGCAGCTCGCAGATCTGTGGCAAGCAGGAGCATGCCACCTTCAAGCCATGCGGCTTGGCGGTGCCAACAGGTCCTTGGCCTCTGTCTTCATGAAGAACTGATAGCCCTCCAAAGCCGTGTCCTTCTCCTTCACCTTACGAGTACAGGGACCGACCCTCTGCGAAGCATCTCTTGCACTGCCACTGTAACTTTCAGCTTGCAGGGCTGGAAGTTCCCCTCAGGATCTGACCACACTAAGCAAGTGAGCATGACGCGTTTTGGCCAAGTCGGCACTTGCTGGCCAATTGTACATGTTGACACCTCAGCCGTAGTATGAAGCTGCATGTGCCTTGCACGTGAGGTGACAATGTAAGTCACGATATGAGTAGTATGTCCGCACTGCAAGCTGAGGATCCAAAGGCAGAACAAACCTTCAGCACCTTTTGCTGCATGGGCCCTCCAGCACCCTGGAAGTAGACCACGAACACGGACTTCTGCACATCCTGACCTGTTCCAGGACGGACGAGATCCTGCCAATGTGTGCTGCATCAAGTCTCGTTCCAGGCCTGTCTTCGGATCCTTGACCGACTGGCTAATGGGTGTGAACTGCCTCAAAGACTTAGTAAGTGCCCGAGAAGAGTTCTCCAAGGATCCCTAAAAGTCTCAGCCGCGTCTAGACAAAAGCTAACTGAGTCCAAGGTACGTGAAAGTGTTGCCACGTGCCGCCCGCCAAAGTGCGCGGGCGAAGCGTGCCTGAGATTTAGCTGCTGCTGAGCATGGCTTCTGGATTCAATCGCCGTATCTGTACGGTTTTCATATCAATACTACCGTTCATGATGGGTGGTGCTTGCGGCATGATGGCATGACACTACAGACGTCCTGACCATGCCTACTGCAGTAGATTTATAATTCCAATGCCCAAGGCCTTGGTCGCAGTGCGATTTACACACATGGAGCAAACAAGTGCCTCATCCGTCTTCGGCACGACCCCCGCCAAATAGCCTAACCTGCAGGACACGGACATCAATACTGTATGTTCGTACACTATCAGCTGCGCCTGCCGGTGCCGACGGCCACCTCTTCACCACCCTGGCATTCAGATCAAATCAAACCAATTGTTATTGCGAAATTGGATATGGTCGTCGTTCACAGCTGCTCGATCAGCGCAGTGAGAAAGACTGCGAAATTCCGGATGCGACTCGCCCAACTGATGCCGGCAAAGTAACAACCCATGGCATCAGGTGCTTGGCCAACTTGCCGCCACGTGGCCAGCAAAGGCTTCTTGGCGCTGCTCTCGAAGCTCTCCTCTTCTGTCACGTAGTCAGGAGACGGTCGAGAGCCCGTGAGCATCTCCTGGGCCACGTTCCAGTGCCGGAAGGAACACCAGGACTTTCTGTGCCAGCGGTGCCATTGCAATGAGCTTTCCAACACATGCATTTTTATCGCAACGTGGCTTCTTCAGGTGGTTCAAAGACTTCAAACTCTTCCCCCTTTGTTTTTGAAAGTCCAAGCGGCACGCGCCACGGCCACTACCTCGGCTTCCTCGACTGCCTGCAGAAACGAAGCGGAGAGCCGAGCGCGGCGCGGAGCCGTAGCTCAAATTGGGCGTTGCCGAAAGCATCGAATTTGCGGTTGAGTCTTTGCGGTGGACTCCGAGTCGGAAGATGAGGGAGATGAACTTGGATCTTGAGGCCTAAGTTACCTAAGACTGCTTCTGGGCTCGGCTCCGGTTTCGCTCCTCTCATGCCTTCAGCCCGTCTAGCCCAGTCCAGCCGTGTGCCCGCCTGATTGCGCTCATTTGTGAGATTGACGTTGTTCTCCTGCCAGATGTCGAGTGAAGGGGCAACAAACAGAGCATCTCCACAGCTTCTCGTCCTTGAATCTGAGGAAGTTCTGGTATAACGACTGAAGCTCACCTTCAACAGCATCTAGGGTGTAAGTGTCGTCTGTCTGTAGGAACTCATCGACCTGCCCAAGTCAGAGCCGCTTCCCAATGCAAAGCAAATTAGCAGGACGGCTCTTCAACCTGCCTTGTTCTTAATCAGCTGGCATCCCTCAAGCGAGCTAATCTCCTGAATGAGGAACCGGATAATCCGCTCCATCTCGTCCTGAGCTCAACAAGCCCAGCGCAGATGGCGGCACTCTCCAGCAATACTCTCGGCGAGCCCAACTTTCGCACCATCATCCGAGCATCAATTCGCTGAATGTGTTTGCGGTAGGGACGGCGCATGTCACGCGCATTGTCGTCTTCGAACCTATCACTTGCGAGCGCTCAGAGAAAGGTTCTTTTACATAGGCTTCAAGTGCACACAGAGCCCCACAGCCCTCACCACCACCTGCTGACAAGTGGCTGCAAGTTCGAGTCCTTCCCTAGTTGGCCAACAATGCGTCGTGCTTCGTTGACTGGCAGCACGAGCCTCAGACCCAAGCAACACGACGACGCCTCGGAGATGTTTCATAGCGGCCAAAGCACATGCCATATTTCATCTGCTCCGAGCGTAGCAATCCTTGGCTGAGGCCCCCTGTGCTCCTAGATGCTCCTAGCCTAGCTTCGTTTCCGTGGTCGTCAAGTCTCTCTGCTAGCCCGCTGGGCAATCGCACCCGACCACAGGCATGTTTGTGGATCATGACAGCTTACCGGCACAGGCTGGGAACTAACCAGGCGTCCCATCGCTGCGCCAACGTAAGCTCCACGAGACGGCGGAGATCAAAATCTGCCACTGGAAACTGTGAGCCGCAAAGCTGCAAGAAGCTATCACTGTTGACATTGACCTTCTCATGAGCCGTGCAAAGTGCAAAGGTACGGAATACACAAGCAGCAAAGCTTCAAGTCGAAACCCTGGCTACTGACATGATGCCAAAATGCGCTAGATAGTGCTAGATCTTCGCATCAAGATTCAAGGGACTAAGGCACACAAGTTCCGCTCAGGCCACGACAGCTGGCCCACAGCAGGCACAGGCGCGTGTGCTGTGCCGAAACCATTGTTGAGAAGTCTAGGACTGTAGCTTTCCCGGCAAGTCTTGTTTCGACTGCCTTGCATACCTGCAACTTGCTGCCTAAGCCCTAAGCATATCCTTCAGGCTGGCTATCCCCATTGTTCAGTCCCAAGCATGCCGGCGATGTCCGGCGATCGTTGAGCCACTTCGCAAATGACCATGGCAACCCTTTCTTGCAAACATGAGAACATGAGCCGCAAAGACTTTTGCCGGAGCCATGCTCTCTCGTGCCAGCAATGGCTTGCACTCGTCCGGACACCAAAACAAGGTGAGACAGTGATACCTTCACATCCCTGTGGCTGCTTAGCAGAACGGCGGGTTTGACAAACAGTGTCGGTTTCGCACGAGGGGTCTGGATGGAGCCACTGCGAAGAGCAGTAATTCTGAGTTTCGGCGGCCAGCTGCAACACCTGGGTGCCCATCCATCCTGGCCCCAAAGGGCGTTCCAGCAAACTCTTTGGACTCTGAGCTATTGGAAGCCTCGGCCCTTTGATTCCTTTCTTAAACGATTGTGTACACTTTCCAGCTTCTCTCGCCTCCCGAATCCGTAGAAGCTCCCAATGACATCACTGTCAGACGTTTGAAACGGCTGGCACCGTGGAACGATGGAACTAAACACAAAACCAGCAGGCGAAGGGGTCGCGCTTGCTGCAAGAATGGTGAGACATCGAGATCTTTATTCCCCTTTCAGGGTCGCAGCTTGCGGCGAGGAATCCTGCATCTCTGCTGTCGTATTATCAGAATTATTCTGGACCCACTACCCCACCGCGATCAGGGGAAAGGAATCGGAGGGCGATGCCTTGGCCTAGTTCAGGCGGAACCAACTGACATCATCCCTGAAGTCTGGGATTCCTATGTCGATGGCATCTGGAATCACGTAGCAGGCAGGATGTAGCAACCGGTGGCCTCTCGCATTTCTTTGCCTCATGCCACTTGGGACCTCGGACAAGTCGGGATGCTCGGAGACCCCTAGTCATGTGTCCCGTCGCCTCAACGCTGATGGAAATGAGCTCCGGGCATCCACTCCTGACTCCGCATGGCGGTGACCATCATGTCTTTCCTGGGCAGGACTCAACACCTCGGAAGATCTCACTGACCGAAGCCATCGAGTTCCCTGCGATCTCGGCTTCACCGGTGCCTCCGGAAAGCGTAAGTCTGGGTGTTGTCAAGGCCAAGACTCTCGACTTGACGTCGTCGCTTGGTAATCCGAAGTTCTGCGTCTTGCCCGGAAGAGTTCGATGTGTCGCAGAAGTTCTCGCAATTGCACAGGTAATACCGTAATACCGCGAGTTCAGGGTGTGTCTGGGCTAGCGCCGCGAACCTTGTGTCCGTCTGACTGTCTAACCCTACACACTTGGATTACACTGCGCATACAGCGACCTCGCGACATTTGTTGGCAACACTTCAGTCTGGCTCTCCACACTTACATTCTCAGCTCCACCTTATCCCATTCCTCGGAGCCAAAGCGATCTCGGCTGTGCCTGGCGGGCATTATCTTGGGAGCCCCGGGGTCGCCCTCCTTTGCCTACCATTGGCTGGCTGGCCTTGATCTTTGCGGAAATTCGGTGGTACCGAGTTCCTCTGCCGAGCCTGACCGAGGGCTGTGATTGAAGCAATCTGTGCTGGTTCCTTCACCCTTTTCGGCTGGAGGCTGGCTAGATTAGGCTAGCTTCCCCTAAATTTCTGTGCGGCAGAGAACCAGCCAAGGAGCCAGATCGCCGATCACCCTGCCGAGCAATGCGATGTCTGTCTAGCGGCTCGCGACGTGCACGGACAAGTGCATTGTGGAGGCCTCGGCACCCTCCACAGCTGGCAGGGTGCTGCCGTGCAGAAGCGGCTTGGTGACCTCTGCACTGGACACTGGAAACCAAAGGCCGAGGCCGAGGCCGGGGCCGGGGGCCCAAGAAACCTTCTGAAAAGACCGGTCTCGGGCTATGACTCCAGGTGCCGGCAGGGTGGGCACCGTTCGGCTGCGCTTGAATTTCTGGTCAGGACCCGGACACTCAAAGCTGAGGCTCAAGAGAGCGCATCCTTTTGCCAAGCATAAGCCACTCCCCACCTCTTTCGCCTTTCCCGACGCTGCCTGCAGCTGGGGTTTCTGCGGTCTATGCCGCACGGTGCAAAGTACTGGAAGTGCAACTGAACCAGGATGTGCATGCGAGGCCGCGCAGTCCGCCTCCTTGGATGCTGCACTGGAGGAAGTCCGAGACCTAGCATATCAAAAAATAGGCAAAATGGTATACTTCCGCTGCACAGCTCTGACAACCACGCCTTGGCTCCTCCAACACAAGTGCGGGAGCACATTCCATGCTGACAACCTGGCTAAACCCATCGAGCTTACATCGGACCACGGCTCAGTGAAACCCTCGGCAACTTGGATCCGTCTCGTCTTGGGGCGTCCACATGCGGCTTCAAAGTTCGGGTGTCTTCATTCGCCTACAGTCCTGTTCGAAGCTCGATGCATGCGCAGCATGTCGGATCTCGTGCAAGGTACGATCCTCAGCAAGGGGTGCTGTGGAAGTTCTGAGCGGATCTCCATTAATGCGTCCTAGGTGTAGTTTGTCCTACTGTAGGACATGGAAAAGCTATTCAGCCGTCAAGGCTGCCCCAAACTGCCGTGCTTTGTGCGAGATCGACAGCCTTCACGCTGCCGTAGCACTGCGTCACAATCCCTAGGGATCTGTTCGAAGCAAGCACGCCGAGTTGCCGGTGCTGTCTGTGAGGCCTTTCCTCAGCGCAGAAGGTTAGCATGTCAACGAGAGATAACGGAAGCGCCGCACTGCTGCGGTCCCCTTGCCCCTTGCGCAAGCATCACTTCGTCCAGTTTTCGACCGGTGCCACCTGCTGCACCGTTCCTACGACTCAGATCTCGATCGCGAGCTTTTGGCGATCCCTAAGCACTGATTCGATCTATGACTAAAAGCTGATGTTGTGCAGCAAAGCTTTCAGTTGGAGCCTCTCTTTGGTAGCGTGTATGATCTCAGCATGCACATCACCGGCTCTACAGACTCTACAGAAAGCTTACAGAAATGCCAGGGCTTCTGGCATAACAGCACCTGCAATCAAGTAATGGTCAAGGTCGCGCCGGGCTGCGCTCGCTCGTGTTCACACTGCATGGCCGTAGCGCTGCGCCTTTGCAAGGGCACCTGGGCGAGGTGCAAAACCCTTGAACGCCGAAGACAAATAATCACAACTGAAAACCTCAACCTTTCATGAAAAGCCCTGTTCCCGTCATGCAGCGAGCTCTCCGCGCAGTTTCTTCATCCTCCTTCCGCACCGGGTCGGGAAGTCGTTGCACCGCACAAGACAAGCACTGGGCTTCTTGGGATAGCAAGGTGTGCATGGAACTATGCCTCTGTCGATGGGGTCGGCGATGCATCAACAGTATCACCTGGCCGCGACATGGGCATGTCACAACCCGGTAGACGTCAACAGAATGACAAACGCACTAAGACTATGGGAAATCGATCTTGCTCGTGGCAAAGCTTCATGTTCAATCCCAGCGGCCAGATTCATCAACCCAGTCATAGCCCCAATCGTCCTCTTGGTCGCCGTCCCCGTCCGGGTACCTGCAGCACGATATCCTACTAAATATGCCGTGGCCCACCGTCTGTCGCAAGGTGCCAAGCTCTATGTCCTCAACCCTCAACTACCTGCAGCCGATCCTCTCATTCATGCTTGCAACGCACGCCTGGACGAGTTCGTAGACTGCTTTGCTGAGTTAGTTGTCTTCCCCTAGGTTGTTATACGACATCGTATGAAAGCTCTGAGGTATCAGCGCATCCAACGGACATGCCGCGGACTCCTGGCAAACGAAATCAACAAACTGAAGCTTTTGGCGAGAAGCCCACTTGACGTTTGACAGACAAGTGTCCTCAACTGCCTTCGCTTCCCGTGAGATGCTCCGGCCTCGGCCCAAAGCTGACGTCTTTCAGTCTGCAGAATCCGTTGCTGGCAATTGCACACGTGGGCCACGGAGCTCCTGCCTTGTTGGAACGGCAGGTCTTCCCAGAGCGTGATCAGTTCCACCTTAGCCCGGCACGTTGTCCAGCTTTTCCCGCCTCCTTGCCTCTAACCTTCGCTATAGTGGCCTCTTTGTGCGCAAACCAGCTCGAAGCGTTGCTGAAGAAGAAGACCACGGAGTCCAGGATCCTAGGACTTTTGCTCCAGGCAAACGTGGTATCTGACCGCTCCGCAAAGGCAAAATGGCTGGGCCCAGTTGCTTGGACTTGGCTTTCACGGCCTTTAAGCGGCGATCTTCGCCTTGCCACGATATGAGACCCGAACGCAATGCGAAAATCGGGCTTACTGCAGACTGGTCGGCACGGCACAAATCGGCCAACCTCGGTTTGGCTGAAAGTCGTGACAGCCGTCTGTGTGCGGCACCAAACGACAGATAAGTAATCACGAGAGCTTTTGTAGTAGACGTCTGATGACCAGCCGGCGTCGAAGCCTTGGAAGCTTGCATCTGTCGAGGCGCGAAAGTTCCACCGCAGGCCGCTCGAGCCAGTTGAATCCGCTGGGCGCCCTCCTGCCACTGACTTCCGCTGCTAGGGTTGGCTCCAGCAGTGGCTGTGGAAGCGATCTGGAGGGTTGAACCCGCCAAGCGCTCTACTACTCTGCACATGTCCCCGGGTCCTCTGAATGAAGCTGCGCGCAAACTTCAAGCTCCACTGTGCCTTCGCTAAGCACGATCCCGGAGCTGTTGCGCATGGGTTTTTACCGCTTCAGTTGGAGGTGTCGGAAGCAAGAGAGATCTCCGCTCTTGCTGCATGTTCAGGATACGCTCGTCCAGGACAACGGCTGTCCAGCGCAGCACCGCAGCTTCATGGTCGCTCAGCGGCAGTGCATGGACCTCACAACCGCTGGCTGCGAAGTTGCTACAGAAGCAGGCTTGCCAATCACCCAAGTCGAACTCCTGCCTGGCGAGCTCCTGCGGGAAGAGAGACTCGAACGCGTTCCGCCATGGTTCGGCAGCCCGCATTGGAATCGTTTTCTGATTCTTGGCTTACTTGTGGGTCATGCAGTGAGGTCTGAAGCTCGCAGCAGCTCAAATTCGGTCGCCAGGTTGAACTGGCTTCCATGCTTGGTGTCTGGATCGCACTGTGGGCAGGCTACGGCTAGGGTCAGTTTCATTTCAGTGGTCTAAGAGCCCCAACTTGAGCCTTGCAGCCGTACGGCACAGGGCCAGGTGCTCGCTGTGCCAGAGCTTCTCCGTTTCGAGGCTTTGGCCACTCGATGCCACGGAACCCGTCCGCTTCCTGCCCAAGCGTCTCCGGCAAATTTGCGACTGGCAGTCGAAGCCGTTGAGGCTCCTGCCTTTGATTGGCCTCGGAAAGGATCCGTCTTTGTCTTTGCCCAGTCGTCATGAGCTGATCTGGCACGAGCAAAAGCATTCCCTGCAAGAGTTCTGAAGACGCGTCTGGTCACGTCTTGGCGTGTCGTTTGGGTATTGCGCTCGGTCCTAGGGTCATTAACTCGTTGATTTCGGGCTGCGTTCTTGGCACGTGGCACACATCAACAGCAAAACCAAGCACCTTCTGCGTGCTGCCGTTTGCTGCGAGTCCGAGTACCGCAGCCCTTGCCGACGCTGTAGCTACAGTTGTGCCCAAGGAAGCCATATGTCCAGTGCATCGTCTGGGATTCACCCTTCGCCAAAGCACAGACTTAGTTCACCGCTTTGCGTCTGAAGTTTCAGGTGTGGGGTGCAAGCAATAACAACAACGGCGCTCTTCTCCTGTGTAGCTTTCCTGTAGATTTGACAGCATGTACTCGAGGAAACGAAGAGATTCAGGGCTTTGGGCGAGCTCTTCATTATCCCACCCCAACAGTTGCAGGGCTTCGTTTCTTGTCGCAGTCCCGTGCCTGAGGGAATTGAGTTTACCATCAAGGCGTCGGAAGCTGAAACCGGATGCAGACCTGCGCCCAGCGAAGTGACACACTGGACCGAGAGACCATCTGAGACAGCTTCTGGCTTGTGCCTCCTCCATTCTTGCCTTGCGGCGCTTCACGTGGGACGGCCTCAGACGGGTGCAGTCCACCAAGTGCATTGCACAGCATCTCGAGGCATGTGCATCCGGAGCTCCAGCCGAGGAAGTCGGCGTGAGCCGCCCCTGATGCTCATGAGTCAACGTGCTCGGATGTGGCAAAGAATCTCTGCACTAAAGTCACTAAAGTACTGGAGCACATTATGCCACTTTTGGCTACTGGCCAGCAGAAGTCGAGCTGCCTTGCGAGTCACCCTCGCTTAACGTCAACCCGGCTTTAGGATCACCAGCCGCGCAGCGGCACATGCGAATTCCACCAGACTTTGTCTGTGGAATCGTACCTCGCCTGAATGGCCTGAATACTAGCGCTATTGCACCTGCCTTCAGGACCCAGGTGCCCAGGGCATCTGTCTGCATAGCATACTGGCTTGTTGTACTCGACTCAACCCAAATCCAAGCCGCTCTTCCCTGCCCTGTTGCTGGAGTCGTCGCGTCATCTGGCTTTGCATGATGCCACGAACCCAACGTTGCCATCATCTCGGGAGGGCGATGCATTTGCAACCTACGCAATCGCAGATTCTGCGATGGACACGCATACGAGAGAGGAACTAGTGTCTTGCGCCCATTGCGCAAAGCTGCTCTGAGGCGGGTGCTCACAGCAAGTGTCGGAGGCACGGCTGACTTGAGATTCTACATTTGACGTTGCTTAAGACTTCCTTTTGCCGACCGTGCTCTCCACAGTGGTGCGACGAATTTCATGAAAAGATTGTATGCCCACGCTGCGCACCTCAAGCCTTGGCTTAAAGTGACAGCTTCATGTCGCTGCCACTCTTCTCGGGCCCGGAGGGTGGTGGCGCAGCCTGCCGCCAGTATACTGCACCAGTACTAGTTACCAGCTCCAGCGGACAAAGCAGAAACAGCAGAGATACCACGGAAAAGAGTGCCACCTTCGAACCAGCAGGGCCTGCGTGCAGATGTCAAGCCAAGTCAAGTTATGTCACAATATCATCTTCCAAACACCTACCCTGCACACTTCATGCTACGTCTGGGCAGCTGCGACCTGGACAGCGGGTAACAATATAGGATTCCCAACTGGTGTCTCGTCATCCCGCCACGTGATGTCTATACACTAGATTCTGCACAGCTTCACACTGAGCACCGCTCTCGGAAGTGGTGATCCAGTTCTGCTGGCTGGCTCCTGCCAGTTGCCCAAAGAGCTAATTTCTGGGGTGCCTGGCTTGGAACGCTGCTGCCTGTTCTTATGCAGTCACAGGAACTCATTTGGAATCGGCCGCGGGTGCGAGCGCATGTGCGCGAGGGCCAACCAGCATGGGTTCATTACTGCGTGTTGTGCGCATTGATTCAGCTGTCTACGGCTCACTTTCTACGATTCTACCAAGAAGACACGACGACTTCAGAATTTGACTTGCCAACGCTTTCTAAGTTTTGGACCCTGGAGCACACGAAGCTCAAAAACTGCCGACGGCATCGCAAACAGGTCTCCTCGCTTCCGCGAGCCACTCTCAGCGTGGCCTGAGCAGAGCAAATACCATTGGAGCGAAGCTCTTCCTCCGTCCCTCTGACTGAGGTCACAAGTCCAACACAGGCTGCACTCGACGCACTGAGGTGCTGGATAGCGCTACGTTCTGGGGTCTGTGCCAGGTGCTTGGGCAAACGTGACTTGGTCCTCGGCAGGGCCAGTGCAAAATACGGGCCTTCGGCCCGCTTCATCCACACGATGGCCCAGGAAAGTTGAGGGCCAGGCTTCTCGTCTATTGACGCATTGGACTCACCACGCGCCCTTCAAAAAGTCATGCTGGCCAGGTGGCGCAAACAAGGTTCCACGTGTTACAATTTACAGTTGTCATGCAATCCACACTCCTGATATGGTTCGCCAGAGTCATGTTTTTTATATAGCGTTTGTCGCAAGCCTCTTCATGCTTGTCTACAAGCTCCCAGGTGCAGTTGGGGTGAGGGATAAAAAAAAAAACTATTTCAGGAATCAAAAAACTATGTTCCGAGGATTTAAAAAACTTTCACAGATCAAAAAAAAACTATTTT